AAATTTGACCCTCGACGGGAACTACTCTACGTATGTATAATGGCCAACTTAATACAAGTTAGAATTTCCTCCCGTAGTCGTGTGTATAGATCAAAGCAAAACGGGCGAAATGGAAATAATTTAATATCATTGAGGCAGAGTATTCCCGCTGATACTCCCATCCTTGAAAGTGGCATCGGCAGCAGTTCAAACTCCAGTGTAGACAGTAGGAATCTATTACCTGCTCAAAAGTCAGAATTTTCTCCAAGAATCTTTTTGACTAACGTTATGTCCTTAGTCCCCAAGATTGACGAGTTACGTATTCTAACGTCTGAAAACAGTTTCGATTTAATTTTTGTTACTGAAACCTGGCTACGAGAATCCATTTGTGACAATCATGTGACCTTAACTGATTACCACCTCTTAAGGCGAGACCGCGTTTTTGGCACCCATGGCGGCGTTTGCGTGTACATAAAGAACTCTATTATGTTTAAACGACTACCCGACATCGAACATCCAGACTTTGAGGTATTATGGACACATGTTAGGCCACCTAGATTACCAAGAGGAATAAACTGTATCGTTTCAGCATGTGTTTACCACACACCAAGTTCTAATAATGCAGATCTCTTTGAATATCTATTTGAATCTTTGACACGTATTGATAGTCTTTTCCCAGGGTGTGGCATCATCATTGCCGGTGACTTTAACCAGTTCGATACCAGAGACCTCTGTCGTGACTTTCAATTAAGGCAATTGGTAAACAAACCAACGCGAGGCACCAATACCCTAGACCTCATACTTACGAACATGTACAAATTTTATGATACAAAATCAGCTATTGTATTGCCTCCTCTAGGTTTATCAGACCATAATGTAATAATTGTTGAGCCCAAAACTAGAAGACCTGTTGGTATCTCAAGTAGAAGAACTGTCATTAAAAGAGACACTCGTCAGTCACGTAAGAATGAACTTGGTCGTTTCCTCTGTAACATCAACTGGCAAATTGTAAACTCAACCATATCCTGCGATGATAAATGTAATTTTTTATGTTCCATCATTAAATCTGGTTATGATACTCTAATGCCAGAGAAGCAGGTAAAATTTCATCACAACGACACTCCTTGGATCACAGAAAAATTGAAACAATTGATAAAATTGAGACAACGTGCTTTTTCGTCTAATAACACTTCACTTTTTAAATTCTATCGGAATAGAGTGAACAGAATGAGGAAATCCTGTAAGGGAAAATATTTTGCTACCAGAGTTGCCAATCTAAAAAAGTCCAACCCGAAATCATGGTGGTCGGAAGTTAAACGTATTTCAGGTATGAAACCAGTAACCAGCTGCCTGCTGAATCAACTTCATATCGAGGATACAGAACATCTAACACATAAAGGTTTCTCAGATTTAATCAACAATAGCCTATTAGAACCAATGAATTTTTAGAATCCATTAGATGCCTCAGACGTGGAAATCCTGTTCGAAGGAATCCCTGACGATCCACCAGATTTAGATATGAACCTGACTGATACTGAAATGGTGTTTAAAAAACTGAAACGCCTAAATCCATCCAAAGCCCCAGGTCCCGATGACATTCCAAACTGGATTCTTCGAGATTATGCCGAAATCCTTGCCCCCCCCTATATCAAACCTATTGAATTCTTCTTACAAACAAAAGAAGCTTCCCTTGTCGTGGAAACAGGCTAATATAACACCCATTCCAAAGGAGAAACCTGTTAAGGACATAAACAAACACCTTAGACCTATATCGTTAACCCCTGTCCTATCTAAGCTTGCGGAGGAATTTGTCGTGGAAAAATACTTCGCCCCAGCTGTGCTTACGGTAATAGATCCCTTTCAATTTGGTGGCATCCCTCGATCTTCTGCTACCAAAGCTTTAATTTCTATGATTCATTCTTGGTCTCAAGCCACTGATGGAACAGGTAATGCAGTAAGAGTGGTATTATTTGATTACAAAAAGGCTTTTGACCTGATTGACCACAAAATTCTAGCAAAAAAAGTCATCAATTTACCTATGCCAACTTTCATCAAGCGATGGGTGGTCGACTTCCTTATGAACAGACAACAACGAGTGAAATTAGCAAAAGATTGTAAGTCCGAATGGATTGATATCCCTTCCGGTGTCCCTCAGGGAACCAAACTGGGACCCTGGATGTTTATTCTTATGATAAATGACCTCCGCCCTCCTCATTTCGAGCGTTGGAAATACATTGACGATACTACTGCATCAGAAATTATTCATAGAGACTCATCCAGTAATATCCAAGATGCAGTCGATTGCGTTCAAAACTGGTCGGTAGAAAATAAGATGCAACTAAATACCTCGAAGTGCAAGGAAATCGTAATCAGTTTCACTAAAGTTGAGAAAGAATTCCCTCGCCTAAAGATTAACTCAGGCCATATCGAAGTAGTCAAGCATGCCAGAATCTTAGGACTGACAATAACCAGTGATCTAAAGTGGAACCAACATATCAACAACATTATTAAGAAAGCCAACAAACGTATCTATTTTATCATTCAATTGAAACGGGCCCACGTCCCTGAAACTGATGTTTTAAACTTCTACACCACCTGCATCAGACCAGTTATGGAATTTAGCTGCCAAGTATTCCACTTTGCTCTACCCTCTTATTTGTCAAACTCCCTGGAACGGATTCAAAAGCGTGTTCTATCCATAATCTATCCACATATGAGTTATTCGGATAGCTTATCTAAATGTGACATCAAAACTCTGAGTGACAGGCGTATCGATGCATGCGAGAAACTTTTTACTGAAATCAGCACAACACCTGTGGCAAACATGCACGATATCATACCACCTAGATGCCATTCAAGTTACAATCTGAGACATTCAAGAACTTTTGTCCTTCCAAAAACCAAGACAAATAGATTTAAAAACACTTTTATACCCTCATGCGTTAGACATTTTAATGATAAAATATAATTTCTAGATCTTTTTAACTATTATATTAGCGTAATTTTATCCTACAGTTATGTATTTTAAAAATCTATGTGTAAATAGAGTAAAAATTAATTAACTATTTCTATTAATCCATGTAAATTATAGCACGCAATTCAGCCTTATAGGCTGCCATGTGTTATTGTTATTAAATCTATCTATCTATCTATCTATCTATCTAGTCTGTTTGCTTTATTTTGTTGTGCCGGAAGAAACAGACAATTTTGAAATTCGAGCCCCCTTCGATCTCACCTTTTGTCGGTGGCTCACCAGCGTCTGTGACGCAGGCTACCACGAACCCGGAGCTGAATATCTTGTCATAATCTCGGATCGCGGGCTCTGGTTTCGAAATTGCACCGAAATATGAGAACCAGGCTTAAACATTGTTGCGTAATATCATTGACTTCAAATCAAGTCGCAACGCTCTGTCGCATGGTTTGCAACCACAGATAAGACACAAATTCGAAAAGAACTAGGAATAGTCAAATAAGGTGAGTTATTCTCGAGTCGCAATAGGTTGCTGGAGACTGCCAAGGTGATGATTATATTAAGCTGTAGCTTTACGTTTACGGCAAATTTGTGTGCACGGCATTCCATGTACACAAATTTGGCTATCTCCGGCGTGGAGTTTTACTCTTTTTGGCGTAACGGCGTACAAATTCGCCATCGCTCGGCTGTTGGCGTAGAAGCACTGCGGCGCCCTTGTATATCTCCTAATTTTATAAGTCCATTACCAAACATCAACTACGAATCATGAAAATGTTTCTAACTTCTTACGCTAAAACGTATTCAATGATGTTTATTTACGTAGCGCGTAATAATGATTATCAAGTGACTTGCTTTCTTTAATATCATGATTTCAAAGTAATAAACTGGCTCACTACCTGACCTATATGACTACATTCCACAAATCCGTTTATCATCAGCTGGCGGTAGACTTCACGTGTGGCGTAAAAAAATAGAGTATTTTAAAACCTCCGGGCCTCCGGCGTGGCGTTTACATGGAATGCACCCTGGCAAACGGCTAATAAATTTGGTATCTTAATTCCACTATCTTAAATATGCAGCTATTTTGCTAAATCACAAACGTTCATAAAACTCGTAATGTTCAGCAGTAATGTATAAGAAAGCTATAGACTTTTTCTGATGTGATATGTTTTTAGCGAAGCAACCAATTCAGCTTTGCTGCATATGTTTCACGTTCTCCGTATAAAATTTAATGCTTGAACGGCTGTGGGTGTATGCAGTCGTCGGCCGTCGATACGATGCCGGAAGAAATTGAAAACGTCATAATATTTTATGCTTACGCGTGCCATTCACAGGTATCCGGCGTTTTCGCCCACTGAAAATGGAAGAATCTGAAAACGCTCTCCAGAGTGGAAGAATTTGAGAACGACAGCTGAGCGGATACGTGTAGACGGCTGTGCGGGAATTGCCGGAAAAATTTGAAAACGTTGACGTAACGTATAAAATCGTTGCCATATTATCATTAATATTTCTTTCAAGTCTTGCTGCAGTAGCTGAACACTTTAAGATAGTAAGGTTAAAACACACAGTTTATTAGCAGTTTGGTATTTTCCGTAAACGTCAAGCTAAAGGTCTCTAATGTTGACCTTTGGAATGAATGCAGGCCTGTTGACTGTGCTGGAATTTCAGCGTTGTTCTATGACTATTATGCGTGTTTTTTTCTAAATGGCCCGATTTATACAAGAGACTGATCATCTAGACGAACTTTGGAAAGCGAAAGATAGTTCGTCTTCTACTTCGTCTGTGTGTAAACACGGGCAACAACCAGAATTATCGTAAAACCGCGGTAACAGTTTGTTAGTATTCATAGTTAGTTAGCATTATTTATTAGTGTTTAATCTCTTTATTGCAACAAAGGGCTATAAGAAATTGAAAAAGTGTACATAATAATAATAAAATACACACTGCACAGTATGTATAATCGCTAAGCCTAAGGTAGTCTTCTCGAAATTGGAAACAGATGCGTGATGCTATTGTGTCCAGAAGCCTTCAAGCATTTATTCGGGTACGTCCTTCGATGTCAATGTCGTCAAGATGTTTTAGTATGCAAACTCCACTATCCGATCAACCACGAACAATGAAAATCGAAAATGGAGAAAAGGTTAGTGGCGCTCGGCATCGCCATCCAGGGCTCCTCTTCCTAGCACCCCCTCAATTCTAAACACTAGCCTTGTTTTACACATGTCATAATGTCGAGTAGACACGGGTCGTACAAATCGTGAAATCCGTCATTTGATACGAGTTTTGTCTTCACAAATAGTTAACATTTTTTCGCATAAACTAACATCTGCATTATATTCTTTACTTTTTATGTAGGTTCAACCGACTTATTCGCCGCAAGAGATGACCCGTCGCCAGGACATGATACGTCAGCACATGGAGACGGCTGGTCTAGACGCATGTGTATTTACATCGTACCACAACGTTTACTACTTTAGCGATTTTCTGTACTGCAAGTTTGGGAGGAATTATGCCTACATCGTTACACCAGAGAAAGCAATTAGCGTCTCTGCATGTGAGTACTAGAAAAAGTGCTACTGCAACGAAATTTTCGACCTTATTTTTATTAGCCTAAAAATATTCAGTCTCTTATTAACATTTTGATGTATATATGACTTTGGTACCTTAAGTTGACTAATTTTGTCCTTAAACTCCGGTATCAGGGTATCAGATGCCAACTTTTATACCCGCCATGTTTGCTGCATGTGACGTCATAACGAGTACCGATATCTCAATTCTCAAAGCTTACCTATGGCAATATATATAGCATGTGTGTTGCCCGCTTCAAGTTTTCGAGCTTGAGACCAAGAACCAAATCATTTTGTTTTCAAATAGAAGTTAATTCTTCTAACTAACAAATATTCAAGGAACGCCTGGTAAAGGGTTGGAAAATTTATGCCGATTTGTTAGAAAATTCGAATTAGTCTAAAAGCCCGTCTGATAGCGATACTGAATTACTACAGTGTGAATGAACCATATATCCGCATAGTCCTTCGTAAGACGATCTTAAAGAATTAGTAAACAAAAGCTAAATATCTTCAAACGAGTTTAAGTCAGTCAACATGAATAACTGACAAATCTAGGCATTATATGCACACATTACACAGTCTAGCGATATATATGTAAGAGGGCTATATATAGGTGTTCACATTATAGTCTTACTCAATTTCAATATACTTGTAAAATTGTCAGTGAATGCCGAAGAAAGAAAACTTTGCTAGGAAACGTAAAATAACATTATTTTTTTATTAAAAGAAGACGATGGCAATGATATGGTGTATGCTGTGCGATATATTCCTGCAAACCATAAACAGAAATATGACACAACACTATTGTAAATACCACTGTTTTGCAATCGCGTATTGAAATGTATCACACAGGTCCATTTCATCATGTGCGCACCGGCGAAGTATCTTCGCATTGATGATAATGATACTAAACCATGCAGCCTCGGCCTATAAAGGCGATTCTCCATTACCTTCGCTCCGCCCGCGCGGGCGAAGCGCGCTTTGTTTTTCAGGCCGGTCACGGTCGCGTGGACAGAATTTCAAAAGCCGCTTCGCCCGCGCGGGTGAAGCGGACGTTAATGAAGAATCGCCTTAAAGGCTAAATATCTGTTTGCTGTTTTTCAACTTGTGCTACAACTTTTCAGACATCAACTGTAAGCGCTGCATCTTTTTTCACATTCTTTTACTTTAAAAGCGATCGTGCTAAACAAGAGTCATACACGGAATCACTGAAACCAACTCAGCCGCGCAAAGAACCTCAGCGTCAAAGTCGGAACAAAATTCAATAATTTTCTTTGACTTTGGACGGAGATCTATCTCTTTCCTCATGAATAGATGTTATAGATATTTAATAATTACAATGAATACCTGCTTAGTTGGGATTGCAAGAAACACAGCTTTTTCATCGACAAGGCAACTAAACACTAGTATTTCTACGCCATGGTAAGAATCGGTACTCTTTTCTACGTGACAACCCACAATATGGCGGAGCAAAAGTTCGCACAGCAAGTGGCAAAAATCGCGACTTTGGACAGCTATAAAGATCTTTTGAAAAAGCAATTTTGATTCTGTTTTCAGAAATAAAATCAGGAAAGTGAGCACTTTAAATTGAGCCAATAAAAAAGGGTCGAAAATTTTGCTAGAATAGCACTTTAATTAAAGTTTATTTAGACTTGTAAAATTCAACATTCAACTCGGACATGTTTTCCAAGTATATGAACATAGGTTCTTGGATTAGTTGTATAGTATGTCATATATACACTTACTAATGATTAGCAGGAAAATCATATTAATTTCAACATACATCGTTTACAAAATATAATAATTTCTTACAATTGTATCTATCGCAAGAACATTTTTTTCTTTATTACCAATATAAATAGGTTCGCGTGAACAAGTTTTAAAAAAAATTCGAACGGCAACAGGCACCCCGCATGTGGTCACGGCCAATTTCAACAATTTCATTTCTTAATCTCGTTTCGTTGTAAAAAAACGTTTTACAAATCTGGTACAATTATCTCACATTTGACGGGCTTGCTAATTTTGGAGATGTTTAAATTTTGGTACCTTAGGAGTGTAACTGTATGTTTGCCAAACTTGGGAAACATGGCGGAACATTAACAAAAACAGTTGAAAATGCCCACTTAATGGCCATATTTAAATAGAATCTTCTGAAAATAGAGAAACAAAACTTTGGACTTCATCAACGTTGCCATAGGTGAACGGATCTAAAAAGTTGTGGAGGAAGAGGGGGGCAAGCGAATGATTTTAGCACAAATTGCCTTACTGATTTTTGCAGGGCCGTGCTAGAGCCGTAGAGCGCTTAATTGGGGGGTGGAGTTATATACTCATATATTAATGTTTACGTATAACAGGAACAGGGACAAGCGTACAAAGAAATCAGTCGGGCATAAGTCATAAGACGAATATATGAATAATATTTTTTTTCACAATTTTTTTTTACTTTAATTGCGGTATATATTGATAAAATTAACTATATACATATTTAAAAGAATTCTAAATAAAACCAGATCAAAATTAACTATTCTAATCACCATGCATTTTCAAATGGGCTGTTAATTAAACTCTTCGAAAGTCATAATGATTGTTGTTCTTCCTAATTTTTATAGAAAAGGAGTACTTCGCACGTAAAGTTAAAATCTAAAAAAACTTTAAAAAACCTCTGCAATCTTAACATTTAGTCCAAAATCGTCTACCACTTCAAGTTCCTTTCTATAGAAAGCCCCTTACACTCGCATGTACCGATCTTAGAATTTCGAAAGAGATTCTGGTTCTCAACCAAGCTATGACAACTGCATAACGTTCATGGTCTCTTTCTGCTAATTTCTGCGCCAGCTGAGTTAGAAACTTGTGGCATTCAGACCCCATTCCGCCATTGGTTCCGAAAACAAGTGGGGTAAAGGAGCCCATTTCAACATCTAAAACTCTCTGTTGGTATTTTCTCTTCTTTTCGTTCTCGTTTTCCTTAAAAATGTTCTGGGTTGGCCGGCCTTGGTTACATCGGGAGTTTACATGCGTTACTCTTACGTCAAAAAATGCAGTAGCTCCACGTAGCCAGAAACCGTCCACCTTCATGTCCAATCTCGCTTCGGGACTTATATTGCCCGATCTCAGGTCAAATCTCTCATTGTCAAGGGGTTGAAGATGAGGCTCAATTTCCACATTCTTATCCAGTTGCGCTGTTAGCAAATTACGGATTCCATGGTGCCTTTGTGCCACGAACCAACCTTTTTTACAAAAGAGGGCATGATTGATGTTAAAGCGATCTCCACACGCACAATGACTTGGTAAATCGTTCAAAGTTAAATTGTATCTCATTCGTAACGAGTCTCTGAATTCTTGCTTATTGAGGGCTAGACCTTGATCTTTGAGTGGAATCGCATTTAGCCAGGAACTCGCTCCTTTGTCTCGGGATTGCTTTACCAAGAACAGTAGGTCTGGAGAAAGTGTTGCATCAATGTTATCCATTCTTGACTTAACAATTTCCGCTTTGTTTGCTTGCTGCATTCGCTTCAGATCATCTATAGACTGCTCTATCGGTTCTAGAGCCTCACTCTGCCGTTTAATTGAATTTACATGTTGATTAGTAAATAATTTTGAGGCTGCATATTGCAAAGGAGCTTCTATTCTCAAATTCGGTACGCCTAATCCCCCTTGAGCTGGCATTAGGGTCACAAGTTCACGAAGTTCACTCGCAAGGGGTTCTTCTTGACCAAAAAATTGTGGTAAGAGAATATCATTCAATGTTTCATGAATCGGTTCTACGTACTCTTCGAAGGCCTCAATTGTTCGCATGAAGTAGGTAAATTTTGATTTGTATGCTTTCGTAAGGGCAATGTAAGCTGCATGAGGTTGGCTTTTCGCGATTTCCGTGAGTGATGAGATATCTTGTACCCATCCTTGAATTTTTTCTCTACAATACTCATCTTTATATTCTTTTGATCCTATAACAGCACCCAAATGGCGTTTTCCTTCTGTTGTAATTTTAACTTATTCTCCAAAGATCTGCTCTGCTTCTTTGGCCAGTTCTTGCGTCTTCACTATCAGCCAACACTTTGAACCATTTACTAGATAGCCGTATTTCTTTCCTTTCTCTTCCAAATGCTTATACCAATTATATAAATGTGTCAATCTTCCTCCTCCCGCTGAGTCATCAGCCAGCCATACTTGTTTGATTTCTGGTATGTTCAATCTCAAACTTTGAATCATTATAGCTGTGTTAATTGAGTACCAGGACATAGGTAGAGAATCCCCTTGGGTGGTACCTTCTTGCGACAAAATCTCACCTCCCCCACATATGAATAGCCTGGAGGGGCATCTGTAGGTGTTAATGATGTATATGGACATTCTGGTGCAGGTTATTCGAAGATTGTGCATTGCTACCGCTCTATTCATTTGGTTAAAAGCATTGGTTGCATCAATTAATAGGATTCCATCAGTCCCTTCTTCCTCAAAAACATGGCTCATGGCATGTGTTGCTGCCTCGGCCCCAGCACTGTATCCTGCACAAACTTGCAATGGCCCCGCTGCTTCCTTTATCTCCTCTCTCAAGAATGAAGTTACTGTCTTACCGATTAACGGGTGGTGACTAAAAAAGTGGACAAATTCAATAAGCGAGACTTGATAAAAGTTTACAGACGAGAAACACATTAAGTATGCTAGCACTCAACCATTGATTTTAATTTTATGAGAATTATTTTACAAAAGTGTTCTGGGCGATGTGTCCGCCGCTTTTCTCAATTTTGTCTTGATCGATGACATCATACTCTGGACAACATTCCAGTCAAGTTCACGAAGACATTTTTTAATCCTCAACTTTAGCTGATTCATTGTTTTTGCCTCCCAGCCACCATTATACACCTGTGATTTCAAAATACCCCAGAAATTCTCGATTGGTCGAAGCTGTGGTACGTTTGGAGGGTTGTCTCTTTTTTGGACAAAATGGATATTTTCCTCCTCCAGAAGAGCAACTGTATTTTTGGCATAGTGTGACGAAGCAAGATCTGGCCAAAAGATGTAATCCCCATCTGCATGATGCTGTTGCAAAAATGGTATCAAACGACGCTCAATACACTCTTTTCGGTAAATGTTGCCATTGATGTTGCCTTTGCTTGGGACAAAAAAGGGTTCACTGCGGCCATGTTCACTGATTGCTAACCCGACAAGAATTTTTGGCTCAAATTTTTTTTTTTCGAAATACTTGACATCAGATGGCGTTTCTTCTTTATTTTTTGTATAAAATCTATCATTCCCAGGAATTTGAGAATGACCAAATGTAAAATATGATTCGTCATCCATAACAACTTTCACACTTGAAGAAGGTGTCAGCACAGTTCTGATCAGTTTTCTGCAGCACCTTTTCTGCTTCATTTCTTTTTCCTTAGTGCAATCTGGTGCTTTTTTTCTCTTATAACTTTTGCATCCTTCTTTCTTTAGCACTTTCTGAACGTAAGACTTGTCCACTCCAAATTTTTGGGCCAGTTTTGATTGGGACACCCCCTTCTTGTCTGTTGCAGCCTTCACTAACCTCTTCCTCTTTGCAGGTGTTAATTTCACTGCTTTTCGTCCACTACCAACCTTCCTTTCAGTTGTTTTTCTTACTTGAAAGGTTTTGATAATTTTATATAGACTGCTCCGTGCTATTCCTTGCCTATTAAAGTGCTTTACTGTATATGCAACACCCTTATCACTATGAACCTTGTAAAAGTTCAAAACAAGTTCCTTCCTGTGTTTCAAACTCAGTCCGTCCATGATACATTTGATATGATGAGGGTATCTAACCCATGACAAATTTAACAAGGTAACCAAGCCTTCGTCCCAGGCTTCAAAACTGCCCTTGATTATGCAAAAATATTATGAATAAATTTGTCCACTTTTTTAGTCACCACCCGTTATTCTTCGCAGCACTTCCCCCACTCCAATTGGTCGAATTCCAGGATGTTTATCTAGTGGAATTAGCTTGCAGGATGTGTAGCTTTCTAACAGGGATGGATGGTAGCATAATTTCAACAGATTTTTGGTCATCGTTGATATTCCTTCTCTTAAGATCTTACCTTCGTTACTGAAATTCTTTGAGCATAAAATTCGTCGGTATAAGTCTGCGTCCATACCAGACGGTCCAGCTGAGCCCTTGGTTTTAAAAGCTGCGTTATAAATCATCTGCTCATTGATGAGGTCGAAAATATTGGACGCGATTCGATCTACGGTACCATTTAGGAGGCATTCGTCCTCTACATCACTGGCTGCCGGGTGTTTCTCTTTCAAAGCTTCCAAAGTTTCCGGCGAAAGATCTAGTAAACCCGGGGAGCTTTCTTTATCCAGAAATTTAATCGCCGCGGATAGTTTTCCTTGCATTACCAATCTGGCGAAAACTCTGGAGATATCATTTACTGTGCGGGGTTTTCTTGATGATAAGAATCGATCTTGTATAAATCTCACTTCTTTCATTAGTAGATTCAAGTCCCCTTGCTTCCATAGGGTTAATCTTCATTTTATCGCTGTGCTGTGTTCTTTGCTCTTTGATGTTGCCGAGGGCTTTTGGAGAATCAAAGATGGAAGCACCATAAAGGCTTTCAATGCAATCGAATTGAGATCAGAATTGGAATTGAATTGCTTTAGCCAATAAGTCAACTCTGCAATGAAATCTTTTCCCGCTCTGCCGGAGGGTATGTTAAAAATGTTCCTTCTAAAATGGACGATTTCGTCATAGATTTTACTAATCTGATCGCATAAACTTTGTTGACTAATAGAACCCCACATTTTTTCTTTAATTTCAGACGCCATAACATCCAATTCAGGTAGATTTGGCTTATTACTTGCATTTCCTGTGTCATTATATTTTGGTTCCAGTGGTGGCACAGGGGAACGATTTGGAATGCCAACATTATTGTGCTCTGTGCTAATTTCCGTTGTATGGCTTTGTTCCAATTCCATCAGTCTCAGAGGGGATTTGTAAAGCGCATTCTCCGTGTCCACGCAAATTTCTGCAGCTTTACCGTTGCAGAGGCGTGACTGCAGTTTCCTCTTTGCTTTCTCAGGATTTATTTTCGCATGTCCTAATTTCTCGATACTTGAACTATCTATTAGAATTGCTTGCTGTGCGGGGTGTTGAAAGGCGACGGTACCCGACTCGTTTTCCATACAGCTTGATTTTATTTTGAGCTTAAAGCATTTACGAAGCTTACATATCAGATGACTTGTCTTTCTATTCAAACAACAATTACACTCGCCACAATTTATTTTCCTCAGGCACGGTTCGCAGCTACCACATTTTCTCCTTCTTTTCTTAACAACACCTTGCTCTAAATCGACTATATTCCGATCAAGATTCACACTCCTTTTGCCTCGCTGTCGCAGCTTGACCGCCAAAGTTTGTTCATGACTTTCAAAGTTCATTTGATCAAGACCTTCTACATTCGTCGTAACTGGATCGTAATTTTCGATTGTAGAAACATCGGTAATATTTTCTACATCATTTTCTACTAGTTGTATTAAATGTTCAGCCAAATCACAAGAATTTTGGCTGATAATTTTTGAAATCGCAGAGCCCAAATTTTCATGACCGCCCGCCATGACGGTCAGCAAGCTGATATATGAATAATATTCAACCCTCCGAATAAGTTTCTAGCTACGCCTACGGCCCTAAACTCTGGTATAATTAGATTAAATATTTGCCCAACTTTTCTAGAATCAAATGCTTTTTGGGGGGGACCCTTTCCCCCGCCCCGTACGCTCTGAACGTCGTTCATTTTATAACATATGTCTTAAATATTTTCATTGCTACAGGTATTGATTACGGTCAACCATGGCGACGGACGTTTGGAGACAATATCGTTTACACAGACTGGCACAAGGACAATTTCTTTCACGCAGTAAAACAAGAGGTTTGCTTTATAGTAATAGATTTGATTATCACTAATGCTGAACACTCAGAACTGTACCTCAGTGAACTGCTTCAGCTGCTTTACCTCAGTTTGAGAAATACTCCATAAGGGCGCAAATGCTAATTTCTTTCTTGGGGCTGCTCGCGAAGGACAGACAGGATGTATTCTTTACTATTCATTGCATGTTGCAAAATATGCATGGGGGTAACATTCAACTTTTGAGACCGGGATAAAATGTTGCAATTCAATTATTTTCAATCAACTTTCTGTATAAGGGCAGAAAAACCCGAAGTTGATAAAAACAGGATTGACCTATTACCCTCACTAACATGATTGCCACATGTTATAATTAAATGTTTTAGCCTAATCAAATAGCTGTATTATAACGCCGTTGAGATAAAACACGTTTGTGGAGTGGATCACACATTGTCTGAAAGAACCATCGGCTTTAGTGTCTATGTCCAGATTACATATGGTCTCATATTGTGCAGTGAGCTGTCATTAACATATGAAAAGAATATCCTTAAGGCCCACATACACCGGACGCGATTCGCCAAAGCAACGCGAATTTTCAGCTTTTTGAAGCAAATAAATTCAATTCTGGAAGGAAATTTTGAGAGCTATGGGCCCAGGAAACGTCAAAATTTGTTATCCTCAACGAATGATCAAGAATACAATAACATAATCAAACTTAGTTGCTTTTGAAACTCAAAAATTCGTAAAAATCGCGTCACGTTAGCGGATCGCGTCCCGGTGTTTAATACTTCATTCTTATTCCTTTTGTATTTGAGCAATTCAACATGTCCAGATGTTTGCAGAGGACAGCTCTGAATGAAAGTTAAAATGTCGCTTCGCGCGAAAATTATCGCCAGTGGAGAATCGGCCTTAGGGGTTGTTTACATGAGCCCGGTTCCCCGAGATTCAACGAAGCGTGAGATGATTTTGATGTATTGAAATGAGCAGATAACATGCCTGGCAGTCGTATAATCACCACAACAATATCATGTGCTTGTTTGGTGTCATGAAAACTAATTTCAATACCTCAAAGTCCTCTCACGTTTCGTTAAATCTCGGGTAACCGGGCTCATGTAAACAGCCCCTTAGAATGGAGTCAGTGGACTGTTTCCATTCAATGGACTGTTCTAAAATTTAAACTAATTCTTATTTTGATATGTTCAGTTAGGTGATGCAAAACATGTTGGCCTCGAATTTGACGTCGTGCCTATCGACGAGTATACAAAATTTTCTGAAGCGTTGCCGAACGCAAAATTTACAGATGTTGGTGAATCTACAATGCGCATGCGCATGATCAAATCTAACGAAGAAATTGAATTAATTAAGCAAGCTGCAAGAATTGCTGACCTGGGTGGTGAAGCCATTAAAAATGTGATAACAGAGGGTGTACGGGAACACGAGGTGGCCCTTGCGGGGACTGATGCCATGGTTAGAGAGATTGCAAGGACTTATCCACATCAAGAGCTGAGGGACAGTAAGTGTCGTATAAGTAGAAGCAGGTTGATAATCTTAAAATTGAAGGGCTATAAAAAGCAGTGGAATGTTAAAAAATACATCGAGTCATTCATATGCGTACAGCATATGAAAAACGAAATAAAAATTGACAGGCTTTACATATGATGTGATAAAATTTAATGATTTAATCCTTATGCAGTATGAAAGAGCAGATATTTAGTTTCTCAATGATACCTCTACCTTTAGTTACTAACCACAAAAATAATAAAATATTCTAAAACGAAAATCAGTGATCGAATTAGTCAAACTTGCCCGTCTGAAGGCAAAACGAAGCAAATTTTAGCTTTGATGCGTGCATGCGATAGCAAGTTTGTCTCAGTTAGTTCCATTCCCAGTGGTCAAAGAATGTGGTTTGAGCCCTATATATTTGTGTTTATTCTAAAATATCTTTTACCCGCACCATTTTGTTATATTAATATCAATGTACAGAAACGTTACCGCGTTTTCACCCCTGCTTATTAGACAGGGTTTTCTGACTACTATTTCAGCATGGGTTTGGTTTCAATCTGGCATTAACACAGATGGTGCCCATAATCCAGTGACAAACCGCCAACTTCAAAAAGGGGACATTCTTATCATGAACTGTTTTCCTATCGTTCAAGGGTATGTTTTTAACTATCATTTACCTTGTGTTAAGAAGCAGAAAATCAAACTCTTCCCCACTCTTCCCCACTCTTGCTCAAACTAGTGTCCAGTTTTTTCTGTTACAAAATGCGCGCCTGGTGTCCAGACCAAAGTGCAAACCTTTACGTTTTGTCGACGAATTTGCGGTTCGATGTGGAAAAATCATTTAAACAGGAGGCGAAAGACAATAGCCTCTACGAGGTTAAGATTAAAGAGGTTCATCAAAAAAATAAACGTGTTCGTACTTCGTATCCATTTTAAAGGATAACAAGACGCCTGTTCTGTAACTCCGGTGTCACAAGAAATTTCCCCCCCCCCCGAAAATTTGGCCCCTAGGAAATTTGCCCCCCCTTTGTGAAATTTGGCTCCCCTCTAAAAAACACAGTTTACCTTACCATTTTAGAGTTAGATAACCGTTAAGAGTTTAAATAAAAGTTTTAACGCATTACAATTGACAATTACTGACCGAATTCTGATAATAAAAAAATATTTTGCGATTAAAAAGTTTTGTTTATTATTTCCTAGATATATATGACAAAGTGTTTGACAAACTTCAATTCATTACAATATTCCTAAAGTACTATGAATTAATAATTGCACACGAATGTTAGGAATGTATATAGACTAAGTTCTATGAATAAAAATTACAATTACAATTAGGTCACTTAATTTTATTTACAAAAGCGGCGCACATGACTGGCAAAGCCAATCGTCACTTTCGCCAGGAGCTTTGCTCAAATTGGTACATGCTAAATAGTACCACATGTCACAAAGATCGCATTGCACCATATCACCACATTCTGGCAACTGACAAACACAATGAGTTTGTATGGATAACAGTTTTTCGTTGTTTTTGCCCACTGCAGCCGCTTTTTGGGCACGAGGGAACGACAATAGTTCTTCATTCTCGAAGCAGGCGATTAAATGGTCTCTCATTGCCTTCTGTTCAAACGGAATTTCGCAATTGAAGTGCGTATTTCCACTTGCAAGCTCATATGCACTTGCAATGGCAAATAAACCGCAATCTGTTGATCCTTTCTGCTTCTGAAATGAAGCCATTTCAATATGAAGCCGGCCCGCCTGGTCGATATAATTGTTGCAACATTGTACGAGCTGTATTTCGCTGGATTCTGTTAAATCATCGTACAGACTATCATACACACTTACTGGCTGCCCCCCAATGCACGACGACGTAATCCAGTGACATTTACCAGTGTTGTGGATCTGGATTCCTTCGCTGGTGCAACGATTGAATGATAGTTGTGACAACAGGGGATCCTGAAGGCCACCGACAAGTGGGAATTTCTTCTTCATTAACTTTTGTGCAACATTTATGATTCGATCGTTCAATATACTCTTTTTGCGGCTCATACAATATAGCAGTTTTTCACCAACTCGTCAGGTGCAATGGTAGGTACAGGACAGGAAGCTAGGAGATACGCTGGCAAAAACGAAAGGTCCTGCTGTGGAAGGTCAGAACTGACACTAACAAAATTGTCATTCAACAACTGTGCCAGATGTTTGCCAGAAAGGGTCACACCGTCTTTAAGCACTATTTATGGCGTTGGTTGATGGTTTCTTCTTAAGGGTTAAGGAAAAAGGCGAACTCTGAGGCAGATGCAGTGTTTTCAACATTTGCAAATCACTCATAAAAAGTTTTCGTTTAATTTTAGATCTTGCGTTCTTTATATGTTTTCTTGGGAAAAAATATTCAGGATCCATTAGGGAAACATTGAAATCATTTGTATCCCTTGAAATTTTTAAAACAGATCAGAATAAATCGTGATTTTTAGTACAAGACCCCTTTAAGACAAATGTTTCATATTAGTACGGTACTAAACTTGTCAATTTATTCTTTTTCATAGGCACTATGTTGCTCTGGAACGAACACTATTTTGTGATCACGTGCCAAGCGATCGCCACATGGAATTGTGGGAAATCAACTGTATGGTTCATCGCCGGGGGATAGAATTAATTAAGCCTGGGGTGAAATGTTGTGACATCGCTCACGAACTAAACGAAATCTATCGGAAACATGGACTTCTCAGTTACCGAATTTTTGGCTACGGCCATTCGTTTGGAGTGCTTAACCATTACTACGGTCGCGAAGCTGGTTTGGAACTTCGCGAGCATGTCGAGACAGTGTTACAGCCCAATATGGTCATCTCGATGGAGCCGCATATAACAATACCAGAGGGAGAGCCAGGGGCCGGGGCGTACAGAGAGCATGATATCTTGGTGATCAAGGAGGATAGCACGGAAAATATTACGAAATTCCCGTTCGGTCCTGAACACAACGTTGTTAAAAATTAAATATTACAATAGACCCATAGGCAATCCAAATATGCGTGATAATTTAAGCGTGATTTAAACTTCTAATATTATTCTTACACCATGCTGAAAAATTGCCGAAAAAATTCTTGCGTTCAAACTACCATGCATAATGGGGCTGCCTATGATAGACCATGTATATCGCAAATAACCAATTGAGAAAAACTGAAAAGTTTGCAAAAACTATGGTGGAGAGCGCATGTCAGTTATCAATTAATTAAAGTTTATTACTTACAATTTGAGTTGTTTGGCAAATTTAACCTCACCCTCAGGGTCTTCTACATCCATAGAATAAGTTGGGTAAAGTTTTCTTTTTATCTCTTTCACATCTACCAAAAGAAGAAAATCGCAGCAAAAATCGTATTACACCAAGTACTTCACTTGATTGTTATGATGAGATTCACCATCGATTGTTTATCAAGAAAAGGTTGAATAATTGTTAGATTTTTTTCTGGAAACTTGAAGTTAAAATGCTTTCTTCTCAAAGTGCATATCTATAGAGTATCAAACAAGATGTTTTTAAGCAGCTGCAGTGCTAATAATGTCGTTTTAGCCCTTTAAAAAAATCGCACTAGACAGAATTTTTTACAAACTTTACTATTGATAAGATATCTATTGTGTAAAATTTTGATGAAAAAAAATTGTGGCTCACCGAACTCGTTTGTGATATAAACTCGATTAAATGCTTTTTAGCGGCCATTTTGAAACGTCTCTGTTGCTATCAGTGAACTCTAATATTACTAATAAGACTGGAACGATAACTCAACAATAAAGACTAGTCATTGGATGAAGCTGATTTGAATATAATTTGTTGATTAAGACGGGAGCCGCGCGAGCAAATCAAGCCTTCAAAAGAACTGGGGAGAGTGAGAATTCCGTAAAAATCGTATTTTTTGGCAAAAAATTGCCAGAAAAGTGCAATTTTTATTTGACCACTTCAACTTTAAACAACGAATTTACCCTTTTTTGATAGACCTAAGTAATCTGCATCATCTTACTGTAAAAACCGGCGAGGTACCAGCTTTGTACTTGAAATATTTAAAGAATTTGAACGGGCCGAAAAAAAACTTCGCCTTCAACTCGCAAAAAAAATAGGTTTGCACCTTTTCACGTTCATAAAACTTGTTTTTTAGTAAAATCTAAGTGACAATGCTTGTTTTAAGCTTTTATTCATGATCAGATGAGATGGATTTGTGTATAAAAACCGGCGGTGTTTTGGTGGTGTAATTTCAACTCTTGGCCTTCATGGCGGCCATCAGTGCTGGCTTCAAAGATGGCGGCCAAGTTATCGTTCCTGTCTTATTAGAGTTCACTGGTTGCTATAGCAACGACTGCCAGGCACAAGCACTGGGCACAAGTTCTGAGTAGTTTTCGGCTCTAGGTATGTTGCCTGAAAGTTATATAAAATTTTAATCTTCTAGTCAAACGTTTAGATGCTGAATATCCCTGTTTTAAATGTAGGGAGCCACCTTAAGACTCCGCGAAGCAGCTTGGCATGTTGATATACTTATTATTGACTGTTTTAGAGTTATAGATACGGTTTAGATAGTTATAGATAGTTTTTCATATCACTTTACAAGAATGTTATGTCTAATGTTATAACTTAGACTATTATCTAAGCTATATTAGGGATATTTACAATTAATAAGAACTTAAAAAATGTTCAAGACAATAGTCAAAAAATTTACTTTTAAAAATGTCAAGATTGTCAATTTCGATTATGCTATTTGGCAAGGAGTTCCACAGTGATACTGCTCGATATTCAAATGATCGTTGTCCAGCATTAGGTCTATAGCCTGGTATATTTAATTTTTGTACGTTCCTAGTATTTCTTTGATGATCTTTTTTGAAATAGTTCAGCAAGATAATCATGCGCTAGTCCATTTAGACACAAATTGTCAATAAGGTATTGCAACATGCTAGCAACAGGTGGTCAGTTTAATTGTTTGAGTACTGGTAAGATTTGATCATATTTTCTTCTTCCTGTCATTATTCTCGCCGCAAAATTTTGAACTCTTTGTAGCTTCTCAATATTTTTCTTTGTAGTACTAGACCATACAGTTGAACAGTAATACAGTTTTGAAAATATACTAAGAATGAGATTATGCTTTCCGGCCAATTCCGACCGGAATCAAATAGGTGTTTAACCCTATAGAGTTAACCCAATAGAGTCACGAATTTCGCGGCTTACTCGCGAGAAAAATTTCGGCATGACTGCAAAATCAGTCAAATTCTAGAAATTTGCGACATAATGAGTGTATGGTGTCACATGCTAATGATGATGATGTCACATGATGAAGATGTCATATGATGTATGGTGTCACATGATGATGTATGGTGTCACATGATGATCGCATCGTGTAAATCGGCTTTAACGCAACAAATATCAAATATAATCCCAAAAGACGCAATGTGTCTTGCATAGCAGGATATAACCTTTTATTATATACACAAGCGCCAGATATGAAGTATGCTGCAGTTTCATTGGTTGGCTACTAGACAGATATTAGCTCATATCTGTCTAGTAGAGAAAGTAAACAAAATGGCTGAAAGATTTGGGGAGTTGAGTGAAATAGAAATCCAAGCTTTAGTTGATAATAGCACACTAAAATGCACCGAAAGGGCGACAAAGTTTGTGTATATAATAAAACAGTTATTCTTCCCACTCTCGTGGTATATGGCCGATAGCCAACTGAACTCGGCGCTACGCGCCTCGTCGGCTATCAGCTCATATACGACTCGAGTTCGCAGAATAACTGTTTAATATATGACCAAACCGATCAGTGTAGCACGATGTGGAACGTTATAGGTTAGGCTTAGATTGGTATATACTAACATAGGAGACACATAGCTATAATTGGAAAATAGAGCTGGTATGTACGGAACTAATTAAACTAATGCATGCATAGCCGAACTAATTAAACTAATTAAACTAATGCAGCATAGTTTCTGTGATACCACGCTACACCACCCTCCACAGTAATAATGTCAAAGTTATTTTAAACAAAAACTGGCCTGCTGATAAATTTACAACCATGCAGTCTTTAGCTATCAACTTACGTAGCTATATTTGGTTTACTCTTCTAAACTTGTACTTAGGTCGCTAAATTTTCTTGAAAATGTTTTCTTAGAACGTCTTGAACGCTGTATGGACACAGTAAAATTCTTGTGTGTGACCTTTAGTGTCAACCGGCAAATATAAACTGATCTGGACTGAAAATCTGAAAAGCACGGAGTTCGTGTTTTAGGCTGGTCAGGGTTCGTAGCCAGGGGAAAGTCGTGGGAGCTGCGACTCCCCATCCCTCGGAAAAATTATTGCTAAAATATATAAAAAAAGTTTAAAATGAATTAATTAAGTACAATTAATTCTAACAGCATGCATTTCCTACTATATATTCCTACTACTTATTATAATAAATTCCAATTCGTGATTCCAGTCCAGTTCGTGTTTTAAGACCCGTTGTCTTGCGCAACCTGTCAGTATAAAGTATATCGCCGAAGTTATTTGTTGCTATATGCCTGTATCTTATGATATACAGTAAAGGAAACAACTGTTAATGTGAAATATATTCCGGTTGTAGGATATAAAAAAACTCTATTTTTGTTTTTTGAAATCTGAACCCTTTAAAACAGAGATTCTACCGTAGAATACCTGCATGTGTCATAGCGGATTTGTGGGATCCAGTCCCCGGATTTGAATACCCCTGCATCCATGCAGTTCAATTGAAGGAATATCGATAACGGTAGTATGTAATAATGGAATAATGCGTGCATGTTTATTATATATATATGTTTGCTCACACAAGGAAAATATTCGCCGCAATGACTTTGCAATGTCAATTATGCGGCTGTAACTGAAGTTGATTCAGACATTCAGTTGATTTTAAGGGAATGTATTTTGATATTTTAGTGGTGCAACTGACTGACTTGTAGAGGAGTATTGCGAGTGCCATTGTCGGGGTGAAACTAAACTTTGTCCAATTTTGTACTCCAGTCTCCGAAAAAGGACCGTAAAGTTACTCGAGTCACTGCAGGCATTGACTAGATCGGGTAATCCCTGACATAAATCCTGTATAAGTTTGACATTCTCGTCAACGTCCCAGATCTGCAACACCTCGTTATACGTTTAATTTCAAGCTTGATGACACTCGTCCATTTGTTTATCATCATGCAGCAAACCAGTGTATATACCTCTTGATTAGTCACTAGCATATTATGTAATAGAGCATATGGTACTGTGTACTGAAATAAAATGTACTTTGACGTTGTCGTTTGAGATTGCGTTCTTTGCATGTTACCTGTTCGGGATAAAATTTCATAGCTTCGTTCCCACGATATCTTTCAAACTCAAATAGAGGCGTCCTTCGTTTACGTTGTTCGAATAAGGTTTTGATGCGACGTGTGGATCAGCCGTTCGAGACTTGGTCAGGTGGAACTTGTTCACGGCCTATCCCAGAGTATGCTGCTAAAATATTCTTTCTCAAACACCACACCTGTTATACAGAGAAAATTTGCTTGAAATTCGCTTCTATAATTGCAACCATTCCTCAAGCGATTTTACACGAAGAAGGTGTTGTCTCAATTACCCAGTAATTCCAAACTGATTCTTCAATATTCTATCAACTCGGTATTTCCCAACTAATCTGGCCATTAAAGCGCAAACGTTTTAACCCTGCAATTTTAAATAGCTTTCAATTGTATTTATAAAGAGCATGCTACGCAGTGAAGTGAATAATACTGTACAGACTAATTATAGTTGATAAGAATATGCATTATTTGACATGAATACATAAGAGTAGTTGAATTATACCTATTAATTAGGGCTAATAAGTATTGACATACATTTTGTGAGTTCACTGCCATTAGATTTCAACTAGTATAAATTAAAACGTATAGTTTTAGAAGCTACTTTTATACGACCGGGTTTCTAGAATAGAATTATAAAAAGTTATTATTAGAGCCACATATGACATCTCACAGTAAAAGTTGTCCCAAAAAGAGATGACTCTTTAGAAGTTTCCTTTTGTTATAACTCAATTCCGGTAGTTTTCCTGGATGAAAACAATAAAATAAACATTTTCCAGGTTGGATATTTCAATCATTCTGTGCATGTAACAGACGCGCCCATACATAACCAGTCCTGGATGTTGGTGAGTAAACTACACATGTGTCATTAATTTGGGTTGTTTAAAACTTTTACTAGCTGGTTTTAGAAAATCATCGCATTCCATACACGCTCTGTAACCTTCTCTGTGATAAACAGTGAACAAACGAGGTGTAAAAAATTGGTTTCCAGTTGTATGACGAGGAAAGGATAAACAACTCTCACAGCAATGCCGGTATGAGCAACAACTCCAACAATCACAGCAACCCAAACCCACAGGAAAACCGGAAACACTTTCGATTTCTTCTTGTGTGAGCGTCGGTCCCTCGCCCCATTTGCTGTCAAGATTCTCTTTTTCATCTTTCCAGGTTTTCTTGTCCTTTTCCTCGTCCTTTACGACCGTGGATGGAGAACGCGGAGCAATTAGGACAATGTGGCCCTCGTCCTTGGAATCTTTATTGCGGTCTGAAAAGAAATATATAGAAATTTTATTACTAGTAGCTAGTCCGCGTATTATATGAAAAATCCAGTAAATCGAATCAAATGCTGAATACTGTTATATATTTTAGGAATTTGGTAGCATTAGTAATTAATTAGTAGCAACCAATGACAAAGTAGTTGATAGAGAAGATATAATCTGGTATCGGAAACGTAAGGTGAATTAATTGTGAAGTGATAGCGGAGATGTAAGGACTGTGTCTCCATTGCAAGTGAAAAAATAAATAATATAAAACCAACAAAATTGTGAATGTGAATAGTGTTGCGAGCGCATCGAAACGAACAGAATTTCCAACAATACCAATCAATTAAGTAATAATTACATACGGATTCTCGTTTTGCGATTTTGAAGAACGCGGAACGATTAAGACAATTTGGCTTTCACGAACCTCATTGAAACCTATATATATCGAGGTATATATAAAGCCAAATTACAGGACAAAATTACTCAACGCAAATTTGGAAGAATTTGTAAGTTTGTAGCGCCAGATTAAACTGGACGCAAATATTCCACAAAACATTAACAATTTTATAGCTTTAAGTAAAAATGAACGTAGGAAAAACATCATCCCACAATATCTATGAATATGTATGAAGATATCTATGAATCAACGCTTTCACTAAACATATAGGCGAAGTAAAAAAAGAACCTTCAATTGAGAGCCTTCTCTTAGAGATACAGGCTTGGCACCAGAAATGATATTTCTGCCAAATTTGTGAAATCCAGCGATGAAACGATGAAATATTTTTTCTATTCTTTTCCGGAAAACTTACCAAACTGCATGGGGAACGTTGTGAGACACTTACGGTCAAAGTTGAATTTTTCTTAGCTAAACACCTACCAGTTTCAGAGTAAAGAACTTTAAACTTATACATCCTTGGATATTTCTGATTTTCTACATCCTTGGGATGGACATATTTATTCTTTATGTCAGTCAACACATCTCCTCCGTCCATTGCAGTGAAAGAGCAATCCAATATCTCACGCGCATACTCCATAACCTGTATGATTTCCTTGGCATAGTCATCTTCTGATTCAATATGGGATCCATCCGCGACCAGAATTCTCGGTAATCGCAACTTTAACAGGGGTAAGAGGCCATAGTTTTCAAAATGGCCACCGTCACTTAGATGTAACATCGCTGGTGGTGTTGAACCATGGTGGATGAAATTTAAAAGCGAATTCACAAAACGATAAATGGGCAGGTGTACAAGTAACCAACTGTGTGTTCTGCAATAATATGACAAAACCTCTTCAAATTAATGATTTCAGGAAGGCCTCTGTACAAAAAGGTAGAAAATAATAGATAAATATTGGTAAGTATGCTTGCTAAATTAGAGACGAGCGGTTTTGCTGTCGAAAACTAACAGTCGTCGATAACTAAAAAATAACGTCTGTGAAGTTGTAGTCGTCGGGAATTACCCGATTTTCTGAGGGAAAACTCGTCACTTGTCGGCGACTATTTTTGAGTGACAAGCCAAATTTTCACAGTGAGACAGTCATCGACGAGTAATAATTGTCGACAACTATCCTTCACTTTGAAACATTGTGTGCGTTTCTCAGGAAAATTTTAAAATGGAGGAAAAATAAACTAAATATTTCGAGAAAGGTGCATGTAAAATATTTTTTATTGGGTCACGGGAAAAATGTTTGACTTCGTTTTAAATAGGCATAGTTGGTATATCCGATCGAGTCAGAGATAGCTGCCAGTCATGCACGGTTTATATTATTCTGCATTAGAGATAGATGATTGAGAAATAAGGGTTTTTTTAATTGGTCCCGGAAATAAAAAAAAACTAAAGTTAAGAAGGTAAGAGAAAGGTATTCGTTTCGACAAATCTATTGTTGAAGAGGAGTCTTTATTCATTTGCATCTTTCATGTATATGTGTCTTTGCTAAGTCGTCCAGGCAGATTGTATGTTTTTTAAAAATGTACTTACGGCGAATTATTAAAACAGGCCGATATCAAGATGCAAACCAATATCAGTGACGCAATTATAGCTGTAATTACCACGGTCGAGACCGCAGAAAAGTCGAATGTCCAAAGTACAATTCCTGCAATGCCAATTAATAAAAATATGGCAAAATTTCCAATATATAAGCAAACCTATATTGAAAGAAAAAATATCAAAGTTATACAATACTCTGCAATTAGTATATGGCATATTTTTCAATATAGGCCCTAGTAATTGAAAGATCATGAGCATTTTGACTAATTTTTGATACAGCTACACTATAACTATTACAATTACATGCATGAAGTAACCCTTCGCCATTTCACTACACAATTTCCTGAGCTAACCCAATGCCCGGGTGTAATCACTGATATCCGAGTGGAATTATTACCGGCGCTTCACACCCGCTCGAGAATAAATTTAACAAGAAAATTAAATTTAATTGCTTTGTAATCTTGTTACCAGTAAAAATGACAGACAAAACTATTGGGATGGAGATTGACAAATATATCGTATTTATTATAGGCAAAAACTTACCCAATGACATATACCAGCATTTCTTTCATTACCCATGTCATAAACAAGATTTGTAGCCATTTCCATGCCCAGCAAAGTCAAAATATGCGTAAAATTTTGTTCTTCTGCTTCATGCTTTCCAAGATAGGGCGAGAGGGCCGCGGCAGACATTGCCATCGCTGAAGATAATTTAATATCACTGGGTTTCAGTTTTTCTGCGAAATCTTTGCCATTCAAACAGCTCGTTCTGAATTTGTCCAGATTTGGATTTTGATTAGGTATAGCTTCCGGTTGCTGATCTATCACAGAAATCCCTTCAAAAAAGAAACTATATATAGTATATATATGGGAATTTACTTCATTTAAATTCATGATATCGGTTTATGATGCCGTAACTACAAGTATTGTACGGTATTTACAACTTCGTGGTTTAAGAAGGATTAAACATCTGCTATATGTTCATGAGTTTCCCACAAGTGTACGCGGGGCTTTCTTTTTAAGAGGGAAGTGAATATTTTGTGTAACCGAAACGGAAAATTCCCCTCTTCATTTCAAGCTTATTCCCCTTCCTAACAATGTAAACTCGATCTTATTTATCTTAGTTCAACCTGAGTAGATAATTGAGTTCGGACAGGTGACGGTACTTGGCTGTAAAACCGTTGTTATATCCCATAACATCTTTTTAGCCAAATAACCGTTATTAGCTATATCCGAATTACGCGTAGGTAGATTTTTAAAGTTGAAAGTACTTTCATTTTTTAGTTTATACATGTTGATATAAATAAAGAAAGTGTTGGAGAATCCACTTTTTATATTTTAGGGAAAAAGAAATAAATTTATTTGATTAGTTTATCTACGCAGTATTCTTCCGGCATGTATTATTGTCCGCCAAATTATTGTGATATAGGCTATTTGTGTATAAGGAATTACAGTCAATTACACTCAAGCTCCGTTCACACTACACCAAATTTATTGGCACGGCACGACTAAAATGGGTACCCGTGCTCAATTTTATTAGTGCTCAGACAAAGGTCGGGCACTAATGAGATGGGCATGCACGGGGACCTATTTTAGCCGTGCCGTGCCGATAAATCGAGTGTAGTGTAAACAGGGCTTCAATCATCGCAGTCAGTCACTGAAAGCTCTATTAATATTTAGCCGTGTTGACCTTTTAGAAGAATTGACTAGTAAGAAAACTCAACAGATCAATAGCTATACTCACGCACCTAGTGCTGGACGCAGGGTTAAGTAGAATAAATTACACCTTACTAACAATTCTAAAGTTCACTGATTTTTCAAAGAATATTATATTTAAACCATGGCAAATTAGAGATTTTTTTCTTCCCTACACTAGATCGTTATAATAATATAGTACTATTAAATGCGAAAAATAGTGAACTGAGAGAAAATATCCTACAACTAGAGGCAGGCGTAAGAATTTTACTAACCTTTTGAGCTCATCGTGAGTAGATTATATTTTCGATCGTAGTTTTTGCGCCAACCGTTTACTACCACATTACTGAGGTACTCTGGTTTCATTACTTTTTTTCCCAAGTTTTGCAATGTTATTTCTCCCCCGCTTTGCTGGTCATTTGGAGCCTCTTCGTCGACTTTAGGTGGACACACGCAAGACGCACAAAAACACGATGGACAGTGGCCACCAGGAAAGATGTCATAACAATAACAGCATATTTTGGATTGTGGAGGTTTATAAAAAGCTTTCTGCAGTCTCCACCTGTAAGAAACACATTTCGCAGGTTTAGAACTTTTCTCATTAAAAACACTAGTTCGTATTCATTCTTATAAGACATGCATAGCGAACCTAATGATATTAGATATTCAGACAACACAGCGTATTTTAAAACGTATATAAGTTCAAAATGAGAACAAACAATGTGACTTTAGCAGTTTGTTTCTATAATAAGTTATGTGATTATCAATTATAGGACTTGTAAATTCTCACACCTGTTATAAATATGAACCAAGCGAAGTGGAAAATCTCCAAGAATCGAAAATACTGCTAATATCACCACAGAAACAATGAAACATATCTCAAATCTCTCTTTTGTGTACTCAAATGTGAGAAGTTTTCTCTCATATAGGTGCCAGTACACGACATATGAGTAGGAATAGATAAGAATCACAAGGGAAGAGTACTTGCGCAAAACTGGAACAAAAAACCAGAAGAATGCCGTAATAACAATTATGCCGACCTGAATAACAAGGGGCGAAAATCGTAGGAATTCGTTAATGAACCATGGCAGAAACGTAAAAGCAAAAGTAGCACCACAAATTAACTGACCAAGCTTTAAAACCATCTTACACAAGTTCTTCTTCTCGGAAAGTTTCTCACATAAGTTCTCCCAACAGTATTCAAGCAAATGAAAAACAACAAGCAAGCTAAAAGAGATAGAAAAAAGTAGGTTGCGCTCTACACAATCCGTGCTATCAGGATTTACACTACAGAGTGTACCATCAAGAATTTGACCATACAGATGTTTAATAATCAACGCAATTGGAAAAGCGAAAGAGCCCCAACAAGCAATTGGAGTTATTACTGCAACAAAGAAGAGCAAAGCACATAATATCACGAAGTCTAAGCAGCAGCAGCCCTTGACAAATTGACAATCGAAAAAATAGTTTGCATTTTTCCTCATATTGTCAAAAAATTCGTCCGTCCATCCGTTCGGTTCCCCTTTTCGGTATTTCCACTGGACATAAGCACTTCCAGTGTAACCTCCGCCAGACACGCAGCTTAAATAATCAGGTTCTGCATCTCTATCAAGAAGCCTGCGCAGAACACCTGAACAAAAAGCCGCTGACCGGATTCCACCGCCCGAGAAAGCCACGCCCAGCTCATCATGGTTTCGCTGTGTGTTTACCGTGGGTTCTTAAAAAAAATGACAATGGAAAATTTGATCACTTGCTGGTTTACACTCTTGTAACAAGGGAAATTACTATCGTGTATTATGTTGAGTGTTTGCAATGATATTAGAGTCAGCCAGTTATTAGAGTTAAAAAAAAGATATTCTGGTTGGAATACGTTCTTTTTTACCTGAAAAACACCCTGAAGGTTTTATCTGGATATAATTTGCAGATATATAGTAAAAATTGCAATAAATATTTACAAAACAAGGAATTCTTTTTTTAAGAGTAAATACAAGCCAACTGAGTTTTTCCTGGCCAGCTGCATACATTCCAGCCTCTTCAGAAGGTTTGTATAAATTATTTTTTATAAGACCATTACCTGATTGATTTGTTGAAGATGATGTTGCGCCTGACTTATTATCCGCGTCTTCATTCTGAAACAACAGAATAAACAGGGCTATGATAAGTTGCAAAATTGGCTGACATTTTAAAAATCCCACACGAAGCATAGGCAGCCCAAAAATAGTGGTAGAAAGCTGTAACTTATTGATTGTGACTAAATTCGCCCCATTCTTTTTCCACTAAACTCGCGCCGGTACTTTTTCCCAACTTTCCCACAATATTTTGACATTTTTCTTTGGTAGGTAGATAGAAAAATTATCAGTATTGATTGTGCTATATTTTTTATTGGTTTTCGTTAACGTGTATGAAGCATTTTGCTATTCCCACAGGGACTTCGGCCGCATAATGCCAAGATAGAAGCTAATTCTTAATCACCGTATTAGTATGTAAATGGAATAATTAGGCATCAATAAAATAGCTTAAAACGAGTGTAAGGCCAGGTTTTGCTCATTCACTGTTCGAAAACAGAAGAGAACAGATAGATCGGTCAAATTTATTGCAATAGATCTCCGGATGTCGCAACTGAGCCTATAACCAATGGATAGCCCGGTTGTTCCTGCTGAAATAAATGTCGAAGAAGTTATTAAAGCCTTCAACGTCGCTCATGCAAACGCCGCTCCACAAGAAGCAGTAGCAGAACGCCCAGCTGAGATACCAGCAGAACGCGGCCAACCTAAAGAACAACAACCTCCAGCGGTACCGCGAGCAGAAGCCCACGAACAACAGCGAATAATCCCGCCACCTTTGCCTCGGGTTAGTATGGTTTTCGTTTGTCAAGCCACGCCTTTGTCATTTGGGCGTCCCGGTGTTTTCGTCTAATGTTTCACTGTATAATCCAAATTGTTTGCGTCTTGTTCTTTGTCACTCTTCGGTCATGGTCGCTTAGTTCCAGTACATTAATACTTGTATACAATACAGTACATTAATACTTGTATAAGTTATGGAACCACCGTTCGGGCAAGTATAATACACCCTGCTCAGCAATAGCTACCGCCACTTTACACGGAGTCCAGTTAAATCCTAACATTGATCGTATATCTTGCCCAATTCAATTTTATCACGCTTGTTTATCGACGCTCGGGGTGACATAGTCTCTGTGTGAGACCAGACTCTCTGTGTGAGACAACTCGAATTAACCCTCTGGATGAAAATTCTCTGTGTGAGGCGATTGGAATTTGTTTATGTGTTCTACAATGGAATTTGTTCTCGGTGTGGGACAACAGCAACTTCCATTTGACCAGAACGATTTAATGATGAAAATTAGTCTCTGTGTGAGGAAACCTCTGTGCGAAGCAGTCCCGGTGTGCGACAAGATCTTCTGCTTAAAACAAGTGAAATTTGCTCTCTGTGTGAGAAAATCCCTGTGTGGGATGATTACTTTATGCTCTGTGTGAGGCAATCTCTGTGTGAGGACAACTAATTTAGTTTGTTGTGCCACGATATTTCACTGGTATGCAATAAGAACATTTGTGTTCGATGCGCACCCGAGAAATGTTTACTCTATGACTATGTGAGATAGCGACAGTTTCGTATAACTATTCTGATTTACGCATATTTATCTCTGACCAAAGTTGCTTTCTTTCGAAAATTCTCTACGTTTGATCATCCTTATGGTATTTGATTCGAGAGGGGCAATTCTAAACACATGCCTTATACTCTGTCAACGACGGGGTTCTCGATCAGATGCATTAGAGTGAGATGACCTAATTTAACAAAAAAAAAGAAAGCAACAACCAAAAACAAACAAAACCAAACAATAGAGTTGCTACGATGTTGCTTGTCCTCGTCCCTACAACCGATCTAGAGCTCGTTGCTACAACTGTCGTCGGGTTGGTCATTTTGCGCGAAACTGTCCGTATCCCAAATGACGGTTGACACTCAGCGACTCATGGCATTTAAACGTACTTCCTTGAATGAGTTTGAAATTATAAATTTATATGGCGATCTTCCTCCTATATCTACAATGTCAATATTTATATCCCATTGTGTGTAATAAAAATATACACTATTACAGTGTTGATTCCTTTTGTTTCACAGCCAGGGCCGAGTTTCCACAATTTTGACGCTGATTTACAACAAGCTTTACATACCGTGCGTCGCATTGAATGGTGTTCTTCCACGACTGATAAAGCGGTCCCTAGGGGACCACTCCCTCCACTAGGATGGGTCGCCTCGGGCCGGGTGCTTCCCACTCCAGCTTGGCTTTCTTTCCGACATCCAGACCATTTTTTTGCGAATAGGTTCGTAAACACGCCCATTTTTGGGAACATATTCTACGCCACCACATCAAGCGTACTGAAATACACTCCTATATCACCAATGGAGTTGATGTGCACTCCTTTTGGCGTCATTTCACTGGTACTTTTACCTCGACCGAGGTCGACCTTTGAAATTTTTCTCACCATTCCCTGTCTAGGCGGCGGCAGGTGTGAACGTTTTTGCACAACGCATTTCCCCTTTAGAGAATGCGTATATATTCCCTCCATTCGTTTTAATCGGCCCACTCCTGAAGTTTCTTAACACACAATCAGTGTCTTATTCTGTTGTCGTACCAGACCTTTCTCCACGACGGTATTGGTGGCCACTCCTAACAGGTTCCTCTTCTGCTTCCTTTTGTCTCGGCAATAAAGGGGATCCCGACATTCTACGTTTTCCAAGCTCGGAAGGATTCGCACCCAAACCTTTACAATGGGATCTTTGGGTATTTCGAGTTTCACACTGTTTGTTTCCGTCATAGATCTAACCCGAGATACCGCGTGTTTGGCAACCAGCAGAAGCTTGTCCGTATTGTACTTACGCAAACGATCAAGGTTTCCATTTTTTTCAGCGATGTGGTTTTCACAAAGATGCTGCTTGTACATCTCTGTTACCCAGAGTTCCTTCGAACTTCTCGGCTATCAACGCAAGACTGGTGTCCCTCCAATCGGTACAGGAGAAAAAGCCATATAAAAAGCAGACATCACACCTTCAAAGACAGTTGGAGTAATTTTTAGCTTCTTTATCATTATCGAAGTCACTTCTCTCAGCTACGCCGGACGATTTGATCCGTTTTCTTATGTGGAGGGATCAGTTTGGTAAAAAATCATCCACAAGGATTACTGTCCCTTTTTTGGTATGACTGCGCGAAGAACTACTTGTGATTGTCCCAGACGGTTAGCCGCGGGTACCGTAGATAATAATATCGCCAAGTTACGAACTATTTTTCTTTCGACTGGTCGATCAGACACTGTGTCCATGGTTCCGCCGTCAGCAATCCTGCTGCACATCCTTCGGTGAAGTCTTACCTCGCTTCCGTGCGCGAGGAACAAGCAAAAGCCAGGGTTACCGCTCGGCAAGCTGCGCCTTTCTTTTTCGATAAGTTCAAGTCTCTTTGTGCATATTTACGGCATCAAAGTTTGGCTACAGATATACCACCCACATCTCGCTACCTACTCGCACGCGTCCTTGCCTTTTTCGCCCTAGACTTTTATTCTGGAGATCGTGCCTCCGACCCGGGATGTGTCAAGACCAAGGAGATTCTTTCTTTGCCCAAAAAGGAAGGACTCTTGTTCCGTCATACGTTCGGGAAAACACTCCGAGGGAACGATGTCCATACGTTCGCGGTGCGTACATGTGCTGACTCAGTGGTCTGCCCGGTTAAAAACATTTTCCTGTACGTGCATCTTTCGGACGCCATGGGAATCAATTTACGGGACGGTTATTTGTTTCGGGCCTCAAACAGCAAAGGGCAAATAACTCGAAACCCTTTCAAATGTTCTGCGGTGGGAAAACGCTTAAAGAAGCACCTGAATGCTTTGAATCTTTCGGACGGAGAAACCGTGCACAGCTTTCGCTCCGGATGTTCCATAACATATACACAATACTATACACAGACCCGCCGAGTGATGCACACCTCCAAAACAGCTGCCCTCCTTAGTGAAGCTGCCGCACCCGCTACCACGATGCTTTCATCTCCAGCCTCTCGCGTTGGCTCACAATTCCGTAGTCGAAACCGTCTGGACAATTTCTCTGTGACATTTGCTTGACTGTACTGTAATAAAAATATTTTACTTCCGATCTTCTGAGTATTGGAGAAGAGTGACGTATCTACTTCTGTTTTTCGGGGTAGACCATTTAATAAAGCCCAATATGTCTGAGGGGGAAATTGACTAATTCAATAAGTTACAGCTTTCTACAACTATTTTATGGCTGCCTATGCACGAAGCGGCATATTGTAAACTTTTCCGTGCAGGATTGTCTCATCTTGCACGCCTAATAACCAATCAAATTGCGTGTTTCGTTGCAGTTGTTATATAATCAACTTTACCTTTTACACCCTTTTACTTAACAGACCTATACTTTTTGCACAAATATTATCCCTTATATGCTATGATAACAAAAGAAACAATTGACACAATGACAAAATCCAACAAAGGAGTCATTAGTCATGCACCTGATTTTTTGCACTTCCAGTGTAACCTCCGTCGACGTTAGACACGCAGCTTGAATAATCCGGTGACCGGATCCCACTGTTCGGGAATACCACGCGCAGCTCTTCACCCTGTGTGTTTACCGTGAATTCTTAAAAACAATGACAATGGAAAATTTGATCACTCGCCGATTTACACTCTGTGTCATCTACATTATGTTAATTGGGTATCTGCAATGCCAGTTAGAGTTTGCCGAGTTTTACGGTGGTCTAATCATCGAACTGTAATAAAACCTGTAAGGTAGTTTTTCTGAGTTTTTGATCGTTCGAGACAGACGTAGAGGGTAATTAACTAGAAATGTCTAGAACTATGTACAGTACAATCATTCGCTAAATTTTATAAGAATTGAAGAAGAAACAGGCTATTTTTTTGCTTCAATTTTTAGCTTGTACGAAATACCAAAAATTTCAACAAAATAGTAAAAGAACAACAAAGATATTCTGGCTGGAATACGTTCTTTCTTACTTGAAAAACTCCCTAATGGTTTTATCTTGATATAATTATTTTGCAGATAGTGCATAGTAAAAAGTACAATAAATAATTACAAAAACAAGGAATTCTATTTACTAAGGGTAAATCCAAGCTAACTGAATTTTAATTTCCTGGCCAGCTGTACACATTCCAGCCTTTCCAGGAGGTTTGTATAACGTAGTTTTTATAAGACCATTACCTGATTGATATGTCGAAGATGATGTTGCGTGCGACTTCTTATTCGCATGTCGATTCTGAAACAACAGAATAAACAAAGCTATGATAAGTTGCAGTAACGCGTTACGGACAAAGAGATGAGAAAGTGTCATTACTGCCATGATATCGCATCGCGTGAGTTTCCTGAAAGTTTTTATAATTTATTGAAGCAATATTTACAATGAAAATACCTTATTAAGTAGAAAAATTTTTAAGTCATTGGCAATCTATATTGTCGAAAACGTATGCACAGATATGAATACGTTTCCTGAATTAGTCACAACATTGGATATTTTAAATGTTTAATATAAAAACAACTAACGATTGAGGTTTTAAATCTCACACTCTCCTCACTCTCCTCACTCTCCTCACTCTCCTCGCTCTCTCCTCGCTTCCGTTCTTCTTCATTTATCTTAAATGAAGTATTCCCATCTTTCAACAATATACGCAATGAAACGAGAGGATTTTGGATTTGCCATTTGCCATTGGTCAGTCATGCAAATGCTGCGTACATACAATCAACTTTACCTTTTACAACCTTTTACTTTTTACAAACCTACACTTTTTACACAAAGCTTATCCCTTAGCTATGATTACGAATGAAAAAATCCAAGGAATCAGTATGCGCGTGCAATATATATCTCGTGTCGAATGACGGTTATAGTCTACAATACAATACTCATGCACCCGATTTTTTACACTTCAGTGTAAACTCCTCCAAACACGCAACTTAAATAAGCCGGTGACCAGATTCTACCGCTATCATGACAATTCGAACGAAAGAGCATGGGCGCGCAATTCCGTGTTGAACGACAATTATACAGTGTGTATAAAAAAAATTCGAATCGAACTTTGACAGGCTGCTGTGTATAAAATATTAAAGTAAACGATATAATTTTTATATGGCAACAAAGATTAGCTTATTTAGTTTGCGATTATACCGTTCTTATATCGACACGACCGAAACTGGCCGAGTTATCGTCTTTTAAAAATTGTTGCTCGAAATCAAATTTTTCCGCCTCTGGGAATTCGAAGTGAGACCTCCAGACAAAAGAAAATGCAAATTTAATTAAATCGACAAACTGTTATGTAGCAAAATTTACATAATTTCCTGTTAATTCAATAATGAATTTAGGGTCCTATGCCTTTAACATGTCCTCAGTTTCTGTGTGTGCAAGTTTGACAGCGTCGAAGTATACCTTGAATTGCTCGTCGAACCGTATCATAAAATGTTTTTACATGCAATATTCGAATTATATGTTTCTTGTTCCTTGCTTAATTGTGTTCTTCAAAGCGATCGTTGAACATTGAATAAGCAGATTTTGGCGATAAATTTGCATTTTAGTTTTCAGTAATAATTAGATTTTTAAGCCCTTTGGGGTTAATTTTCAATAAAACAAAGATGAACTTATTTAGTTTGCGATTATACCGTCCAATTCCCATCGGCGGAAAATTGTGATTTTAATGAACTTTTTTTGTCGAACCAGTACTCCTTCATTTTTCAACTAAATAACACGTACAACGAAAGAGAAATAAATGAACTTAACAATGGTGTAAAAATCAACCTAATTTGTCAAATATATTTTGCAATATAACACGCAAAATTTAGATTTTATATACCCTGTACAAACCGCTAAAAACGTCTGTGCTCGCGCCAAAATATCGAATAATGGAAAATCTAAATATCAACTTTTGGAACAAAACATGCCCGTTAATTGATAAAATATAAGTTAGGAAAAGACGAAAATATAGAAGACGGATAGACAGAACGATCGTTAAAGTATCGAACGAAATGGAGGAATTCATTTAAATTTTCTTGTTTTTAACGAGGTGGCTTCAGAATATTTTTCGAAAACAAAAGTTTAAGCCTAAAAGTTAAGAAAACCCAAAGAATGAAAGAATGAAAACACTCCTTTTTAACGCCATTTTTAGCCTTCGAAAACGTTCGGAACCGCTTTTTAATTATTTTTAATATCATTTACAGACAGAATTGACGCATGCGCAGACGTTTTTCCGCGGTGTTCAGTTATACAATGTGCATACACTATAATTTACACCTGGTAATTGAATTGACGATTTTTTTTGCCCAGTAACGTTTTTTTTTCGTCCATGTATTTTCTTTTTATTGGGATTGTAAAACAAAGTTGAGAACACCTTCTTGAAGTGATAGCTGAGGTTACTGCACAATTGGTCAACCTTCCTAAAACGAGGGAAAATCAATTAAGATTCAAAAAGTAGAAGGTCTTAATTTCAAGTGAAAGTTATACACATCTCAAATTCAGGGCGAGGAACAATAAGGCGGTCCACTAAAGAAAATTTACGATTATCCTCTTTTGAAAAACTCTAGGGATACAAGCCTAAATGTCTTCCTTCTCGATCTTGGATATCTTTAATCCAAGAAATACTGAATTATACAAAGTACGCGAGAATTAAAGCTATATTGAAATCTATATCTGCATGGTTATGGTCAAGCTTATTACCAAACCCTTTCCTAATATTAGAACATTAACAGAGAAACAGAATCAGTTCATTCCATTCCATTAATCCAGCGTAAAAAATATCGTTTCATGATATTTTTATATATAATGGTAAAAACTATTTTGATGAAACTTGCTTTATCAACTTATCACTTATCCAATGATGACTTCATTATCGAGGAGGTTGTTATGGTGTCGACTGGGTATCTTCAGAGTGAAGGTATGGACCTTTACTAGCTACCTTTACTAGCGTCTTTTTCAACTTGTTTTTTTTACTGATTTCCCAAATAAAAAATTCACTACGACTAGCATATATATGCATGGTGACACCATTGTAAAAAATGTTTATAATAGACCTTTCCCCTTTTAGCAGCACGCGCGCAATGCATGACGGTAGTTGATTATCAAAATTCATTTTAGTTGTCATGGCGCAGTGTTCGGAAGTGATTTTGTTTCAAAGGGAATCTTGCCGATTTTCAGCTTTTTTATTTCAACGAAAAGTATAACGCTTGTATCTTGAGACAATTATAGCTCCAAGCGATATGTACAGGGAAAAATAGAAGGGATCAGGGGTGGTTTTAACGAAAAAAACGGCTTTCCGAACACCAAGTGTGAACAGTTTATTCGGCGAAAATGGCCTTCGAACACGGTTCCATGTCACTTTTAAGCGGTGAGTCTTTGTATTATGTAGCGATCGGATGATTATTTTGATATGTACACAATCTCATTTATGTTATATTTACGCATGACCATTTTTGAATCCGTTCACACATTTTCTTCGCTATTTATTGTTGACTGAATCATGGCATGTGCCTTCGATTTTCGGCTATTATTTCGTTCATATATAACCTTGCTTCGGGTCGTTTGGCTTTGTCTGTTTTGGCGCGAAAAATACAAACATTTGTGACCGGTGTAGCAGTTTTAGTCAACAGCTGTGATATTTTCGCTTGTTACCTGGAATTTTACTTGTTTTTGTCTTGCAAACCTTTGAAAGTCGTGGTTCTTATCTACTCGTACTTGCCAGCAGTAAAGTAGGTTCTTATAAACCATTCTAAAATTCGAAATTAGTTGTATTTCTAGTTAAAAAAATCGTGTCTAAAATCGCTAAATATTATAAATAGTTAATATTAACTTAGATAGTTTTTAAATTTAGTTGAATTTTTAATATTAGGTAGAATTTTTTTAAATTGAATTAATAAATAGAGTATAATATTTCATACAGATAATTTTATATTAATATTTTTAAGTAGTAAAACTATAAATAAAGTTATAATAATAATAGACATAAATATATATATCTGGCAAAAATGGGAGATGAACCTAGCACCTCAAAAAATGCAGACAATTCTCAGGTAGAAACCACATGTAAAGTAAAGCGTGGGGGAATCAACTGCTGTGTTCCTCATTGCACAAATAATAATATAAAGAATCCAGAACTTTCATTCCACAAGCTTCCCAAAGATCAAGCTTTACAAAAAAAATGGGTCAAACTACTGAAAACAAAAGGGCTAGTGAGCATTGGTCAAAACACAAGAGTATGTTCAACTCATTTTCCTGGAGGGAAAAAAACATATTTAAATAACATACCTACTGAGTTAACTATTCGTCAGAATGTCAAAGCTCGAAGGCAGCTTTTTAGACAAGATATTTCACAAACTTTTCATATAAAAGAATGCCCAGAAATCGAAATTACATCATCCACTAACAACAAAGATATAGATGTGAGTAAAGCAAATGACACCACTATTTCACCCATGAATTCATGCGAGTTGGAAATGAAAGAAGAAATTAACACTCTAAAAACAAAGTGTGAGGAACTGCAGAAAAAGGTTGAAGCTGCTGATAAATGTGCCTTTCGGCTAGAAAGATTTATTGGTAGCGACCATGATTTTAAGTTTTACACTGGATTTCCTGACTATGCAACTTTTAGTGCCTTTTTTGAATATCTTTCACCCACATGTCAAAATTTGATATACTATGGTTCTAATACCACTTTAAATTCTGCAAGTCAAACAAAGCATGGCAAGGCTAGGATATTATCTCCCCAACAAGAACTATTTATGGTGCTGAGCCGAATGCGCTGTGGGTTGTTGTTGGAGGATGTGGCACACAGATTTGCTCTATCAACCTCACATGTTTCCAGAATTTGGATTACATGGGTAGCCTTTTTGCACCAAAGATTACTTGCCCTACCAATTTGGCCAAGCCGTGATTTTGTGGACAAAAATATGCCGGAATGCTTCAGAAAAAATTATCCTGCAACCAGAGTAGTCTTAGATTGCACAGAATTATTTATTGAGCGCCCAGCTTCCTGCAGGGGTCAGTCAGCTACATTTTCTTCATATAAAAATCATAACACAGCAAAAGGGTTGATTGGAATTTCCCCAAGCGGATATCCTAGTTTTGTGTCCTCCTTATATGCTGGTCGAATCAGTGATAAAAAAATAACTAAAGATTGTGGAATATTAGAACTACTAGAACCTGGGGATCAAATCATGGCAGACCGAGGCTTTGATATTGAAAGTGATCTCCCACAAGGAGTCCTTCTTAACATTCCACCTTTTCTTGATGGAAAGGAACAATTGTCCCTAGAGGAGGAGTTGACCACAAGGAAGATAGCATCAGTTAGGGTCCATGTTGAAAGGGCTATTTCCCGAATAAAAAACTATCGAATTTTACACCAAGTGGTTCCAATAACACTAGCAAAAGACCTGGATAAGATTTGGGCAATTTGCACTTATTTGACACTGTTCCTACCCCCATTAATTGTTGAGAAGAAGTAGAAACGGTAACATTGTTATTGGCTTGTTAGGCGTTTTGTAGTACATGAAGTATTTTCAAGAATTTGAAACAGCACTTAAGCTTGCTTAACATATGGTGTGCTGATGTTTGTACAAATGTTTGCTGATTATTTGTTTTCAAATTCAGTTGTAGAATGCTTTAAAGCACACAAAAAAAAAAAATTGCATGTTATAAGTTACACATATCATTCATTTTTCCATTATATACTCAAAGTAGAACTCTGATAACTGTGGTAACATGGTTTTCTCCCAAAGTTCCTTGTCAAAATAAATTCTTTCAACATGCAATCACTGTTTGTGAAACAACAAAAATCTGACCAGTTAAGCCCAAGTATGGCCAGGCATCCTTGCACTTGATAGTAATAACTGTGGTTATTTTTTAACAATATTTTATCACCAATTTTAGTAAGAAAAAAGTTCTTGTCATCACAAGCCTCATTTATTGTGCAATCTCGCTTAGAGTATGGGCATTTTATCTCTCCAAGTCCTAGTGCAGAGGTAGATTCACCTGAATCATGGATGAGGAAATCTGGGCTGGCCCCTAACCAAGGCGATGCTTTGTCGACAACAAACCCACACTGTGAACAGACATCAACACTGTTTTGCTTGTATGAAACATATTGCTTTAATGCCTCTATTTCTTTTTGTTTCCCCCACTTGCAAGGCATAGGACATGATGCTGACTTAGTACCGGCTGTAAGTGTTTTAATTATCGACTTGGGGTAAATTGATTTTCTTCTTTTGATTACTAAACCAAAATTTGATGCTGTGATGCGATGGTTCCGCTCAATGTACCACCTATCACACAGGCTTGTCCACGTGTGTTTCGCTCGATTTCTAGGAATTGATCATGACTTACTTCTAAACTAGAAGCTTGAACTACTTTTTCTGCAGGAATGTTCGCAAAGTTAATTTTCTTATGTTTTAAATTCTCCAGTGTTTGATCTCGCACATGACAATCATTTAGGTTGCAGGGAATTTGTTCACTGTGACATTTTTTTGAGGGAAGTTTGCTGTGGATTTCTTCAAAAAGGACAGGTTGAAAATTGTTTGACTGTAAAATGTTACTTAAATATTCTGCCTTTTTTTTGCATTGCAAATTAGTGACCAATTTCTTAATGTCATTTTGAGATACATCACCATTGGGAGGTGTCGGGTTGAAACTGACATCCCTTTCATTGCTATGTTTTCGCTTTGCACTTGAATCTTTTTCATAGGAGGCTTTTTTAAATGCAATGTCTTCAAAAAGGATGGTATCACTGGGATTGGACATCTGTCCAGATGGTACATTCCATTTTTGTAAAACCTGGGTACAGGTTACAACATCGGGCACTTCTGACATCTCTAATTGTACATAGTCAATAATTTGATACAACATTGCCGCAATATGTTTACATTGACCTCCCTTGCCTGCCTTACATGAGCAATGTCCACGGATAACGTCACCATTTATTTGATCCAAGTGTACATAAACCACATAACTCAACTTTTTCATTGATGCATGCACTGTTGCTTTTAATATGAATGACTTTCTGCCTGCACTATTTGGAACATTGGGCTTTACTTGAACATTGCTAACATATCCTTCCTTAAACAAACGATAGCCTAACTTCTCGTCTTTCTTAGTGCCAGTTGAGTCCAGGCCCAGGTGTATTTGAAGTTTATTGTAAGTAAATGGAGGTAGTAAACTGAGATCCCTGGTCCACAGTTGAATTTCTACGTGAGAATTGTCTGCATTTTTTGAGGTGCTAGGTTCATCTCCCATTTTTGCCAGATATATATATTTATGTCTATTATTATTATAACTTTATTTATAGTTTTACTACTTAAAAATATTAATATAAAATTATCTGTATGAAATATTATACTCTATTTATTAATTCAATTTAAAAAAATTCTACCTAATATTAAAAATTCAACTAAATTTAAAAACTATCTAAGTTAATATTAACTATTTATAATATTTAGCGATTTTAGACACGATTTTTTTAACTAGAAATACAACTAATTTCGAATTTTAGAATGGTTTATAAGAACCTACTTTACTGCTGGCAAGTACGAGTAGATAAGAACCACGACTTTCAAAGGTTTGCAAGACAAAAACAAGTAAAATTCCAGGTAACAAGCGAAAATATCACAGCTGTTGACTAAAACTGCTACACCGGTCACAAATGTTTGTATTTTTCGCGCCAAAACAGACAAAGCCAAACGACCCGAAGCAAGGTTATATATGAACGAAATAATAGCCGAAAATCGAAGGCACATGCCATGATTCAGTCAACAATAAATAGCGAAGAAAATGTGTGAACGGATTCAAAAATGGTCATGCGTAAATATAACATAAATGAGATTGTGTACATATCAAAATAATCATCCGATCGCTACATAATACAAAGACTCAACGCTTAAAAGTTACATGGAACCGTGTTCGAAGGCCATTTTCGCCGAATAAACTGTTCACACTTGGTGTTCGGAAAGCCGTTTTTTTCGTTAAAACCACCCCTGATCCCTTCTATTTTTCCCTGTACATATCGCTTGGAGCTATAATTGTCTCAAGATACAAGCGTTATACTTTTCGTTGAAATAAAAAAGCTGAAAATCGGCAAGATTCCCTTTGAAACAAAATCACTTCCGAACACTGCGCCATGACAACTAAAATGAATTTTGATAATCAACTACCGTCATGCATTGCGCGCGTGCTGCTAAAAGGGGAAAGGTCAAGGTCTATTGCTGGTGCTCTGCATTCCAAAACAGCTAGGGGATATTGGTATATTATATATAGACTGTTTTATTTTACTAAAGAACACCAAGAAATTTCCATGAAAATTACCACAACCTAGGAGTCGGTATTTTCAAACAGAACAGAAATTGAATGTATCCTGTGTGAACAAATCAATTAGCAACGCAAAACATGCATCTCAAGTGCTGAAAAAAAAACTATCTGAATGAGAGCTTCATTGTTAAACGCTTTGACATTTCTAGCGTCATATTTTCCGCCTTAGCTTTCTTTTCTAAGAGAAAATCCATGCACTCTGGAAATTTATTTCCACAGTGGCATTTTCACTATATTTAACGAAGCTCAATTTCGCAGGCGCATGTCCACACTGCTGCATGGGTATCTTTGGAATGACGCTATTAACTGGCGTCACTGGGCCTTCATTGGCGTCAACTTTCCGGAAAACAATTCACTACTTAGCATGCAGCGTACCTATGGCAACACGCCGCAACACCATTGTATATAAAATGGCACATGCATTCATAATGGTAGCCAAAGCTTCGCGCGCGAACCAGCTAGATATGTTGATATATTATATATAACTGGCGTCTTTTTCAACTCCCCGGAAACAATTCACTACACGATTAGCATGCAGCGTGTCCATGGCAAAACCATTATAAAAGAACACTCGTGTACACGTGCATGTTAATGCATGTACAGCAGATGGCGCTTTCACTGGGTATTGTTGTTGTATTGTACAGGACACCCTGATGCTATGAATGATCAATGGATTATAACTGTTCAGATGATGACTAAATGTATATACATATCTGCTATCAAAGTTTGTGAGAGGACTTTGAGGTGTTGAAAAAAGTCTTTATGACACCAAACAAGCACATGCTATTTTTATGGTGATTATATTTACTTTATTAATCCTACATTATATGATTTCCAGGATCATGTTATCTGCTCATTTTAATACCTCGAAATCATCTCACGCTTCGTTGCATCTCTGGTAACCGGGCTCATGTAAACAGGCTAATGTAAAAAGGCCGGGTACGGGATATCCTGCATTTTAGCCGCGCCGTGCCGAAAAATTGAGTGTTGTGTAAACGGGGTTTTAGTGTTGTGAATAATGGTCATTTAATTATGAATAATGGTTTTACAATATAGCTTGCATTGAACAACAACTATGTATGCATATGCCTATGCTACTTAGTACTGTTAGATTACGGTATTGCATTTTCCTGGCGTCGATCATGACCTGACAATTAGTAGAGAGTTAGTTATAGGTGTGAAACGGTATACGAGAATAATAATAAAAGACAATAAAAGAAATATACAGGAAAATCTACCATACAGGATTTTGCTGAAAGGGAATAAAAGAGCATATGTACTCGATTATTTAAAACGTCAGGTTCAATCAATGTTTAAAAACGATTTAAAACGAAGAAGTTAAACGAAAATTCTTCCGATAAAATTTGCCTTGCCGTTTCCCGGAAACACGAAGCTTAAACTCCGTAATATCGCGCGTCGCACAGGCATCTAATATTTAAAAATGTAAGATGATATATGAATGTGAATTACGCGTCTCTTCCACTAACCCCAGGTTAAAATAAATATGTATCCTTGAAATATTAAAAAAACCATTGGAGAATATTTTAATAGCGATAAAGAACTTGGAGGTTATAACTAAATAGGAGGGGGTTGTAAATTCATATATATTCGCTTTATGCCAAACTGATATCTTTTAAATGCGATTGTTCCAACGGAATGTAAACATATATGAATAAACACCTTTTCCATGCAATTAAGTGGTCCAACTAGCTACCTGCGGCCCTGAAGCCGTTTGCTTACGCAATCTGACGAAACTCGTTGTCGCGTCGAGCCTTTGACTGCGTGATTCTACAACAAACTGGTACTTTAAAGAAGTGACGACTACGAGGTTCGTGCGATGGCGTAAGCAAACAACCGGCGGGGAAGACGAATTCCATAATTTATAGTCGTAACGTAGATACAAGAATTTATTGCGAATAACTTAGTTATTGATGCACATATAAAAGCCTATTTACACGATGTTATTAGTCGTATACGATTCGTATACTGGCGTATGGATTCGAATAAATGCGTGTAAAGATGTCACATTTTAAATTTCGTTATGAACGGATAAACAGAAAGAGTGGCGTCAGCAGTCGTTTTCATAAGTCAGGATATAACAATCCTATACGACTAATTGCATCGTGTAATTCGGCTTTAACGCAACAAATATCAAATATAATCTCAACAGAAAACGAGTGCTTTTGTAACAGTGACACAATGTGTCTTGCCCACATGGTAGCAGGATATAACGTGACCAAACCGACGTAGCACAACGTAGCACGATGTCGAACGTTATAGGTTAGGCTTAGATTAGAATACTAACATAGGAGACACATAGCTATAATTGTAAAATTGAGCCGGTATATACGTAACTAATTAAACTAATGTGTTTCCAAAGACAGATCACGACTACGCCGTAGAGATTTTTCGTAATATATTATATAAAATACATTCTATAGTAAGATAATGATTAAGTTTGATTAGGAAAGATTCATTTTGATTAAATTGTCAATCGACTAAGACTATATGTAATCGCTCGTTACCTGAAGAGTGGATCTCTACAGCTATCTCTGAATTCAAACAATTGCTGATATAGGTCCTCGCTATATCTCTCTCTGACTAACGACTAAAGACAATCTACCGTGCATGCGTTTTGTTACTTGTAATTGGAACCGACATCCTGTTCATACTATCGTCAATCATATATGTTAATCATTGATGTAAATCAAGGTGTAATCAAGTTAAGGAATCAATTAGATATAATAAGTAAGTAAAGTAAGTTAGGCTGTCTGAAACAACCCTCCGGGCCTCTGTTAAAGAGATTCCTCTTCTAATATCATGCAGCATTTCTGTACTGACCGTTTATAAGTTCCCGTCTTCGTCTTCACGATTACGTTTCTTACCACACCGTCTTGTCCCGGCATAACCTCGACGATACGTGCCATGTTCCACCTCCCGCGTGGGAGATTGTCGTCTACCAACATTACGATGTCATTGACCTTTGGCTGTCTCTTCTTTTGCCTCCACTTTGTTCGGCGCATCAAACTCTGCAGATACTCCCGTTGAAACCGTTGCCAAAACTGCTGGATTAATGACTGAACATATTCGAACCTTTTTCTGCTGCTCTTTACTTCTTGGAATGGACCTTGTGGTGTCTCTGATGTGGCACGTCCTAAGATGAGGTGGTTTGGTGTCAGCGGCTGCAAGTCGTTGGCATCATTGGATGGATATCCAAGAGGTCGGGAATTAATCAAGCATTCTACCTCTGCAAACACTGTCGCCATGTCGTTCCATGACAACGTTTGTTGACCAACGATGGCCTTCAGTGCGGATTTCGTCAACTTCACCATGCTCTCGAAAAATCCTCCTTGATGGGGGCTTGCAGGCGTGTTGAACTTCCATTTCAGCTTATGTGATACGGCAAAGTCTTCCAGGTTTTTCCTTCCTTCTTTTAGAAGTTTCTTCAATTCTCGTTCTGTACCCACGAATGACGTTCCGTTATCCGAGATTATGGTTTTGGGCCAACCATGATGAGCGGCGAAACGTCGAAGGGCGTGTAGGAATGCTTCTGTTGATAAGTCTTGGACGATCTCCAAGTGTATTGCACGAACAGTGGCGCATGTAAAGACGGCTCCCCAGGCTTTTATCTTTTGTTTCTCCCATACTTCAAATAGAAGGGACCAAACAGGTCGACGCCCGTGACTGTAAATGGTGGTGCAAACAACTTCAATCTGTCGGGAGGGAGGTCAGCCATCAGCGTGGTATGCGGGTACTGTCTAAGTCTGCGACAAGTGACACAATCTTTGACTATCTTCCTGACCAAATTTCTGCCACGAGGAATCCAGAACTTTCTTCGACATTCACACAACGCACGTTCGCGACCGGCATGTAGGACGCGGTTATGAGCGTCTTTGACGACTAGCTTCGATATAACGTGGCTTACTGGTAGCAACACTGGGTGATTTTCGTCAAATTGCAAGGGAGAGCGAGCCAATCTTCCTCCCACGCGGACTACGCCGTCTTCTTTGAACGGGGCCAAATCTTTGTACTGATGTTCCCAGTCGCCAAGCTCCGTCTGAGCTGACTTTATCCAATGTGTTTCGGCTGATTCGATTTCCATCGGCTCGAGGGGGCCATCTTGTCGCTCTGCTGGGGTCTTACTGTTCTTAATAAAACGGAGACAATAGGCTGTGATTCTGCACAGTTTCCTCCAGTTCGAGAATCTTGATGGGTCCACTATGGGGTGTGTAACCTCTCGTTGCAGGGCAAGGATGTGTGCTGAACTCTTTACATCTGGTAGTTCAACTTGCTTGTTTGGGTGGGAGGGCCATTGCTCGACTGGATCTCTTAAAAATGTGGGGCCTTTCATCCAACGCTCTTTCAACTTTTCCACTGGAATGCCTCTACTTAGGTCATCTGCAGGGTTCAAACCTGTCGGAACGAATCTCCAGCAGCAGGGTTCCCATGAGGTCTGAATTTCTGTCACTCGAACTCCGACGAATGGCTTTAGGATGGTCGATTCTGCTTGGATCCATGCGAGCACAATCATGGAATCCGTCCAGAACGTTACGCTTGATGGTTTTATCTTGAATTCACCTTGGATCGTTTTAGCTAGTCTTGAGGCTATTAAGGCCGCCATAAGCTCCAATCTCGGTATAGTTGTTTGTCGAATTGGCGCGACTCTCGCTTTGGCTGCCACAAGGCGGGCTTCGACACCGTCAGGTCGTGACCAAACAAGATAGGCTGCTGCTCCATAGGCATTGATACTGGCGTCGGAGAATACGTGAAGCTGTGGTGAACCGGATGCATTATTCGGCTTTAGACAACGCGGGAAACAAACAGTGGATAGGTTTTCTAACTCATCGAATATCTTGTCCCAATTATGCTGTAGCTCTTTTGGAAGTGGGTCATCCCAATCAAATTTCTTCATTTTCCATACCTCCTGCAGCGCCATTCTCGCTTTTATCGTTACTGGTGTTGCTAATCCGAGGGGATCGAAGATTCGAGAGATGTTTGACAGGACTGATCTTTTCGTATAAGGGGTTGTTCTCTTTAATTGGACTTGAAAATGAATCGTATCAGACATCGGATTCCACGAAACTCCCAGAGCTTTGATGCCGCTTTGCTTGTCGAGGTTTACTTCGCTTGATGAAGGTGAGATTTGATCTTGCGTTTTTTTCATTCTTTTCGCATTCACGGTTTGTTGGAGTTCAGGTGAGGAGCAATGCCATTCCTTTATATTGAATCCACCTTCTCCAAGTATCTTCTCTACGTCCTTGATTCTCTTCTCTCCATCTTGCACAGTCGGGCATGAATGGATCAAGTCGTCGACATACCGGTCCCTCTCAATGATTTTGGAAGCCTCCGGTGTGCGTTCCTTGTTTTCCTCCGCGATCTTGAGCATCACGTAGCTCGCCATGTCTGGAGATGGCTTGTCCCCGAAGGTAACGCGGAGTAGGGCGTAGGTCGTCGGCTCCTTTGTCGTGTCCATGTTTCTCCATAAGAAACGATGCATTTGGCAGTCACTTTCAGGCAGAAGTATTTGTAAGAACATCTTCGATATGTCCCCGACAAACGCCACCTTTTCTTCTCGAAAGCGTAGCAGAACTCCCAGAAGATCGCCAATCAGACAGGGTCCTTTGTACAGAAACGAATTGAGCGAGATATTCTTGTAGGGGGATGCGGGGTCAAACACGATTCTGAGGGGCGTGCTTTTCTTTTCTGGCCGGTAGACGCCGTGGTGAGGTAAATAGTGTGCATGGGGTTTTCTGACTTCTTGGTCTTCTAACTTTCTGGCCCATCCGTTCTTCTCGTATTCCTTAATTGCTTCATTGTACATCTTTGCTTTCGTTGGATTTCTTCGTAAGCTTCTCTCTAAAGACTCGAGTCTTTGCCGTGCCAAGGGATAATTATTTGGTAGTCCTGCAGGATCATTCTTCCAAGGTAGTCCGATCACGTATCGTCCGTCTAACTTCTTACACGAGGACTTGAACAGTTCTATGGCCTTTTTCCCGTCGTTGGTCATCACGTCTACCGGACATTTACAGTCTGGAGCTCTAACTCCAACGGTTTCAAAGTCATAGAATGTTTCCAGGTTGATTTTTCTTGCGAAGCTGAGGTAGTTGTCGGGTGAACCCTTCGCGTTGTCAGGACCAATAACATGCCATCCAAGCTTTGTCTTTTTGGCTATTGGTTGGAACGGTAAACCTTGACGTACTTCATTCTCGGCGTGAAGGTGGCTGTATTGTACACCAAGAATCAAATCGATCGGACCAGCGTGATGTGAAAAGTCAACATCTTTTAGGTGATCAAAGGAGCTCAACCAAGCGCGATCAAGAGGGGGGACGTTGATTATGGTGTAGCCAATCTCGTGAGCCTCTATTGGAAACGACTCGTTTCTGTTCAATGGAGAAATCCAAAACTTTACTCTGCGACTGTCGTCTTGAGTTATTCTCTCTCCTCCAACGACTGCGATATTTATCTTCTCTTTCTTCCCTTGGAGACCCAGGGCTTTGGCGAATGACTTTCGGATGACTGTGATACCCGCGCCGCTGTCTATCAACACGTTTCCTTCGCGTACGTTGCCGTTGGAGGACTTGAAACAGACTCTGACGACTGGCATAATTCCATCTCTATCGAGGGCAGAAGTCACCGAACCTAATATAGGATTCGTTTCTTTACTGGCGTGTAGCAAGCGGTGGTGGAAATGAGTGCAGTCGTCTACATCACACTTTGCTTTGGATCTACAATCCTTTGTCACGTGACCGCGGTTGAGGCAGGAGAAACAGAGTCGCTGCTTCTTGACGTGTTGGATTCTCTCATCGGTGGAGCAGCTCGAAAACACAGGGCATTCTACCACTCGGTGGTCTTCTGAGCAAACGTAGCATTGGATTTTTTTCTTTTCTCTTTGTCCGGAAGCGATCCCACGCCTGTCACGCTGAGGGAAGCGGGCTTCGGATTTCTGGATATCCCCAAAGTCAGGGTCGAATTCAGCCTTCACGCGCTTTCGCAGAAATCGTCCGATATGCTCAAGAGAAGGCGCTTCTCCCCTTTCCCTAATATCCGTCGCTGCTGCTTTCCATTTATCTATAAGGTTGTCAGGCAGCCGCTTGACGACGTCGCGCAGATTATAGATGGAGTTTGCGTCTGCGAGGCGATTGATTTGCTTTAATGTTGCGACACAATTCATGACATCAAACGACAACTCTTGTAGGGCCTGTCTATCACTGCTCTGAATTTTACGTCTTTCCAGTAGCTTGCTGATGTGTGCTCGTGCTATAGCGCTTGGTGTGCCAAATTGTTCTTTCAAAGTTTTTAATGCCGTTGCGTACATTTTCCCGTGAGAGCCGAGACCGCTTACTGCGCGACGGGCGCGGCCTGCTAGATGCATTTTCAATTGTACCATGTACTTATCGTGAGATGAGATTGTCATGGATGTTGTAATTTGAAGCGCTCAATGAATTCAACATATGTAAGCGGGTCGCCGTTGTATTCGATTAACTCAATGCTCGGGATGTCCTTGCTTGCTTCTAACTTATAGAGGGCTTGCGCGACAGACATTTCTGATAGCGTATTCGGTAAAACAGTCTCTTCAAACTCAGTTAGGTCATTTATCCAACTATCAAATGCCCGAGGTGACGACGGAAGATAATTGGAACTGTTGACAGGTTGACTTGAATTCAATCGCTCTTCCGAACGTATTGAAATATCTCTTTCTGAATTCAGATTGAAATCATGTGAAGTACGGTTGCCCGTTTCATGCGTAGTGGGATTGACACGTCAGATGCAACAGTGTTCGCATTATTTTCAGCCTCACTCTCAACAGGGGTTGCTCCCGCGGCGGAAGTACTAGGTTGCGTTTCCTCAGGCATGCTGGCTCCTACTGTTACATAACTTACATTGTCCTTATTCGATGGATGGAGAATCTGTTCGTTGTTTAAGGACTTTGCTTTGACGCTAGAAAGATCGACTGCCGATTGCATATACTCTTCGACAGCCCCTTCTATGTCATATAGATCATTTGTCAGTTCGTCTTCCCAATCGTCCATATTGGACGTTTGACTTTCTTCAGCATAAATATAAAGCTCAGCGTGATATTCACGCGCCAACTCAAAGTCCTTTCGGATTTGTGTTAGTTCTTTCTCTATTTTCTTGCGCGCCTCTGCGCCTTCATCGATAAACTTTCTTACTCTCTTTATAGATCGAGTAACCTTACCTCGCTGTAGCGCTCGTTTTTTCTTTAGATTACTCGCCAACTGCGCGTCAGACTCGCCAGTTCCGTTGCTTGCCTTTTCGCCTTCATACAACTGTCCACTCTGGACCTCTTCTGTCGCCATGATCTTGTCTTATAACCAAATTGCGGCAGAATACACTTCTTCAGAACTTGTTTCCAAAGACAGATCACGACTACGCCGTAGAGATTTTTCGTAATATATTATATAAAATACATTCTATAGTAAGATAATGATTAAGTTTGATTAGGAAAGATTCATTTTGATTAAATTGTCAATCGACTAAGACTATATGTAATCGCTCGTTACCTGAAGAGTGGATCTCTACAGCTATCTCTGAATTCAAACAATTGCTGATATAGGTCCTCGCTATATCTCTCTCTGACTAACGACTAAAGACAATCTACCGTGCATGCGTTTTGTTACTTGTAATTGGAACCGACATCCTGTTCATACTATCGTCAATCATATATGTTAATCATTGATGTAAATCAAGGTGTAATCAAGTTAAGGAATCAATTAGATATAATAAGTAAGTAAAGTAAGTTAGGCTGTCTGAAACATAATGCATGCATGCAGCATGTTAATGATATAATATCATCCGACAGCCACATAGTTTCTGTGATACCACGCTACACCACGCTCCACATGCAGTGATGTCAATGTTATTCTAAACGAAACTGGCCTGCTGATAAATTATAACAATGCAGTCTTTAGTTATCAACTTACGTAGCTATATTTGGTTTGCTCTTCTAAACTTGTACTCAGGTCGCTGAATTTTCTTGAAAATGTTTTCTTAGAACGTCTTTGCTGCATGGAGACAGTAAAATTCTTGTGTGTGACCTTTATAAAGGTCAACCGACAAATTTAAACTGATCTGGACTGAAAATCTGTAAAACACGGAGTTCGTGTTTTAGACTGGTCAGAGTGCGTAGCCAGGGGAAAGTCTTGGGAGCTGCGGCTCCCCAATGCCACCAACTCTGCATATAGCTCTTTTCCGAGCAAATACGTATATAACCACTATATTAATCTGGTATAATATATACCTTTAACCTGGGCTCACGAGCCCCCCTTTTTTAAGGTCTGGTCCCCGGTTGGTTTTCATAATAAAATAATTAGTCATAATCTGTCGTAATTTGCATGTCGTAATTTGTTGTAGTTTGTTTTTCATATGTCTAATTTCGCATAACAACGAATTATGCCAAGTGAAATACAAAGAATTATTAATAATTCCAATTCGTGATTCCAGTCCAGTCCGTGTTTTTAACACTCGTTGTCTTGCGCAATCTTTCAGTATAAAGTACTTATCGTCCGAAGTTATTTGTTGCTATATGCTTATATCTTATAGTATACGGGAAAGCAAACAACTGTGAATGTGAAATATATTCCGGTTGTAGATGTATATACCGTAGAATACATAACGGATTTAGACTCCCCGCGAGTATGCGCTCCGGCCCCCGGATTTGAATACCCTGCATCCATGCAGTTCAATTGAAGAAATATCGAATGTAACGGTAGTATGTAATAATTGGATAATGCATGCATGTTTATTACTCCGCCTGCGTATGCGCAGCGGAGTCTTAAAATGCCATGGTCTTTTTTCCTTTTCGTCGTTTTGGGCGACAGAAGTTGGCATTTCTACAGGTAACCCAAAACATTTTGAGCGAGAAGCCCTGGGTTACACGGATGAATTATGTACATTATGTACATCAGTTGGCATTTATTATAGGGAAGTTTGGGGGTGATTTTGTGCAATGTTTATTTAATTATTTTTCTTCGTGTCCTTGTGCCTCGTATACGTGTTTGAATCGACGTTCTTCCCTTGTGAAAAATATGAATGTCGAATTGAAAGAGCTTTCAGAACCATGTTCAACAACTACAAAGGTAAGTTGTTAAGATTTAGATTGTATTCATATGCTGTGGCGGTAATCGCATATTAGTAAACCCAAGATTTTCTGTTTTATAGTTGATTTAGTGATTCACGTTATTGACGTAGTGTTTTAATACAAACAAGACGCCTGTTCTGGCGTTAACTCCGGCGCACGTCCCAGTCTTTAATATAGAGAACATAAACAATACAGTTCATATTCGCATTTAGATGCCTTGCGAGTTGCGAACCTATAAATGTTCGATTGCGAAATTTAGAAGCACGTCGTACTTTAAAAAGTATAGAAGTTCAATTGTTCAAAAATGTAAATAAACCACATGATACATTCGCTTTGTCTCACTCTTTGCTTTTGGAATAGGCGCTTATATAGTTATATTAAATCTTCAATTCTGTGCAAACTACGACGTGTCAACGCGCCCATACACGACCACTTCATCTTGTTAAACGGCGAAATAGCAGCGATATTATTAAAATAGGACCAGAATCTACATGTATTAAATATATTCTTACCCCAATTCAATCTAAACTTAATCGAACAGCATGAAAAGAACGGTTTATTTGTTCCTCTTGGAGGAATTGCCGTATCATGCGAGCGAAATCGAATCGCGCATCGGAAAATTAGCCACTGAAGCTGTACACCACAACTCTTAAGAGATAAGACTGGGACGTAGATAAATACAGTCACATACACATTTCCAATACTAGAATGGTTCGCGCCATTTCAGACTTGCGACGACCTCTGTGCGACGACGAAAAATAATAAAAAAAAAAGACCAAAAAAAAAACAAAACCGAGGCGAATTTTCAACTCCGTCGCTGACGCCGGAGTAACTAGGTATACAGAAAGTACTGTTTGCTCTCTGAAATTATACATACTACAAGTTTAGCGACCCTGCATGCTTAAGAATTCGATATCTCTATTTACTAGAGTCTATTTTAAATGTATAAATAATTACAAAGCGGCCAAAGCCTGGTCGAATTGTAATCAGGACCCAACATTTTGACAATCCAGTCTTTGGCAGGTGACATCATCCCTTGGGTATCTAAGAAGCTTTGATTCCAGCTTTAGATCACCCCTGATGAAGACAGTAGACTGGACTGTCGAAACGTTAGGTCCTGATTACAATTTGACCAGGCTTTGTGATAATTTATATAAACCAGAGTAGGCTGAGTAGCGAGCGATAACAGGGTTAAAAGGGGGTATTAAAACTGTTCCTATTACAGGATTGATTTGCCAAACTTATAAAACTTTATTTTTGTTCTAATTTACAGGTTTTGGTGCTCATTTGCAGGAAGTTGCAAAAAAAAATTAATGTCCCTGAGTGTGAATTCTATGAATGCACATTTGTCATTTGAATACCAAGTCACATTTGAATGCCAAGTCACATTTGAATGCCAAGTCACATTTGAATACCAAGTCACATTTGAATACCAAGTCACATTAGAATACCAAGTCACATTAGAATACCAAGTCACATTAGAATACCAAGTCACATTTGAATACCAAGTCACATTTGAATGCCAAGTCACATTTGAATACCAAGTCACATTTGAATACCAAGTCACATTAGAATACCAAGTCACATTTGAATACCAAGTCACATTTGAATACCAAGTCACATTTGAATGCCAACTTAACTTTAAATGCCAACTTACCTTTGAATGCCAACAATGAAGTTACAATGAATAAATTTATATTAATTAATGAAGTTACATCAGTAAACAAAGTTAAGCAACTGAATGAAGTTACATCATTAAATAAAGTTACATCAATGAATAAAGATGCATTAATGAATAATTTTATATTAATGAATACAAAATGTATAACAAAAAATTTCAAAAGTATGACAAACAACAGTTTGACAGGCAACAGTCAGTACAAAAAGCACCTCATTTTGTGACCTTTTGTCACCTGTAGTGTTTCCTCACCTGCAGGCGGAGTAACGCCTTGAGCAGGCGTCTTGTTATATATGTTTGCTCACACAAGCAAAATATTCGCCGCAATTACTTCGCAATGTCAATTATGCGGCTGCAACTGAAGTTGATTCAGTCATTCAGTTGATTTTAAGGGAATTTATTTTGATATTTTAGTAGTGCAACTGACTGACCTGTCGAGGAGTACTCAGTATTGCGAGTGCCATTTTCGGTTTGAAACTAAACTTTGTTCCATGTTGAACTCCAGTCTCCGAGAAAGGACAGTAAAGTTACAGTCGAGTCATTGAAGGTATTGACTAGCGAGTTGACTAGATCGGGTAATCCCTGACATAAATCCTGTATAAGTGTGACATTCTCTGCAACAACTCGTTATATGTTTAATTCCAAGTTTGATGACACTCGTTCCATTTGTTTATCGTCTGGCAGCAAACCAGTGTATACCTCTTGATTAGTCACTATATAGCATATTATGTAACAGAGCATATAGTACTATGTACTGAAATAACATCGTACTTTAGTACATTGACGTTTTTGTTTGAGATTACGTTCTTTGCATGTTGCCTGTTCGGGACAAAATTGCATAGCTTCGTTCCTACGATGTCTTTCAAACTCAAATAGAGGCGTACTTCGTTTACGTTGTTCGAATAAGGTTTTGATGCGACGTGTGGATTTCTCAACGTTCGAGATTCGTTCAGGTGGAACTTGTTCACGGCCTATCCCAGAGTATGCTGCTAAAATATTCTTTCTCAAACACCACACCTGTTATACAGAGGAAATTCGCTTAAAATTCGCTTCTATAATTGCAATCATTCATCAAGCGATTTTACACGAAGAAGATGTTGTCTCAATTACCCAGTAATTCCAAACTGATTCTTCAATATTCTATCAACTCGGTATTTCCCAACTATAGTTGATATAATCAATTGTAAATAGCTTCCAATTGTATTTAAAAAGAGCATTCTACACAGTGGAGTGAATAATACTGTACAGACTAATTATAGTTGATAAGAATAAGCACTATTTGACGTGAATACATAAGCTCCTGTGGCTGGTTGTACAGGGTGTCTCAAAAAACCGAAAACTATTGAAATCACACATAACAATGTAATTGTTAGAGTTTGAATGCCTAAGCACTCTGTTGGGATAATATCACAATAAACACTCGTTGTTCCGCGGTCAGCTGTACCATCTTCTTTCGAAGCAATAACAAGACTAATTTAAATTCAATCATATTCACAATTTCAAATTTTTCGTATTTAGCATTTTATAAGTTGCATTAAATCCTCACGGGCTAAAACTCGTGAACACGGCATTTAAATTTTAACAATGAATGATTTCAATAGTTTTTTTTGAGAGACCATGTATACAAAGAGTAGTAGAATTACACCTATTAATTTGGGGCTAATAAGAATCGACATGCATTTTGAGAGTTCACTGCCATTAAATTTTAACTAGTAAAAATTAAAACGGAGTTAGAAGCTAGTTCTATGCCTTCTATACGACCAGGTTTCTAGAATAGAATTATAAAAAGCTATTTGCTGGCGAGCGTCAGCGAGGCAGCACACTATTCTTGACATTCTGAGGTTTCTCCAGAGTTCAGTCGACCCAGGCTTTTGCGCCGATTTATGTATTGTCAAAGTTTGGATTTGTGTCTGTCCGGAAAGATGTTTGTCGTAATTCCGGGGGCATACATTAAGCTTCAAGTATGTTGGGAGATTTAGGGGGGGTTCGACTTCGAATAATTTTTATTGCGTATGCAAATTCGACATGCTTGAGTCCGAATGCAAACCACAAAGAGATTGTACGAAAAAATTCCTGAAAATATACAGGTAAGTATGGCTTTATTTCTTTCTGCTGATATCCATCAAGGCGATGAACTTTTTAGTAATCATTCTAGAGGCAAGCAATGTGCTTTTATGAGTTTATCGGCGCTTCTTACAGCCCGAAATTTCCCCTTATCGTCGTGGTCAAAAATTACATTTTGTAATGTCTTATTACAAGGAGACAAAATGTACCTAAAAGCGCTGAATAGTGGCTTTATAATGTTAGAATCGGATGAAGATTTTTTGTAAGTGGAAAATTTACCGATATTTGTGAATGTTTCATATTGCATGAATATGCCAAATGACTTTTCGTACGATTTATGTCGATCAAATCACACCATATCGCCTGGCCATGTACACGAAAAAACTACATCACCTGTGACGGTGGCAAACATTGAGGCACAAAATATTGTTGACCCACCTATTGTGGTGGAGCCCATTGAGGCACAAAGTAATATTGATCTACCCATTGTGGTGGAGCCCATTGAGGCACAAAGTAATATTGATCTACCCATTGTGGTGGAGCCCATTGAGGCACAAAGTAATATTGATCTACCCATTGTGGTGGAGCCCGTTGAGGCACAAAGTACTATTGATCCACCCATTGTGGTGGAGCCCGTTGAGGCACAAAATGAAAACAAAATTTGTTTCATAACATATGGAACAGAAATTCAAGGTCTTGTTATAACAGATTGAGAAATTGAGTGCCACTACTATGACATTCACACTGCATTGTTGAATATATTTTCAGATGAAAGTTATGCTATTATTATATTAGAAGGTTATATGATGGCCTTGATTAAGGAAACAGATGATTTTTATCTTATTGACTCGCATGCTAGAGATTCTAGTGGCATGCCTGATCCTAATGGCACTGCTGTTGTCATGAAATTTTATAATATTCTGGAATTAGAGCAATATTTGTATTGTCTATCACTTGGACTAAATGCCAACTTATTTGAAATTGTACCAGTGCAATTCAGTATGTGTAAAATGCCTGATCAAAACAATAAATGTGTAAAAGATCGAGAATACCAGAAAATGAAACGTTCAGTAGAAACTGATCATGATAAACAAGCTAGACTTAACAAAGTTAATGAGTATAATAAAAGAAAGCAGTCTCATGAAACTGCTTGTGAGAAACAATTAAGGCTTCAAAAAGCTAATGAGTATAAAAAAAGAAAACAGTCAGAGGAAACTGACAGTGAGCGAAAAACAAGACTTCAAAAAGAAAAGGAGTCTAAGATGAGAAAGCTGTCTGAGGAAACTAATAGTGAAAGAAAAGTGAGACTTGAGAAAGAAAACGAGTGTAAAAAAAGGAGGCGGTCAGAAGAAACTGACAGGGAAAGGCAAATAAGACTTGACAAAGACAGATTATCTAAAAAACAAAAGCGGGCAAAGCCGCAACACAGAATAAATCAAGAGGATTACCTAAATTTGTTTGATATCAGCAATAATGGTAGAATTGGGGAGCAATGTTGGGCAAAAGCTAATATAAACAAGTTTCATAAGTCAATGCAATACACTGTTGCTCAGTGTACAGTTTGCCATGAGGCATGGCCAATGAAATCTAAACCTAATTCACCATATGTGTGTTCACGATGCTTTAGAGATAAAAAATCTCCTAAAAAATTTTCTTGTGAAAACTTGATGATACCTTCTTATGTTCCAGATGAATTACAAAATTTAACTCAGGTTGAGGAAATGTTAATTGCTCGTGCTTTGCCAATCATGAGAGTGTATGTTAAACCTGGTGGTCAACGAGGTAATTCAGGGCATTGTATTAACTTGCCACAAAATGTTACAGAACTTGCAACATCTTTGCCAAGGTACCCCAAAGACTTGGCTGTGATTATTGTCAAGGTTAAAGGTAGAGAAAACACATTCAAAGATGTGACAGTAAAAAAACAAAAAGTTCATGATGCATTAGTTTGGCTCATAAATAACAATCCACACTATTCAGAAATGTTAATTGATGAAGATGCATTGAATTTATTACCTGAAAATGGTGTACCACCAGATCTTATGACTGTTGAGACTGATGATGACATAGTTTCTGATGAAAATTACTCTCCTGATGTGGGCCCTCCTACTGATAACCCATCAGAGGATGTTGTTTATAATGATTCCACTGAAATGAGTAGTTTTTTACCTGTTGGGGAACAGCAGCAACAGGAAATTGAAGCAGTTAGAAATCAGCTTTCTGAAAATGACCCAATGCAATGGCCCTCAGTTGAAAATGAGCCATTAAATGAGTATCAGGTATCACATCTAGCCACAATGGCTTTTCCAACTTTATTTCCAGATGGGAAAGGTGATCCTACTAATCAAGGACTTCTACGAGATGTCCCTCTTCAGGAGCGAATAAAGCATCTTTTAAAATTTGCTGAAAATATTGATGGCAAATGGGTCTACCGTTTTGCAAACCATCCCAGATTCTCTTACTGGGCTTTCAATATGATTCAAAGAAAACGAATCTTACAGCAAAGTGGAATATTCCTAAAACAAAACCCAGGTGAAGCACATCTTACCATTGATGAACTGCGAGAAATGGCTGTGAATAACAATGCTAACGTGTTTATGTCTAAAGTATCTAGATATGTTGGCAATATTGCTGGTACTAATTCTTATTGGAATAGAGTAAGAGATGAACTCAAAGCTATAATAACTAATGTTGGAGCACCAACATTATTTTTCACTTTTTCTTCTGCAGACATGCATTGGCCTGAGTTACATGCTCTATTTAATGCAGGTACTGATTGTCAAACTGGTAATTCTACCAGTCAGGTCAGACGACAAAATGTCATAAATAATCCACATCTTGTAGACTGGTTCTTTACCCAGAGATTGGAAAGCTTTGTAAAACATTGGCTTTATGAAAAACTTGGTGCAAAATGGCACTGGTTTAGGTACGAATACCAAGGTAGAGGTAGTATTCATTGTCATGGTACTGCTAAACTAAATAATGATCCAGGTTTGCGTAAACTTACTCAAACTGCTTTGAAAGGTTACTTAGCTAAAAAATTTAAGGATGAAAATGATTGTTCTGACACAACTGAACTAGATCAAGATATAGAAGCTGGTCAGAAAGCAGCTGAAACAGTAATTCAGTATGTTGACTGGTTACTATCAACCGTGAATCCTAATCCACCAGATGAGGACATGTGGATAAGACCTGAGGTTCATCCATGTCAAAGAAGTCATCTGGACATTCCTAATCATGAAAAACCATCAGATTATGTAGATCTATTAAATATGGTTCAACGACACACTCGTTGTAGTACTAGCTATTGTCTAAGAAAAAAATCAAATGAGACTGAATTGAAATGTAGATTTCATTTCCCATTTGATAATTGTCCACAGACAAAGTTAGAATTTGAAAAAATCCACACTTCAGGTGATAATGAACACTATAGAGCTAAGATAGTGACTAAACGAAATGATGCTAGGTTAAATAACCACCAACAACTTCAACTCCAGGGATGGAGAGCTAACTGTGATATTCAGGTAGTTATTGATCACTATGCTTGTGTTGAATATTTCACAAAATATGCAGCCAAAGGTGAACCAAGGTCACCTCTATTAAAACAAGCATTTAACTCTATTATGCAAAATGTTGACAGTAATACTGACCCTCGCAGAGCTATTAAGAAGGTAGTTATGAGATCTCTTGGTGAACGAGATTATGCTGCTCAGGAGACAATGCAGTCTTTAAAGCTTCATAGCTCATCATTTAATGTGATACCCAGGGCTCAAAATAACGGCCGGTCAACGGACAATGACCGGCCAAGAATGCTTGTTGACCGGTCACTGTCTTACTATGCCGGTCATTTTGACCGGCCAAGTTTTCACGTCTTTCGGAAAAATTAACTAATCAGTGTTCTTTTCGGTGCTGTTAAAGGAAGACTAGATTTCTTGTCGAAAATGCAATTATTGTACGCAAAAAAAGACCTAAATCAATTTATGCACATGCGGAAAAACAGTGTTTGTTCTTGGCCTTTATGCAAGGCATTAGTGATTAGTGAATAGTGTTATGTCTACGTCATTTATGTAATTCAAGTCTATTTTTATAAGTTTGTTTTATAATCTTATTTACTGATTACCATCTCTATAACCGATGGAGATGTTCAGTTGAGTTTTTCTTGTACGTGCAAGTTATTACTAATAGATTCATCCATCCACGATATCCATGTGTGTTTTGTGCCAACGTTTTCAAACGATAATTCTAATGATTTTACCGATAGCACTATAGAAAGGCGATGCACGAAACGTCTTGAGCATTTAAAATGTCAAAAATAAGAATCTGTATGACTAAAAACATTTTTTGTTCTTGTTTTTATTTTAAATTACTTGTATTAGTGACCGGTCAAAAACCGATTTTGACCGAGCTAAAATAAATTTGACTGGTCATTTTGACCGCTGATATTTCGACTGTTATTTTGAGCCCTGGATACCAGTTAGTTTAAATGGCTCACGTAAAGTACGTCACACTCACCTCGAAGAAGGTGAGTCATGCACTGATTACTCACTTCTTGATGTGTATGCTAATCGCGAGCAATATGACAGCTCACAAAATATCATGAATATGAATTTTGTTCAATTTGCCACAACATATAAAGTTGTTAACAATGAACTGACAAAATTGCCAGAGAATGTTGTACCAAGAATATTCCCAACTTATTCTCCTAATCCCAAAGGTCCAAATTTTGGACTATATTGTAAGTATCAACTTTTAAGATATAAACCTTGGCAAACAACCCAAAACAATGCATGGGGTGATCAAGAACCAACTGACGAGGTTCTAATCAATTCTTGGCAAGAATTCTTGCAGACACCTTGTGGACAATCCAATGTCCCAGACTGGTTTGACAAATTACAAGCTGTCATCCAAAGTCAAGAATCAGAAGATGAACCTTCTGAAGAACAGGAGGTAACTCGAGAAGAGTGGATGATATTGTCAGACCTTCACACTCCTTTTGATACCTCTGAACAAACACCAGCATCAACATATGACTGGCAACTTGATAGAGGCAATTATACAGAACAACAAATCCATGAAATGCCAACATGGATAAAAACTAACAAAGAAGATTATACTATTGATGAGCAATATGATGTTGTTGACATAAACAGTTTTAGTGAAATGCAAAAACTTGCTTTTGACATTGTTAAATCTCATTTTGATGATACATCTTCTGAAGCCAAACAGCCATTATGTCTCATTATAAATGGTGTTGCCGGGACGGGTAAAAGTTATCTTATTAATGCTATAAAAAATCTTCTGCAAAGTAAATGTGCTATTACTGCTACCACAGGTAAAGCAGCCTATAACGTTAAAGGTGTAACTGTGCACTCTCTGTTAAAGTTACCTGTAGGGTCTCGAGGTAACAAAGACCTAAGAGGACAAAGCTTGTGTAGGTTACAAGAGAGTGTTAATAACATTGAATACATCATTATTGATGAATACTCCATGCTTGGCCAAGTTACATTTGGTTGGTTAGATAAGCGTTGCAAACAAGCTACTGGTCATAATGACAAAGTATTTGGTGGGAAATCTTTAATTTTAACTGGAGATCCAGGTCAATTGCCACCAGTGGCAGATAAGCCCCTTTACCATGCTAAACCATCAAACGCTGTTGGTGAACAAGGTTTCCAAGCATATCATATGTTTGACAAAGTTGTTAAGTTCACTGTAAATCAACGTGTGCAAGGTATGACATCTGAACAAATACAGTTCAGAGATTTATTGTTACGACTTCGCAAAGGGGAACCAACAGTTCATGACTGGAAATTACTTCTGACACGTCAACCATCAAATATCACTAATTTATGTGACTTTGAAGATGCTACAAGACTCTTCTATAGTAATGAACAAGTTGCAAATTACAATAATGAACAACTAACAAAACTTGAGCATCCAATTGCTCATATTAATGCTCGCCATTCCTCTGCATTTGCCAAAAAGATGTCCTCAGATGATATGTCTGGGTTAGAACCTGTTGTGTTTCTAGCAAAAGGTGCTAGGGTTATGTTAACTATGAATTTGTGGTCAAATGTTGGCCTCTGTAATGGAGCTACTGGAACAGTTGTTGATATTGTCTATCAAAGCAACCATCAACCACCTGACTTGCCTATTGCAGTCATTATTGAGTTTGAGAACTATAGAGGTCCTTTTTTTAATGTGGACAAACCATCTTGCATTCCAATTTGTCCAATCACAGTCTCATCACAGTCAGAAACAGGTTCTCATGAACGGCAACAGCTGCCTCTAAGACTCGCCTGGGCTCTAACAATACACAAGAGCCAAGGATTAACTCTTCCAAAGGCTTGGATAGATATTGGCAAAACAGAAAGAACTGCTGGAGTTTCATACGTGGCCATAAGCAGAGTGAAGTCTCTTTCATCTTGCGTCATTGAACCCATGACATATGAGCGATTAACAAGCTTGAAATCATCAGCTAATTTACAATACAGGCTAGAGGAAGAAAACCGCCTAGATCGTTTAGCACAGACTACCAATGGCAGTGCATTTTAAATTGACAAAACCATATTATAGGTTTGAAATTAGACATGGGATTGTGATGTAGATCCCATAACCTTTATTCTGTATAAATTTTTATCTTTATTCATTAATGTTTATTGTATGTTTCTCTATGTTATTATATTTATTGTCACTGTATGTGTGAAAATATTATCATCAGCACGTTAATTTGGTAAGTTTTTTATTCTGTTTTTGTACTCACCCCCCTTTTACGACATATTTTAGACTAATTGTATTGTATTCCTAAAGTTACGCTCTTTTGTTTTGTAGATTCTCTCTTTCTGGATAAATATACAAACGAATTAACTGATCAGAAACTGATGACATTACTGCCACTGGACTCTGATTTTTGCCAAAGTCATTGGAATTTAATGACTTCAAACAATTGCGTTGCAATCAATAATGAAAACACAATGAACCTGCAATACTGTTATGTGCACTCATTTTTTGAAAATGATTTATCGAGGCAAGTGATGAGACATTATTTTGCTCAAGAAAAATACAGTTATAGTGAAGAAACGTGTATGGTTTATTGTTACCTGTCGATCGTGTGCTACGAGTGGACACATGAACCAAATTAACATTCAATCTCATGGATCTGGCAGTTTCAAAAAACGTCATGTATTGATGTGATATTGACAGTGTTCTACTTCCAAAACATTCCTCGAAGAAAAAAGTTAATTCTCAAACATTTAAATATGTTATGATTTAAGATATTTTCGTACGTGGAATGCGATAATTGTAGCTTTCTGAAAAAGAAATAACGAACAACTTATCAATTAATCCAAATGAACTATGGTATCATCTCAGTAGTATACAAAATGTGATAACATAAACGTAACCTGAGATGAATTTTTTTGCCAAAATGCATACATACAGTGTCACCATGTACATAGAATTCTTTTTTTATGTCATGTATGTGATAATCAATTATGTTAAACTAATGTGATGTAATGTGATGTGATGTTATGTGATTGTCTTCTCTGTTCTTCTCTGTTGTCTAATACTTCTTTTTTAAATGATATTCAAATAGAAAAACGTGTAACTGTGAATATTATTATAATTATATTTTTTTAAAGAATGGATGAATCCACTTTATGACTATAATTATGTGCCATAGCCATCAGTTCAATATCGTTTCTATCTTCGATTCGGCGCTTCTCTTTATATTATAGCAATCGCAATTTGATTTTATATTCAAAAACAAATTTAATTTAAATACTATTGACTAGCATACGTTTTTTGGCAGAATGATTTAAGCTTAAATCCTATCTCGTAACGCGCAAATACAACTGTTGAGCAGGTATGCGCACCAAATCTTTCTCCCAGGCAGCATTTCACTTGCGATAGTAACTCCTAGTATTAGAGCCACATATGACATCTCACAGTAAAAGTTGTCCCAAAAAGAGATGACGCTTCAGAAATTTCCTTTCGTTACAACTCAATTCCGGTAGTTTTCCTGGATGAAAACAATAAAATAAACATTTGTCCAGGCTGGATATTTCAATCATTCTGTGCATGTAACAGACGCGCCCATACATAACCAGTTCTTGATGTTGGTGAGTAAACTACACATGTGTCATAAATCTGGGTTGTTTGAAACTTTTACTAGCTGGTTTTAGAAAATCATCGCATTCCATACACGCTCTGTAACCTTCTCTGTGATAAACCGTGAACAAACGAGGTGTAAAAAATTGATTCACAGTTGTATGACGGGGAAAGGCCAAGAAACTATCACAGCAAGAACAACGACTCTTGCAATCACAACAGCCTAATCCAGCAGGGAAACCAGAAATATCGTTGATTGTTTCCTCTTTGAGAATGGGTCCCGAACCCCATCTTCTTTGGTCAAGATTCTCACCTACGGTTTGCCATGTCACCGGAGTATTACCCCTGAAGCTTTGGCCACCTCTTTCTGTCATCTCCATAGATTCACTGGCTGTACCCGATAAGGAATCCTCCGATGGCTGAGAACGCGGAGAAATTAAGACAATATGGCCTTCACGAACCTCATGGCAACCTATATAAAAGAATGTGCAAATTTCAACGTGCGCTCATGTAAAACTACAAATAATTTCAATTGTTTTCTTCATTTCATTTCATTTTCATTTTCATTTAAACCGCATCTCAGTTTAAACTCGATGAACGGTGTCGCCACTATGAAAGTTGCTGGAAAGAATTATATTAACTATTAGCAACAATCATTAAAATATGAATAAGAATTATATCAAACATAAATTATAATAAGCTAGTATAGCTTTAAATTGAAAGATTTTAGATTTAATTTCTATCATATGTTTTCATATGTCAATACCCCTTGGAAAAAGGAAAAAAATTCTTCAGCTAATTATGTATTCAATTTCTCCTATTCAACACCCTTCCCTTATCAGAGCAACGAACTCTGGCACCCGTGTACCTGGATACTTCATATTAAATATAGCCTGAAAATACTAAAACGCGTGGTTATAAAGCATTCTAAATACCTATACCTTTATCGGAGTAACGAACTTTGAATTCATACATTCTTGGATAAATTCCATCCTCGGGGTGGACATATTTATTCCTTATATCAGCCAACACATCTCCTCCATCCATTGCATTGAAAGAACAGCCTAATATCTCACGTGCATGATTCATTATCTGTATAATTTCCTTGCCGTAATCATCGTCTGATTTGATATAGGAACCATCCGCGATCAGAATTCTCGGCAGTCGCAATTTTAACAGGGGTAAGAGACCATATTTTTCAAAATGGCCGCCATCACTGAGATGCAACATCGCTGGTGGTTTTGGACCATCGTGGATGAAATGTACAAGGGAAAGAAGAAAACGATAAATGGGCAGGTGTACAGTGAGCCATCTGGTTGGGCTGAAATATTATATAAATCGTGTTTGACACATTTGTATTGAGAGGACAACAGTAAAATACAATAAATGGAAGAAAGACACACAAAGCAAGAATATGTACGTATATCAGGAAAACATAGATTTCACAATCAAGGCAGGATGGTTTTGTAAGAGCTTCTATAGATTTATCTTTCGGAGGACCGATAGTTGACTAATTTTTCCATCAACAGTTCCTGACTTGAATTTGAAGTGTGTATAATACCAATTAAAAATTAAGACGCTTTCAACTTCTATATTTTTAAATATTATAGTGTATTTTGAAGACGTTTGCGGTTAAAAAAACGAACGAGAGACGAACAGATTAAGAAAAAAATGATAAATTCGTGATTTAAAAGGAGGTATACTCGTGTTATATGGACGGTTGCGTTTCAGAAATGGTCTTATGGAATTTGAGTTGTGTTCTAGACGGTTTGAGGGGTTGCAATTTTACTTACGTCAATTTTTTTACATTCTCGTCACATCTACACGAATCAGAACAATCACAGGAATCGCAACCATCATAGCAATTCACGCGATTGCAGCAACAAATATAGATGAACAACATCACTAGTAATAGTCCGAACACTCCTGATATAATACCAATTGTAGTTAACACAGGGAAGCCGTGGCTGTAGGGTTTCAACAATTTCCATATTCCAAATCCTCCACCACCGATTAACCGAGACACGGTTAGATTTGCAAAATATAACCGAAACTAAAAGTAAACTGTACTGATTAGTAGTTAGCAGAGACATTTATTATGATAATCGCTTGATCTTGGGGCATATCACCGCTTGTAATATGGAAAAACTTGTTTACAACTTTTATTTAGATGTGTCTATATGTGATATAGTCTATAATTTCACGAAGTCTGGAATTGAAAGGTAAAATAATATTATATGCAGCAGCGAAGCCAGCCTGGCAATTTGTCCCGCTATGCTAATATTTTGGTGTTTATTGACTGTGAAAACAATAAATTTCAAAAGAAAAGAATAATATTACAATAACTCGAAATTTACATAGCGGGACAGAATCGTCAGGCTGGCTACGCCATTGACTATATGCAAATGCTTGTAAATAGTAATATATAATATCGAGTACTAACTATTGCTTTGTGAAAAATGGTATACGAAATATAGCCATGTATATTTTCAGGCTGGGTGATATACTTTTTGTAGCTATATTTGTAACAATTAAATCGTTAGACCCAATATTTCATGAGTTATTGTGCAGAAAAAACTCATGTCAAAGTTCGATTTTGTTTATATGAATGATCTAAAGGTCTGTTCAAACAATCCAATTTTGTTGGATCCAATTCACGTCTGACTGTTATTGATAAAGCAGTACTGTATTGGCTTCAGTGAATTTGCTGCCAATAAACATCAAAAGACAACAGACTATAAAACAACAAGTCAATTGGATCTAACAAAATTGGATCGTTTGAACAGACCTATAAGGGTAGAAAACGCATAAATCATGTAAATTTTGTCTGGATGAAAATTGTATTTTTACACTGACTATTGGCAACATCTTACCTGGTGGCACACGCCGCTTTCTCTCTCGCCCGTCATATTATAAACAAGGTGTGCAGCCATCTCCATGTTGAGCAAGGTTAAAATATGCGTAAATCTATTTTCTTCTGCCTTATGCTTTCCAAGGTTGGGTGAAACTGCCGCAGCAGACATTGCCATGGCTGAGGATAATTTCACATCGCTGGGTTTCATCTTCCCTTTGAAATATTCGCCATCTAAACAGCTTTCTCTGAATTCTTCGAGATTCTGGTGACGTTGTGGTGGATGATTTCTTACCGCAGAATGCGCCGAAGGACAAGATCGACGAACCTGACCAGTCCGCGGTTGTTGGTCTATCACAGAAATACCTAAAAAAATGGGAACCGCCAGCTTTAAATTTAACTTTAGGAACGATGTATGCTGGTAGCAGTGACATGTCTATATACCTACTTCCACAAAACATCAATTTTTAATACTCAAGTGAAAATCCCACTAACCTTTAGAGCTCATGGTAAGAAGACAATATTTTTGATCGTATTTTCGGCGCCAACCACTCACCACCATATTGCTCAAATACTCTGGTTTTATTCCTTTTAAGTCTCCTAATGTCACTGCTCGCTGGTCGTTTATAGCCCCTTGTTTGTCTTTTGGTGGACACGTGCAAGATGCACAACAACACGATGAACAGTGGCCCCCAGCAAAAATATCAAAACAGTAGCAACATTGTTCTTCACATGTACAGAATTTGTCATTGTCCTCGTGGTAATAAAACGCTTTTTGCAATCTCCACCTGCAAGAAATCGAAGGACAATAACTTAAGGCTATTGTCTTAATGCATAATTCAATGCTGTATCACGGTTACAAGTTAAGGTAAAAATTGTGGCATGCTTTTAACCTGAGCGGTTTTTCAAATGGGGGAATTGGAAAATGTTTTACAGACAGTTACCTGCCTTTGAGCATAAGGCGATGATCACAATTAGTTCGGGGTGTTTCAATATATTGTGAAAAATCGTTTTATTAAAATTAGATAATAAACAAAAAAACAAAAGAGTTTTCGATCAGAACATCCGTTCGGTAAATTACCACCAATATTCGCCTCTGCTTCGGTGCATCATTGTTAACTAGAGAAGATTCCTCACCTGTTATAGACGTAACCCAGGCGAAGTGGAATATCTCCCAGAATCGAGAATGCTGCTATTATGCACAAAGATGCATACAGGCATAATTCAAATCTCTCTTTCGTATACTTTAAGTGGAATAACGTTCTCCTGAACAGATGCCAGTACACGACGTACGAGTAATAATAAATCAAAATTACCAGAGAAGAGTATTTTCGCAAAAGTGGAACAAAAAACCAGAAGACTACAGTGATCAAAACTATCCCGACCTGAATGACAGAATGCAAATATCGCAGGAAATCGTGAATAAACCATGGCAGAAGAGTGAAAGCAAACGAAGCACCAGCAAACAACTGGCCCAATTTAAGAAACACCCTCACCCACTTCATCTTTAAGTAATTTCTTCTGTTCTCGCCACAATGTTTGCAAAGATATTCAAGGAAATGGAAAAGAACAACAACAACCAAAGATATGGAAAAAAGGAAGGCCCGTTCATTACAATCGGAGCTGCCAGCCAGGTATCTACACTTTGCACCATCGAGAAACTTCCCGTACAAAAGTTTGATGAAGAAAGCAATTGGAAAAGCGAAAGAACCCCAACCAACAATTGGAACGAATACTGAAACAAAAAAAAGCAAAGAGCATAATATCATGGAGTCACAGCAACAATCGCGACTTTGCCAATTGCAGAAATATCCTGCTCGTTTTCGCATATTCTCAAAGAATTTCTCAGTCCAATCCGTAGAGTTTCTCTTTCGATATTTCCACTCGACGTAAGCACTTCCAGTGTAACCTCCGCCAGACACGCAGCTTAAATAATCAGGTTCTGCTTCTTTTTTAAGGAGCCTGCGCAGAACCCCTGAACAGAAGGCCGCTGACCGAATTCCACCGCCTGAGAATGCAACACCAAGTTTGGAATCCATTTCTACAAACAAAAACAGAAACGAGAAAACGTTTGCTTACTACAATCCAGATACGCTATTGATGACATGGAGCGCTCTATACAAAGATTCTTCAAAACAATAAGAATAGTTAACTCATGATCGACACATACTGCATTTATATATGGTAGCTAGATATAGATGACACTACATGACGTAACGATTTAGTAATTGAAATTAGATATATTTTGCACAACATGTTTTTTAAAGTCACCGTGTATAAAATAGTGACAGATGGAAGTGCTGTGGTGCCTGTCAACAATCTTATGCTATATATCTCGGGCTACCGAGAACGGTTACTTCAGAACTGTTTTCGTCCAATGTTTCCAAATACTAAATGCTTATTTCAAATTCATCCCAATATAGAACATTTATATATTTCGACACTTTTAAACTCAAACACGTTGCTTATAAGTTATCTGTTATTAAATGTCCAAATGCATGTGACAAATAATAGTCACAATGCGCCAAAGGACTCTTAGAGGCGATAGAGGTTCTTTGCGGATAATTGCATGGTTGGAAACATATAGACAACATAATACAATGGGAAATTGTTTTTGCAATTATCATACATCTATGGCCGTCTCACAATAAAGAAGTTTTATGTTTTGACATTTACATAACTGAATATAAATCTTTGGTGCATGCATGTCAAAGGTTTAGGCTGCGTTCAGACTGAGTGCTCAAAAATGGTGCCCGTCGTCACTTTTTCTGAAAGGGCACTACTTATGGAGGTAGTATTTAACAAGGGCACTGTGCTCAGCATGTTTTATGAACCAGTTTTGACTCTACGCATGCACCGGTGCCGAGCACTCAGTCTGAACGCAGCCTAAAAGCCCACACATACCGGACATGAATTGGCAACGCGGCGCAAATTTTCAACGTTTTTAATTTTTCAAAATCAAATAAATTTTAAACTATCATAATATTCTTGTAGATTACATAACAATAAAATATTTTGACTGCTCTAGCGTCCATAGTTTCCAAATTTTGCTTCCAGAATTTAATTTATATGCTTCTGAAAACTCAGAATTCGCGTCGCGTTGCTGCATCGCGTCCAGTCTGTGTCGGCCTTATAGTACAAGGAAAATGTAAAAACGGTGACCGACGCACCGTGTTTGTTATGTCAAAGTATATGCTAGAGTTTAGCACTTCACTAATGCATAAACTAATTTTGACGTGCACCAGCCTCCAGCAAGTTGCAGATTGATTTTCAGCACCTGAAATAGGAACAACCTACCTTTTACTATGAATTTTGTCTTATCGACAGTGGCTTTATATTAATCATCCACAACAACTTGAACTGTGTATATTAGTCGATCGCGAGTCGCATAGAATTGGTAATGTAGAATGGCCAACGCCTTGCGAAGCGCGTTTACTTTACGAAAATGTATACTATAGTTCGAAGCTTTGGCTAGATCACAGCGTAAACACGGCTTCGTTACTGCTCGTTTATGCATGTGATAATATTTCGAGGTCAATATTTATTACCGAAAGTACAATCAAAACCCGGAATGTGCAATGCCCAATTACAGAATTTGTTCCGATAATAATAATAAAAGAAGCTCTATTGCTTGTCTTGCGTTATATTTTTAAAGTATATTCTCTGTTAATTATTGAAGACGCTTATTCCCTAGCTGAGTAGCCTGCTATGATTTCCAGTTGAGGCGCGTTGATTTATAGCTTTTATAATTAGTTTTATTACTTTTATATGGCAAGAAGCAAGCCAAAGTGGACAAAAGTAGGTCAAGTATAGTATGCGATAGTCGAGTTGTGTATATGATAAGCGAGTACTGTATACAATAGTCGAGGATACACATACGAAGTGATCGAGATAAATGAACTATAATTGAGCTTTATGAACGATATTCGAAATTATTAACGACAATCGAGTTTTCTAGCGACAGCCGAGATTTTATATACGATAAAGATTTTATATATTATATGATAAAGCAATAGATGGATTCTTTGAACATGTTGGCCACAGCCGTAATCTTGCTAAGGATACAGGAAAAGCTTCACATGGACAAGACATAATACCAAGTTCATGCCTTCGACCTGCAGATATTTGGAAATTAATTAAACTACATGACTCTACAGTGTAAGTTGAAATTGAAAATACAAAATTTTCAAAATGTTGCATTGTTTCCTAACTCACAGCTAGCCCTAATAATAGCTCATTTAAATAATACCTGGAATGAGTTGATAGTTATTGGTTTTGAATGAGTTTGAGAATGAAATGGATGTAACATTCATTGTATTTGACTTTTTGTTAGGCCATTAAGTCCAATGTGTGCCTGATTTTGTTCTTTAATGCTACAGTGTACAATGCTTTCTTATATGGCATACATATCATTACTGGATATTCTGATTTTCTGACTTACCATCATCACATATAGCAGTAATTGTTTTTATTTCTGATGCAAGACAGGAATGCCAAGGTCGAGGATTTAATATTCTCTTAAACATTGGACTTGGTAAAAACATTCCATCCTTAGCAGAAAAAAGAATGCTAATTTAAGGAATAAAAATGATATAAATATTCCATTAATAGGGACATGCAGTTTAATCAATCTACCATATGCTTATGTAATTTCTCAAAACTTTCAGTGGCAATTTGTTTCTATTTGAATGTACTTTCTATTTGACAAATTTACAGTTATTCCATACCAGGAAACATTACATTTATCTTGGGCCATGTGCTCACAAATCTATCAATCACATAGCTATAGCTATTTATCAATGTATATTATCCTAACTTTTGCATTTTTGCTTCATGCAAAAAATTCCGTCCTCTGAAGTCTGAACCACTATGTTTAAGTCATTTAAAATTAAATATAATATTGAATAACATTTCACGAAAGAATTTATATATAATGTATAGAGTATAGTGTATTTATGAACTACAAGCAAAAAATGAAGTATACTGACCTTCCACTGTTCAACCACATGAAATACACAAACATTTTTGTGCAATGATGCCACACATGCTTCACAAAAATAGTTTCCTGCGCCGCATTTCAAGCATCGAAAGTTTGCGCTGGCTACATTACAGTTGGTGCACAGTTGACCACACGGAATACATTCTGATTCAACCACAGCTTTTAACAAGGTTCCTCTGATATTTTCCCAGTTTTTTGTCGAGCTTTGTTGTCGTTTAGCATAGCTAGTTGACTTTCCTGGAGCTTTCTCGTTATTTTCACAATCACTATCACTTTCACTAAATATCTCAGTGAGATCTCTCGATTTTGTGGAGATGCCAATTCTATTCTTCGTCGTATTGGAGATGGGGAAGAGTCTGTGAATGCGACAAATTCAAAACTAGGTCCTCTTGGGAGCGTTCGTTTGATGTTTCGAGGCATATTTCAGTTTTATAAAAGACTGCATAACGCACGCCGCTCATTAACTGTCGCCATCTTGAACGCGTTTCTATGATTAACGGTAGACTGGAACTAGTGTTTCTCTACATTCCTGGGATTGGCGGGATTGGTAATCTGGGTATTAAACTAAGCCTGCCTGACCAATCTGACAGTATTTATACTACGTAGATTCTGGCGAAACGGGTGACGTTGATCGTTGTCCGCCAAACTGCCGTCTCGCTACAAATGTTCTTCGATAGTTTGGAGGTTGTGGCTGGGCAGCTGTCATAGCAGGCGTTTGTGAGGTTGTAGCTGTAGTTGGGCCATGTGTCCGTGTAGGTTGTGGCGGTGTCTCGATCACAGCTTGTTGCGTGTTATCATTTTGCCGCACAACAAACGACGGCGAACTGCTAGTGTTGCTTGGGATAGATTGCATGTTTTCATTGCGAAATATGCGTCGTGTTTCTGCCTCAACTTGCGGCGAAATAGCGTCTGCTAACTCACTTATGCGATCGAGGATCCGCCATTTATGGAAATGAGTGATGGGTTAGGTTATTTTAACACAAAGTACCCCATAGAAATATATCGTGTCCGCTGACCGGTATGACCGTCGTAAAACTCGACTATCGTATATAAAATCTCGGCTGTCGCTAGAAAACTCGATTGTCGTTAATAATTTCGAATATCGTTCATAAAGCTCAATTATAGTTCATTTATCTCGATCACTTCGTATGTGTATCCTCGACTATTGTATACAGTACTTGCTTATCATATACACAACTCGACTATCGCATACTATACTCGACCTACTTTTGTCCACTTTGGCTTGCCATAGTTTTACACACGGCTTGCATGCATGCAGGTATTTCACGCGCGTCGCGTTCAGTTGACTGTAACGCGGTATTGTCGAGTTGTAACAAGAATTAAAAGTTCAGTATTTTCCTATAATCTACCAAATGAATAATTGACAAATAATAATTTACGAATCTTGTAGAAAATAATTTTATATATGAAAGGCTCTGCCCAACACGTAACTGTGTGATGTTTTTAGCAAGAATATTTGACGCGGCTATTTCTGATACGGAGATTTGTGGAATAAAAAAAATATGAATATTTACCGTACGAGCTTCACACTGAGTCACCCTCGCTTCCAACTTGAAACAGAGAACCGAATTTAGTCTTGGGCCTCTTCTGAATGAACTAGCTTGCATTAAATTAATACAACGAATTGGGTCAATTGTCAAAGCAGTACAGTAAAACTAAAAGTCTGTAATACATCACCTAACAGGAACCTAGCAGGTGGTATACTCCGGGGATTTGCAAAGCAAATTTAGTTTAGTTTACCTGCTAGAAAATTCTTAAATTTTTATATATATATATATATTTTTTCAATTGAATTGTCAAAATTGCCGTCGTCCCTTGTTATATTATATATACCATGCATGTATATAAGGCAACACATATTACTGTATCTTTTCAGGCTAAACATGCAGTAAATAATGTGTTTATTTTCTTGCCTGGAATTGTTTATAACTAAGAAATCAATAAAATTCCAGTTACGACAAGGAAGGACGTTTGATATCAACCATCAGTCATTGTTTACGTACGTTACGTTGTTTTATATAGTCTATGTACGAGTTTGCATGGCTACCAACAAGCCAAACTATACGCGATAAAAACTAGATAAAAAAGATTGCAGTTCCATCACATGTCATGAAATCATCATTATCTTAACAAATCAAATGATGCAGAAAGTAAACTAATTTACTGTGTAAACTTCACATGCTAAAAATTGTTATTATTATTAGCATGATAAAATTACTGGATGGTGATCGGTCGAGAGGAGTAGAGTTAATTTATTAATTGTACTGCATAGTTAATAAATTAGCCAAAATAAACTAAATGCGAAAAGTTTTTCCGTATGAACTAAACAGCCTTGGAGGAATAAAAAACTGCCAGGAAGGTAAACGAAAATACTGGTAAAAGTGTGTAAAATAATGGATAAAAGTCTGTAAGGACTGTGCTTTGACAAGAAACTGTGTTGCTTGCGTTGAAATTATGCCCCAAACGCGGTAAAGTGCTACTAAAATAGTTTGCATTAAAGTCAGAAAACTATACAGGTTGAAAACTTTCCGTAGGCGGTTTGAGAAAGTCGTCACATTCCATACACGCCCTGTATCCTTCTCTGTGATAAACAGTGAACAAACGAGGTGTGAAAAATTGGTTTCCAGTTGTATGACGAGGAAAGGCTAAGCAACTATCACAGCAGGAGCAACGAGTTTTCATATCGCAGCAGCCTAACCCGGCAGGAAATCCAGAAACATCATTCATTGTTTTCTCCAAAAGACTGGGACCGGTTCCCCATTTCTCGTCGTCAAGATTCTCTCCGACGGTTTGCCATGTCACCTGAACATTACCTGCGGAGTTTTGGTCACCTCTTTCTGTCATCTCAATAGACACGTCACTTTTATCAGAGGAGCTAACCTCTTCTGGTAAATAACGCGGAGAAATTAAGACAATGTGCCCTTCACGAACCTCGTTGCAACCTATATAGGAACATATAAACTTTTTCAAAATACCTATTAAAAATTTACAGAACTAACCAAGATGAAAGATGGCGTCTAATATGAGATTGTGACGTCATATACAAAAAAAGAATCGTTAAACATAGTTTAAATATACTAAAACAACTGTGTACGAAGCAGCTCAAAAACCCACCTTCATCAGAGTAACGAACTTTGAATTCATACATTCTTGGATATTTACCATCCTTGGGGTGGACATACTTTTTCTTAATATCAGCCAACACATCTCCTCCATCCATTGCAGTGAAAGAGCAATCTAATATCTCACGGGCATGATTCATTATCTGTATGATTTCCTTGCCGTAGTCATCGTCTGACTTGATATGTGAACCATCTGCGACCAGAATTCTCGGTAGTCGCAATTTTAACAGGGGTAAGAGGCCATAGTTTTCAAAATGGCCGCCATCACTGAGATGCAACATCGCCGGTGGCTTTGGACCATCGTGGATGAAATGTACAAGGGAAAGAAGGAAACGGTAAAAGGGCAGGTGTACAGTGAGCCATCTGGTTGGGCTAAAAAAGTAAAGAATAAGTCTTTAGTAAAACATTTGTATCAAAGAACCCCGTAAAAGAGGGCTTTGTGGGGAGCTTTACTCAGTAGCAGAGTTGAGCATCAATATATGTGCAAGGTAAGAGTGCATGGGAACTGAAGTGTTTTTATTCGAGAGCTGCTTGCTTTTAAAAATAATATACTTTTAAAGTCTGAAAGGGGAATAGGCTAAAAAAAGCATCTCTTTGTTTGGAATGAAATTCCTTGTTTTATTTTTTTCGGGGTTGGGAGGTTTGTATGTACTTACGTTGAAATCTTTTCATTCTCGTCCAATTCATACGAATCGGGGGAATCGGTGTAATCAGAGTGATCTTGACAATTACAGCAGCAAATATAGATAATCAACATCGTGACTATTAACCCGAATCCTCCTGTTATTATAGCCACAGTTGTGATTATAGCCAAGCCATCAATATGTGGAACAAGTAATTTCCATAGTCCAAATCCTCCACCGCCAACTAAAAGAGCCACAGTTAAATTTGCAATACCCTTCCAAAACTATAGAAAAAGAGACTATTTTAATTAGTGACGAGAACGTTTTGTGAAAAATTTATCACATACTTTTAACCCTTGGAAGTAAACTCTGTCAAGTTTGTCAACTAACGACTGTAAATTAATAGACTACAGAAATAGCGGCTATATTCGTTGCTATTCACATCTTGTATTTATAGACAAAAACTTGACAGAGTTTACTTCACAATTAACTTGTGTGTTTACCCTAGTAACATTATAATAACATTATATTAGATGAACAAAGCTTGTTTATGCAAGAAAACTAAATATCATGCAGACAATATATTTCAAGTTTTTGTATTGTGACAATATATTTCAAGTTTTTGTATTGTGAAATATATATATATATATATATATATATATATATATATATATATACACCCGTTTGCAAAAACGTTGGCCGCAGATAGATATATAGATAGATACCCGAAATCTAATTAGAATTGCATATGTTGTGTAATATGATTGAAATCCCATGCAAATGTATTCATATGCAATTCTAATTAGACTTCGAGTATCTATCTATCTATCTATCTGCGGCCAACGTTTTTGCAAATGGGTGTATATATATATATATATATATATAATATATATATTTAATTATATATATATATATATATTGACTAAGACTTCTATGTTTTGTCGATTGAACGACATTGAACCATCTTACCCGATGACAACAACCTCTTTTTTTTTCGCCTGTCATGTTGTAAATCAGATGTGCGGCCATCTCCATGCCGAGCAACGTCAAAATATGTGTAAATCTGTGCTCAGCTTCTTCATGCTTGCCAAGACTGGGTGAGACAGCCGCAGCAGACATTGCCATCGCTGAAGATAGTTTCACATGTCTGGGTTTCAGTTTTCCTTTAAAATTTTCGCTATTCAAACAGTTTTCTCTGAATTTCTCGAGATCTCGAAGACATTGCGGTGGTTGATTGGTTACGGAAGTCTGACTTTGACTAAATTGCGGTTGTTGGTCTATCACAGAAATTCCTGGAAAGAGAAACTGCCTGTATTGACCACAACAATAAGAAATATATCGCAATAGTGCAGCCAATCAAACTATGTGTAACATCAGTCATGGCACCTTTGACGTCTATACTGTTGAGATCGAGAAGAATTGACATTTTTTAACATTTTACTCAATCAAATTTTGCAGAAGAAATGCTGCCTCCAATAAAATATCCCCATATGAATTCACGGATGAAATTCACTTTGCAGAATGGCTTTTGTCCGCGCTCCAAGCGCCTTAGTTGCCATTTTTTTTGCGCGTCACCCCAAATTCCGCAAAGCCATAAAAAATAAATAACTTTTAAAATGGTTTCGATAACAGCTGACAGTAGCGTAGCCAGCCTGTCGATTTGTCCCGCTATGCTAATATTTCAGCGTTCACTGACTGTGAAAACAATAGATTTCTAAAGACATGAATAATTATAATAACTCGAAATTTACATAGCGGGACAAATGCATTGAAAAGTGCTAGAGCAACGCAAAAGGTAAATCGGCCTTTGCAGTTTGTCCTAATACATCAATCTTTGACATAAACATCAAAATTCTACCAACCTTTAGAGCTCATTGTAAGAAGACAATATCTTTTATCGTATTTTCGGCGCCAGCCATTTATCACCATATTGCTCAGATACTCCGGTTTTATTCCTTCGAGGTCTCCCAATGTCACTGCTCGCTGGTCGTTTTCTTTGGGTCGATACATCCCAGACGAACAGCAGTTGCTTCCAGCGCAGGAACCATAACTATGGCAGCAATGTTCTGAGCAAGCGCAGAGTTCGCTTTTGTCGTGGTAGTAAAAAGCTCTCTGCAATCGCCACCTGAAATGGAGAAGAGGAAATAACAGTTTCAGTAACTTTTATGCAGACATCAAAGGACTTGATAAGGACACTCCTTGCAGCGATTTAAGCTCTGTTAGCTAGTATAATTACAAAGGTGATTAATGAAAATTGTGCTACTGATTGGCTAAGCGACCTCCGATTATCACGCTGTCACATCGACTTCTACATAATTCTAATTAATACACATCTAACCTGTTATAATTATGAACCAAACGAAGTGGAATATCTCCAAGAATCGAGAATACTGCTAGAATACCAAATGAGGCAAACAAACATATTTTGAATCCCTGTTCTGTGTACTTAAATTGGAATAACGTCGATTTGTACAGGTGCCAGTACACGATATAAGAGTAAAGGTAGACCAAAATTACCAGGGAAGAGTACTTGCGCAAAAGTGGAAGAAAAAACCAGAAAATTGCTGTGATAAGAACTATGCCGGCCTGGATATAGAACGCCGAATGCTTTAAAAAATCTTGAATAAACCATGGCAAGAAAGTGAAGGCGAACGAAGCACCAGAATATATCTGACCCAATTTTAGGAACAATCTAACCCACTTAATCCGTAAGTAATTTCGTTTGTTTTCAGAACAACGTCTACAAAGGTATTCAAGCAGATGACATAGAAGAAGAATAACTAAAGAGACCGAGAAGAGGAGGTTGCGTTCTATACAATCATTGCTCGTGCCACTTTGCCTACACTTTGTACCATCGAGAAACTTTCCGTACAAAAGTTTGATGGTAAAAGCAATTGGGAAAGCAAAAGAACCCCAACCAACAATCGGAACGAATACTGAAACAAAAAAGAGCAAAGAACATAATATCATGGAGTCACAGCAACACTCAGGACTTTGCCAATTGCAAAAATATCCTGCTCGTTTTCTCATATTTTCAAAGAATCTCTCAGTCCAATCTGAAGAGCTTCCATTTCGGTATTTCCACTCGACGTAAGCACTTCCAGTGTAACCTCCGCCAGACACGCAGCTTAAATAATCCGGTTCTGCTTCTTTCTTAAGGAGCCTGCGCAGAACCCCTGAACAGAAGGCAGCTGACCGAATTCCACCGCCTGAGAATGCAACACCAAGTTTGGAATCCATTTCTACAAAAGAAGAACAAGAAACGTTAAATAACATATCTGCATGGAATTGTAGTAAAACGTTTCTTACTACAATTCCAGATATATTATAGCGATTAGATGGAGCGCTATATAAATGCAAGTATTCTTCAACAGTGATAATGGTTTATGTTAAAGGTAGATTACAGTCGGTAATGTAAACAAACGCAGTGTTTATGTACATATTATATTGCTTTAAAATAGTTGCTTTTAGTGGCTCTCTGCCGAACACAAGCTGAGCAATAGAATTACAGTAATATAAAAAGTTTGTGACCTTCAAAAGAGTTTGCACGTCAATTGCCACAGGAACTGGGCAATAAGCAGTGTTTCTATGTGTGTGTGTGTGGGGGGGGGGAGGGTAAGGCAAAAACGTTACAAACGCCTCTGCTTCCCAAGCTTGTTTTTGCAATTGTGCAAGTTTGCATGATTTCAATCAATCAATAATAATTAAGAAATTTAATAAACATTTTCCGTCACGCGTGGGAGTTTAGGAAATAATCTCTGGGAAAACGAGCCAGTAAGGCGAGTTTTTTTCTTATTTCTTTTATAATATAACTCAATAAAAAGATTTTGTACAAATATTGTAATTCGTTTCAATTACAAATTCTCATTACATTACTTCGCTTGTCAAGTTCGGCGGGAAAAGTCCGGTGTTTCTATACAGTTATTGAAACACGCTTCTTTTGATCTGCGGAAAGTCAAAGGCTAACAGATATAACTGTCAGTAAAAATTTAGTATAAAATAAACTATAGTATTTATAATAGTATGATATATAAAATATATGAAATGCTATAAATATCATATACAAGTATGTATATATATATATATAGTCTTTATAGAGATTACTTCATGTTTGGCGAGTGCGTACGATTTTTATTAAATGTTTATCGATATCAATTTGACAACGACACGCTTTTAATATACAAAAACACAGGGAGGAACAAAAATCGAAATTTTATGCATCAAAACATATTTGTTACCGTTCATTTTTTTGTAATTTTGTTCAATAGAAGTAAGATATTCTTTCCAAAAGATTTGAGAATGTGTTAAATGTAAAAATATCTTGAATATGAGAATTATGTTTTGAATCTCACTCCTATATTTCGACGCCATCTTGAAAGAAAATGTAAACACATTGCCGCCAAAATGACATACGACAATTTTTCACGTGTGAAGAATATCGCACGTCCAATCAAAAGCAGTGTATGGCATTTTTTCACACGTGATAAACATCGTACGCCGTAATGCTCTAAAATTTGTAGTTCTTTTTCCCCAATATCATGCAATAATTTTCATTTCAAACGTATTCAATCATTTTTGATTTCATCAAATGAGAGCTAGGGAATTAGAAATTAAGCTAAATAACTACTCTTTCATACAATGTAAGGATTAAGTCATTGAAATTCAATATATCCTGGACAATATAGTCTGTTAATTTCCAATCCTGTTTTAGAACCCCGGAAGGTATAAAATAGCAACAGATGGTGGCATACCGCGGTTGCTTGTCAACAGCTAGGGATCATGCAACCCTGGGGAAACGAGAGGTTGTGGATTATGTTATCTTGATTAACGCCTCCTCCCGTTGTTCTTGTCTGTTTGTTTCGCAATAAAATTTTTGATGACACCCCATCCAAACTCCCAAAGTCGATGTTTCAGTGCGGCAATTTTTGGATCATTTAAATTCAAAAGAAATTCAAAACACCCGAAACAATTTGTTTCGTTCACACTCGAAACATCAAGTCTTATTAAACAGGGGCAAGTTGAAGTTGTAAAAAATAACGACAATGTAACATAACATTTGATATAACATGAAAGTACGAGCAATCCGATTACGAGCAACTATTACGTGTCTATAACCACGCACTGAAGCACAATGCATAGAACATTTAAATGTTTTAAACACTTAGATTACTGACTACGTGCTTCGCCGCATGTTGGCAAAATGTTATGCTGGCAAAACCACAGTTCACGGCGGCAAAGCGTATTTCCAAAGCGAATATGCACTTTCCATTGACCGCCGGGAATCAGTATCAGTGTTTTTCTCGCGTTTTGTATATCGCGGTTATGAAGATATGTTTTTAGATTAGGATACGATAGACAAGAAGGTGTTATTGCTGCTGTGTCTGTCTTTCATCAGGCAAACACATACGGAAATAAAGCTTTTTGAAGTCGATTTTACAACCACCGCGATAATAAACATTTAGCATATATTGACTATCTTTGACTGTTATATAGAGCAAGAAAACGGTGACAGTTGACTGTTGCTAAGTAATGTCAAAGGATTTTAAAATTTGGCGTTGTTCAAATATACAACCTAATTTAGATATGGGTAAGCCTCTGGCTCTAGCACGTAGCAGCTTGATTTTGAGCGCCTAAAATAGGGTTAACATACCTCTTAATGAAATAAAACATATATGCTCTCGACTAATCCCCAATAACTTTGTTTTGTTTCATGTTACAGGACAGCGATAGCGAGTGGCGTAGAATCGGATAATGTCAGAATGGTTAAAGGTTTTTTCCTCGGAACAACGTTGCTGTTCAATGTCTATTTACTGACCCTCAAATGTGATTGGTTAGCGCGTTAGTTAGTCTTGATCTCTTGAAATTTGAGCCGTGTTTTAATTTCCTTTCTTGTGGTTGAGCTAGATTTCTATATATCGATTGGCAGTTGGCACATGCAAAATTGCCAATTTATTCGTATACCTTGTCTGTACAATCAAAGAGTCATGGTCCTTCTTACCCTCCTGTAACGATATCACTGGTCTAATTTTGCTGTAAAACAAATTACAATGACTTGCAATACAATATGACAAACATGCATGACTATAGTCACATGTACTTGTAGACATTTGAGGTAAACGACTAAACTTTTAATATCTATAATATTTGTATCATATGTCACTTTATTGTATCAAACATCCTGCAGTAAATATTCTTAGCTCACTTCGCACTGAAGATGGCTTAGTGTAAGCCGAAACATGTTTGCTATTAAAAATCTAGTCGTTTACCTCAAATTTAACTGGTCTTGTGCTATTACGAAATTACTTGTAGAAAAAATTTACCCAATTTAATTTTACATAAAGTGTACATAAACTATGACGAATGGTTAAGGTTAAGGTCCATATGTATTGTGGTTTTTGTCGTTCTCGGGTCGTTTTTGTGTTTACGTGTGGACGCGGATAAATATTTTAACGGATAAATATTTTAACGGATAAATATTTTTGCGTTTTCAAATTCTTCCGGCATCGTGTAGACAGGGCGTTGATTGGGGTGTGGACTTAATATTCTAACTTAGCCTTCTAAAAATAAAAAACTTTCACACACTCATCGCGCTGGCATTCGTAAAGATGTGTAAGCTAATATTATTATATAAGTAACATAACTGTATTATTATGCACTGTTTTCCGTAGAACACTTTAGACATGATGAAAACACTGACTTTTTTAGGCTAACTTATGTCTGACCTCAGTAGCAACATGCTGTATGAATGCTATAGTTATATCTCGCGCTGGAATTAGTGAACGCAGTAATATGTAACTGTAATATTCTTTACAGTTACCTTACGCGCGGTTTTGCGTATAGAACACGGAATCAAGGCTGATAATAACTTAAATACCAACGAATTCGTCTCGAATGAATGTACAGATGATGACTGAATACTAAACCATATGATTTAAACACATGATAGCTTTGTACAATGGGGGTAAAAGTTTTAGTGTTCTAATAAATCAGAAATTTCTCGAAAATCGTAAATCAGTAGTAATAATTTATTATTGCAGATAAATTTTGAATCTTCTGTGAATAATTTTTTATCACAATGAGGCTCCGAAAACAAAAAGTATTCGTGACGTTAATATGCATGCTAGGAAAATTCTGAAACATAAAGGGTTAGGGATTATAAGTTTGGGGTCCCGGCTTGTAAATAAGGGATTTGAATAAGGCATATTTTAGTATATGGCTTAAATCTGCTTTCGATGAAATTTGCTTAGAATGCAACCCCTGCTCCCATCGCCTACCCTCCGCTATGGGACGAGGGTACGTCCCTCCAAACCTCCTCATATAAGGCTTATTAATAAGCCTTTTCTCCTGATGTTTGTACTTTCATGCCGACGGCCTATAATATCGAATTTTCTCAATATGCGCCTCATGCCTAACGGCCTACTAAACGATAATACATGCATGGAATTATTTATCTATCAGTAGAATGTTTCTCACTTTATTAACGCCAATCAAATGTTGCCAAAATGATTCTCATGCAGTTTTATTCTATTACGGGATATTTCGAAATTTTAGTGGTAATAAAGTGCATTATACTGTGACTAACATGAAGTACAGCCCTGTCTGTATGGAAATAAATGCATATTTCAACAGAAGCTATATTGCGGCAATATTCTGCCTCGGAATATCTAGCTAGTGTATTTTATTCCGACGTATTCTGCTCGTAATACTATCAGTATTTCGGAAATATTCCGAGGGAATACTCCAGAATATCTCGGAATATCAATAATATTCCCGACCATATTGTGTGGTATAGAGGTCGGAATGTGCCGCTTTTCGCAATCAATCTCTATTGCGTGATCGCAGATATAATGACTCTTTCATGTCTAACACTTGTTTTGATCGCGCCAAGCAACAATCAAATATTAAAAAAGAAGCTAGATTATAGAAGTTTCCTGAGAAAGTCAACTACACAATGATTCCGACCTCTTTTCTATATTATGCAAACGCTGTGTGCAACTGGTACGGCGAAAAACGTTCTAACACAGTTATATAATATAAAGGAAAAGTTTGCTGTGTATGCCTATGAAATGCAAATTAGCCATAATTTTTGCATGTGATTTGAAATCTTGTTGGACTTAATTCAATTCGAATATGACTGGTTTAAATTTCACATACACTGATTATACTTTCTATACACATTCATACATGCTTTGACATCGGCTTTTTACATCGAGCCCGTGGTCCCGAAGTCTAATGATCGGTCGATCAACACCGCTGTGAAATTTTCGACGTGCTTGACTACAACGGGACGCTTGATTTGTAGTCAATACCAACACGTGTATAGTCTAGAAAAGGTTGTTAACTTTGTCTTGGGTTGGCAAAGGTTTACAATGCATAATAAGTCGTTATATACGTTTTATAAAAATTAGGAAGAGTCTTCCTGGAAGAACGTACACTTTTTACACGCGAAGCGACTTTATTCCTTTGTATTTGAGCAATTTGTTCTAGATGGTTGCAGTTGAAGTAAAATGTCGCTTCGCGCGAAAAATATCGCTAGTGGAAAACCGGCTTTAGTGTGACTTATATATCAACAACAAATTGAACATGCAAACGCTTCTACCTACTGCTTGATTCTCGATTCAAAGTACGATTAACATACCTTCTAAATGATTAAGAAATTGGTTGATTTTGACAGAAACTTTCTAATAATCCCCAGCAACTTTCAGCTTAATACAAGTTATAACCGTCAAAACTCTGCTCGAGAGGTTATGGCTAATCGGTGTGTTTCACCTAAATCCTTGAATCTGATTGGATAATGCCTTCGTTTTAAGCCCACCTCTCTTTCAGCTAGTGCTTACTGCATCTATAAATTACCCAAAGACAATATCATACAGGATGTATAAAACAACTGAACCCTATCAAAATTCAAATAGGCTATTAAAGTTATTATTATCGCTACTCTTGTTTAAGGGGCTGTTTACATGAGCCCCCGGTTACCCGAGATTCAACGAAGCTTGTGGGGACTTTGAGGTATTGAAATAAGTCTTTATGACAACAAACAAGCACATGCTCAACCCTGTACCCAGGGTCTTCCCTATAACACTGCGAAATTACGAGGTTGGCACATGCTATAATGCTATTGTTGTGGTGATTATACGACTGTCAGGATCATTTTATTTGCTCATTTCAATACCTCAAAATCATCTCATGCCTCGCTGAATCTCGTAAATAAATCTCTATGTAAACAGGGTTTACATAGAGCGAGTTATGCCGGCTAGGCGAGGTAAAAACCGCATCACATCAAAGGCTTTACTATAAGCCTTTGATGTGATGCACTTTTACCTCGCCTAGCCGGGATAAAAAATCCTCTCCATGAAAACAAGCTCTGAAATAATGGAACTAATCCCTCGCCAAAATAAATAATATACGTAGATTAAAACAACTCGCAAGGTTCCTCCACAAATTGTCACAGAAATTTGATCCATTCTATTTTTTAATCTATTCAGTTTGGGTCCTTACGTATACAGGACCTTGTTTTCTAACCAAGCAGGCAGCAGCTATCAATAGACCTTTCTTATAATGACGTCAAACGCGGAAACTTTGATATTACACGAAATTTGATTGGCTCCACAAAACTATCGAGCCAATCAGACTTCGTGTAACATCAGACTTTCCGCGTTTGACGTCATTATGAAAGAGGTCTATTACTGAGATAATTTTTTTATATTGCAGCTAATTTGAATATGCCGGAATGGTTCGGGTTTTTTATAAAACCTGGAAATACCACCGCGGTAAATCAAGTTAAAATCATGCGACTTATCCCAAAGTTATTTTAGTTTTCTACTTAGAAGAATAAATACACAAATTGCTCCTTCTTGCTCAGTGGCACAGGTTGGCGTGAGTTTGAGAACGGGCCACCCAACACCCGCCCGTCACCCGTCGGGGTCGTACTCGGACTTCCCATCTGAGCCAAACTGTTCCAGTTTGGCTCAGGGGACGCTGACCAACGTTTTTTCCCATAACTGAATTTGACTGAGTATTGAATAGAGTGTTGTGAAATAGTATACTATTCGATGAAAACGAATTATCTTTGAATACATTTGGAAATTATCAGTAACATTGATTGTGAGCTAAACTCTGTAGTGAGCAATATGAATTTCCGAGGCTGCGATTTTATTCATCCAGGCTGCGTGGACCTTGCAAAATTTTACAGGTCTTAACTCGTGTTTGCCTGAGCGCCAACGGCTTTGCGTTACACACAACCTTTTTTTTTTCATTTTTTACAAATCAGTATACTCTTGGTCAATGTATGGAAGGATCAGACAACGCGTAACTTACATCAATGATCTTTCGGCCTGGTTTTCATGTACGATATATTTATCGACGATGGCTACTGTTGGTGGTCATTTATATATAACTTCTTTGTCTTTTGAAAGAAATGATCTATTTTAATGGATCATATATATAGAATATTACCGACGAAGTACGGTATATAAAACTGGGCTTTAGATTGTACGATAGCATTTGCCCACGCTGCTATCAAAATCATTGAGATCTATGGGCGAAACAGAGGAATGAGGAGATATTTACCTTGTTGTTTGTTCAAATCGCCTTTGCTTGATTTCTGCTTTTTCCTTTATAACTTTGAATTGAAAAAATTAAATTCTAAAATTGAATTGAATTTATAAAAGCGAACAAGATACGCGAAAAGGTCAAGGTTTATACATGCAAAAGATATATCTGCAATATCATTGCCTTACGGGTAGTATACTCAAAATTTGCATCACAAATTATTTTTATTTGCATATATACCTGTCGCCGTTGAAAACTGTGTATTATATACTATCAATTGATTGATTTGAAGTAAATGGGTCTATAGCCAGCAAGATGGCTGCCTTAGGATATTTTTACCACTGATGATACACTGAGATATACCTGTCTTGGGACATTGAAAACAGAGCTTTTTCTACGTTTTTTATCATGTTTTTCCAGAAAGTGAAAAATAGCCGTTTTTTCATACCAAAACACCCTGCGATTATATGTAGCTACGCATATCTACGGCCGTACGGGGTTTCGCCGCTTAAAAAAGGTTCACTCAAGCTTGTTTTGCTTGGACTGTAAAATATGAAATTCCAAAAGTACAGAAATGTGGAAGCAATTATATTGAATTCCGTTTTACATGATATATGAAGAGTTATCAAGCTTCGCTTTGTTTTAACCTTTGGCTTCGGTTGTAAGGACAAACTTTGGTTTGACTTCTTCAAGTATATCATGTTCAAACTCATTCAGTATTAGTTAAAATTTGTTGATTGCTGTCATGGAGATTGACTGAAATTGACTATCAGCAATGTCTTATACCAAAACATAACGACCTCCTCTCTCACCATCATGTCTTGAACAAGATTAAAGCCTTCTCCACGTGGCGACCAATTTTAAAAAAAATGCAAACATCACTCGCCATCGCATGATTACAAATACATTTACGACGTTCAAATGATTTATTTTGGGAGAAAATTTCTTGAGATATTAAACCAACCTACGAACGTAAGAAGATTAGGCAACGTGAATAAACAGCAAAAATAGCAGGCCAACTACGTACCTTCACGTTTGGAGTAACGAAATTTGAACTGATACATTCTTGGACGTTCTTTGTTCTCGACAAACTTATTTTTTAAATCGGTCAACACATCTCCTCCATCCATTGCAGTAAAAGAACAATCCAATATCTCACGCGCATACTCCATAACATGTATGATTTCCTTGCCGTAGTCATCGTCTGATTTGATATAGGAACCATCCGCGACCAGAATTCTCGGCAGTCGCAATTTTAACAGGGGTAAGAGACCATAGTTTTCAAAATGGCCGCCATCACTGAGATGCAACATCGCTGGTGGTTTTGGACCATCGTGGATGAAATGTACAAGGGAAAGAAGAAAACGATAAACGGGAAGATGTACAACAAGCCATTCGTGTAGGCTGCAATATAATAATAGCCTACCCAAGGAGGATAGCACGGAAAATATTACGAAATTCCCGTTCGGTCCTGAACACAACGTTGTTAAAAATTAAATATTACAATAGACCCATAGGCAATCCATATATGCATGATAATTTAAGCGTGATTTGAACTTCTAATATTATTTTTACACCATGCTGAAAAATTGCGGAAAAATTTCTCGCGTTCAAACTAGCACGCATAATGGGGCTGCCTATGATAGACCATGTATATCGCAAATAACCAATTGAGAAAAACTGAAAAGTCTGCAAAAACTATGGAGGAGAGCGCATGCCAGTTAGCAATCAATTAAAGTTTATTACTTACAATTTGAGTTGTTTGGCAAATTTAGCCTCACCCTCAGGGTCTTCTACATCCATAGAATAAGTTGGATAAAGTTTTCTTTTTATCTCTTTCGCATTTACCAAGAGAAGAAAATCGCACCAAAAATCGTATTACACCAAGTACTTCACTTGATTGTTATGCTCGAATGAGATTCGATTGTTTATATTTATAAAAGAAGATTGAATAAATGTTAGGTTTTTTTCTGGAAACTTGAAGTTAAGATGCTTTCCTCTCAAAGTGCATATCTATAGAGTATCAAACAAGATGTTTTTAAGCAGCTGCAGTGCTAATAATGGTTTTGAGTAAGTCATTCAGTGTTTATAAACGACTCAACGAAACCCAGGCAGTGTCAGTTCTACTTGAAAAGCGTGACAAACCCGAATCTTTGTTGTTTGAAAGTGGTGCTGTAGCTGAGTTAGGTGGGTTTTAAAATTGTTTTCGTACGAAGGGAATGCTTTGATTTGTCACAGTACATTCTTTCCGTTTATATTTAAAATTATATTGGTATGGTATTGTTGAATATCAACACAACAATATGACAACTTTTAACGATGATAATATATTTTCCGGATGTGGTTGGGACAAATTCAATTGGTGATATAACTAAACCTTGATGAGTCACCTGAGATATGAGTTAATGAAAAGAAATTTCTCATTATGGAGCCCAAATATTTATGAACTCTGGTGATTACAATTCTGAGGGCTGAAAGCCTGAAGCTAGCCTGATTATCAATAATTTCAGAAATTGCAGAATTTACTCTGCCAATGGACCACTTGCATAATAGATCAACTTCAGATCTAGGTGACAAATAGGAAATAAATAACCACAGCTAAAAAGAACATACCAAAATTAGTTAAATTGCCAAGTTTGGTTGCAAAATCTCAAGTAGTACGAAATATATAGCCATCCGAATTTGCCAATTTTGTATACTTTTCTACTACGGCCGGAAGGGTGTAACTAATTTAGTTACACACGTTCGGTTGTAATACAAAAGTATAGAAAATTCACCAACTTCGCATGGCTATATCTTCGGTACTTTACACTATTTCACAGCCAAACTTGGCAATCTTACTAAGTTTTGTATGCACTTTTCAGAAATTCCTTTTTTGTTACCTAAATCAAAAGTTGGTCTATTATGCAATTGGTCAATTATTTTATCTATTAATTTTTTCATTCCTGCTGAGTGATGTACCTAGAAACTTAGGTGAAAAAATTAAAAAGTTCTCATGTTCCAGTATATGTTTATTAGATAAGGTTTGTGCCTGAAATGGGGAGGGCTAGGAAAAGATTTGTTTGCTAAATTGCCTTTTGAAGACCCTGGCAATAAGAAGTGTTTTACTTGTGCCTTTAGTAAAGAACTCAGAGTTCAATTTAATAATAATTCTAATAGTAATAATTCTAATGGTGCTATATGACATGTCTTATATGTGGAATATATTATGTGTAGTTGATGAGAACTTATCATGTGATTAAACAATGATTCATTTCCAGTTGACAAATCATAGCACTGTTTGGAGGAGGCAATATAAATTTATTTGCAATCCAAAAAAGGTCCATTTGCACTGTCAACTTCACAATTACAAGTCCTATACAGAAATTTGGGACAATATTTTATTGCAGTCTAAAAATTTCACATTCGTGTCAAGAATTATTATCTAGCCAAAATCATTTCCACCTTCTGAAAATTGAAGAATAATTTTTTTATTTCCCACTAGGACATGTTCAAGTCATTGATTTGTATATGCCTTTTAATATTTTTAGCACCATGGGAGACAGCCACAATAAAGAAAGATTACAACAAAGTGTGTGATGCCTATGGCTGTCTTGGTGTCCTAAGGCTAAGTTTGAGTAAGATATATTTGAAAGTTTAGTTGTAGTGTAGAAAAACCGAATGCCAAAACATATGATATTTCTTCGGTTTCTGCCTAATTATTTTTTCTCATTTCACTAAATCCACTTAATGGTCAACCTTTCAACCACGCCACACTATAACCCTTTTGACAAAGGTCCTTACGACAAAGGACCTCTTGGCAAGAGGATCCAAATTTCAGCCAAGAATTTCCAAGATCTTCACATCTTGCCAAGATCTTATAAATATCTTGCCAAGATCTTATTATTTCGAAGATCTTGGCAGGATCTTTCAAGATCTCTCAAGATCCTGGGGGCCTCCGTCAGGACAAATTAAAGTACGTCAGTAAGTAACATTCTCCTGATGAAGTACCTCCGGGACGATTTCCACTGTCGCGTTGTTTGGACGTATTAACACAATAATTTAAATGGTATATACTTACAAAATCAACGATTAAATAAACGCATAGGGTCGGATTCTGGTCCACGATTGGTTCAGCACACATTGTGAAAATCAGCTTTAGCTGGCAATATGTTAACGATCAAAAAAAGTTTATCATCATCATTGTCACCCTATGCATCTATTTAATTGTTGATTTTATAAGTATAAACTGACTTTCGTACGCTCGTACATAAAACGCGACAGAGAATATTCGCCCTCATTCCTCAAGTGAAAACGACGCGAGTGGTGTTTTTGTCTATATTTTGGGCAGTATACCACATTTGACGTTTCCCCGTATATTTGAGGTAGTTTTGGAGGCAAATTTAATGACAATTAAGGAAGCTGCCGCGCTGCTTGTGGGTTACATTGGAATGTGTAATCGTTCTAAATAAGTACATGACCGAATGTCACTAGACACATCCACATACATAACTCTCTCGAACAAGTTGCGCTCAAATTTTGATATTTCTTAACAATGCTCTAATATTTTCCATTTAGGAGAAGATGATAGTTTCCTTTATCTTGTTCTTGTCACCGCATGTCGTTCTGTTGGGAAGATTAAAAACAGCGAAATATCATGTGTGACGTCGACAGTATTCATTGCGCTCGGCGCCCACGATGAAGTCGGCATTTCTGAAGTCCGCAAGTTGCTGAATTCTGGCTCGTTCTATTTCACCTTGTCGGTTAATGAAGAAGACGTACCACTCGATTTGAGTTTAACATATCAAAGACAAACTTCAGCTACGGAACCGGACAATAGATTCTTTTGGTAAGTGGTTTTAAAATGTTTGAGCAAAATTTTGCATACATATATACCGTTAGAAAATGGTCATGCTTATATATTTTGTAAAAGGTACTGCTAGGGCCGGTTGTATAAAACTCTTAACTACGTTTTAACTACTTTTTAACCACCCAACTGTAGTTAAAACGTAGTTAACTTTAATCACGTAGTTAAGCCAGTTGTATAAAAACGTAGTTAGCGTTAACTGTACAGGGTATCTCAAAAAAACGAAAACTATTGAAATCACTCAGAGTGCTTAGGCATTCAAACTCTAACAATTACATTGTTATGGGTGATTTCGATAGTTTTCATTTTTTTTGAGACACCCTGTACAGGATGCGAACGTGCTAAGCGCCATTAAATATTCTTTGCTGTCATTTTCAATCATGCGTACCTCCAGCAAGATATGGAACCTAAACGGTACCCTCTCCATCCCGTGATCACACTGTCACACGGAATCACAGAAGTGAAATCCGTGGAAGGAAAACACAAAACACATACAATGCACACATATAAATAATTAGATACATACCCCAGGAGTCTTCTGCAAAACCAAATGAACCTAGAGAAGCTAAACTAAAAGCAACAATAGAAAAGACCACCCCTGAGGGGGAATGTCAGGGGAGAAGGGCGGCGCGAACGAACCGATAATAAGCAGGGGCCGGTTTTTCGAAAGGCGTTTAGCTTAAACGGTGGATAAGCCAAAGTTTAAGAATACTCTCGTAGATATTGTGAATGACTGAACCTGCATCTTATGCATTTAATATGTACTTCCATTGACAATTACACCATTTACATCGATATATTTCAGCTCAGTTGTTCAATAAATAGATAATTTCCATTTTTAAATTATCCACCGTTTAAGCTAAACGCTTTTCGAACAACTGCCCCCTGATAAACAACAGGGCAAGTCATATAAATACTGAGACCCGGGGAAGATACCCCGTGCGAAATACCCGGCCGGGTAACCAGCGAGGGCCAACTCTTCGATAATAATATTAAGTGGATTTCCACTCACAGAGAAATAGTTCGCTATCGAAATATTTTCTTTTGAATTGAGAACAGTCAAGTTGAACTAATTTATTTATCCTGTTAATTTTTCTGCAAGTGGGAATCCACCCTTAGGGCCTGTTTACATGGAGCCGAGTTACCCGGCTAACCGAGTTACTCGGCAGCACCGAGTTCTCGCCTGTTCTATATATTGTATGGATATCTCGGTTGACTGTTTATATGGCGCATCCGAGTAACTCGGCGTGCCGAGTTCTCGGCAAACTGTGCCGGGTTCTCGGCAAGGCGAGTTACTCGGTTATACCATGTAAACACTTTGTAACGGGAAACTCGGCTAGGCGAGTAGAATATTCGCCAAACACGCATGCGCGTTTACGTTTCATTTACCACCATTGTAAAAAGTTTTTGAAATTTCGCACCCTACATAGTAAGTACGTCATGTAATTACAATGTACCGTAACAAATACCGAGTTACCCGGCTCCATATAAACACAGTACCGTTTTGTCCCGGCAAGGCGAGTAACTCGGTTACCCGGGTAACTCGGCTCCATGTAAACAGGCCCTTAGGGAACCCGGTTTATTCTTCTGTCGGAAGTTTATGTAGATTATGGAAGATTGGGGGGCGATGATATATGGTGATGATATATTTATTTTTTTTCTGTAGGTAATTTAGGATTATTTTCCCCCTTTTTTTCTTCTCATTCCCATTGTTAATGTTAGCTCCGCGTTTACAAAACAGTCGCTCATTTTATTTAGTACAGTATGCAGTACAGCATGGCTAAAATTGGTACCTGCATGTACCCAACCAGTGATCCATTATTTTGTACTTCCGCCAGTATTTTCATTTACCCTTCTCGCCTTTCTTAGTTCATCCAAGGCTAGCTGTTTCTAAGCACAAATTGGTGCCAGCATGCATGTACCCAATTTTATCCGTATTTAGGCTAACAACATAACGGGTGAGCACATATATCAAACTGGGCCAAAAAATTAAGTGCTGTGCATTAATCCATTATTTTGTACTTTCGCCAGTATTTTCATTTACCCTTCTCGCCTTTCTTAGTTCATCCAAGGCTAGCTGTTTAGCTGTTTCTAAGCACAAATTGGTGCCAGCATGCATGTACCCAATTTTATCCGTATTTAGGCTAACAACATAACGGGTGAGCACATATATCAAACTGGGCCAAAAAATTAAGTGCTGTGCATTAATCCATTATTTTGTACTTTCGCCAGTATTTTCATTTACCCTTCTCGCCTTTCTTAGTTCTTCCAAGGCTAGCTGTTTAGCTGTTTCTAAGCACAAAATATTTCAGCCATTTTATTTTTGAAAAATCATTAATTGTACCGCAGTACAATTAGATAATGGTAATAATAATCCCACTTCTTTTAGCCAATAAAATCGCAGTATTTGCTATGGATTACATAACAAAATCTCTCGACCAGTCGGCTAACATCCAGGGTGTATAAAACTCTTTAATATACTCAGATAAGGCCCAACGAGGCTAGGCGAGGCTTAGCGAATACAATAACTATAGTAACCTAACTAGTTATGCCCGCTGCGGATCGGTAGGGATGGAGACGGCAGCACGGCGAAGCGAACGAGCTCGGCGAAGCGAACGAGGTTGGCGATACGTAGTCTTTACTGTCATTTTCAATCATGCGTACGTCCATCAGATATGGAACCTAAACGGTACCCTCTCCATCCCGTGATCACACTGTCACACGGAATCACAGAAGTGAAAGCCGTGGAAGGAAAACATGAACACACACGAGGCATGCACACATAGTAATACTTAGATACATACCGTAGGAGTCTTTGCAAACCAACTGAACCTAGAGAAGCTAAACTAAAAAACAATAAAGGGAAACCATCCCCCGACGGGTGGAATGTCAGGGGAGGAAGGCGGGGCGAACGAAGCGATAATAAGCAGATAAACAACAAGGCAAGCCAAATAAATTTAATTACATTTTGCATAGTTAAATCCTAGTTAACTCAGAAATACATGCACAACTCTGATTGGCCAATTCTGTCTTTAACTACAGTTTTTAAAATAGTTAACTAGTCTTTTATACAGCTGGGCTATCGTTTAATTATGCTAATAAAACGATACACTGATGTTATCACCAAAATTATTTTTGCTTGATACTACGTATAGGAACCATGCACTTCACGTACATCTGCAAAAGTTCGATATTGACTGTTCAGTTTGGTTGCTAAACATAATGTGTGGTGGCATCGAGGTAAAGACGGTGTACGCTGGTGCAAAACAAGCCAAAGCGATGGTCATATCAAGATTGAGTTGTGAGAGAGCTGGTACAAGGTTTAATGTCCGTGGCGTGAATGATGACGGTCACGTGGCGAATTTTGTGGAGACTGAGCAGGTACTGTAATCTGATTGTTTCTTTCCTTCCCAGTGTTACCCTGGGATTCTGCTCAATTCTGTTTCGTTTTATGAAGAGCTTACACTGCGGATGAAATTTCGTATGTAAACACAAATTTCTTTTATACTAATGTTGCTTTTTAATTCGTATACTCGGCTTCGCCTCGTGCAGTAGTGAACTTCTCATTCCTTGTTCGTGAACTCGTGCATGTAAAACCCGATAATACACAAACAAAGAGTGCTTTAATGCTTTTAATATTCATTTTGAGTAAACTCGTAATGACTTTATATCATTTTTAAACTTAACTAAACAACACATGCTTATCTTTAAATGCTAAAACACCCCAAGCGGTTGCTCGTTTAGTATTTTTCGGTGTGGATTCATCTATAATTACATTAATTTCCTCTTCACTAAGTTCGGCAAATTTTTTGTTTGTTGCTGCCATGCATTTTGATAGTGCAATAAATCCTATAACGGCGTTGCGATAAATCCTATCAAAATATTGCATAAATATAATAGCGTTTATTGCACAATCTTAAAATACATTTTTTGTATCGTTCCATGCATAATAATTTATCTGCCAAATCTCTAAAGTACAAATGCATTTTGTATAAATGTATAAATGTAAAAGTACAAATGCATCTTTGTGTATCATTACTATAGGCAAGCAAATATTTCGTTACATGAACTTGCAAAAACAAGGTGTAAAAGTTTTCATTTAAGAAATAGGCTGTTTAAAAGTACAAAAACAAAGTTGTTGAATCTCGGTTATGGCAGAAACTGCAAATGCAATACCTTATATCGTATTCATATATTTTAACGAGAACTACGGAGTATCTTTTAATTTAAGAATGGAAAAGAATGACAGTCATATTGTGATGGTACTTTGAGTTACTAGTTTTTCAGCTTTCTGAGTTGTTAACTTATCACAATATTAATTCACGAGTCATATGCACTAAAACCACCAAAATATTTATTTTTCGTAACTGTCTCCACGTTCCTATTCATATTTTTCTGCTTTTTTCAGGTGATTGTTCTGGATGACTGGGTTTCGTCATTTGTTCAAACTCGAGGTTCGGTCCCAGTGTTTTGGGAGCAGCCGGGCATTCAAGTTGGGTCACACAAAGTGAAACTTTCCCGTGGGTTCGAAGCCTCGTCTCCTGCTTTTGAGAAGTAAGTGCAGACAAGTTGTTTAGCTTTAGTTTGTAAAGTTTAGGTTTAGAGGACGACAACCCAGACAACAACGGTTATTACAAAAAATACCCAGGTGATCTTGCTCTCATATTTTAGCAAATCAGCGCTCAGAAGTATTGTCGAAATCGGAAAACATTTTGTAGTATTTAATCAAATTATATGTTTATTTGTTATTCTGTATGGAAGCTAGTAGTCGGCGTAAATTTGAAGCCAAACTAAAGTACATTTCGAGAGGTATTAAGTTGCTTCAACCAAGAAATGGATTTTGATTTCACAACTATATTCCCAGATCACCCTGATAGTCCCAGATCACCCTGATAGTCCCAGATCACCCTGAAGTCGTTGGGTGGAAGGAGTATTTGAAAACACTCATTGATTGACTCTAACCCTCTTATCGGCTTCACATACATTCTCGTCGATCCCTCGTGCACTCTCATTGATCCTTGCCTTGCAAACTGTCATCGACTCCTCGCCCATTATCATCGACTACACACTCGCACACTCATCGATCCCTCGTGCACTCTAACCTAATCCCTCGTACCCTCCTATCGACCACTCGTCCTCCTATCGACCACTCGTCCTCCTATCGTACACCCTTATTGGTTTTCGTGCACTGATCGAACTTTTTTATATTCTTTAGACATATCACAACGCTGAAAGGTCTGTACGGTGACCAGTTGTTAATAAATCTTCTGGGCAGCAAGGAAGGAGAGTCGTATTTGAGCAGAGCCTATCAGGTAACCGATACCCGAACAGTTATACAACTGCTACCAGAATGTAATTTGTTGGCAGGTATAATGCTGTCAGTGTAGTATACAATAAGAAGACAACTCTTAATTACGTTTAAAGCTATCCGTTGTATTGTACCAGGGTACATCTGCGACATGTTGGCATATCGCGAAAAAATTTACCATCAAATGCGAAGTAACAGGCGTAGGTTACTTCTCGATAAACCTAATAGAAAAGATCATTCTCTTACAGAGGAGCCCACGCCTGGAATGTAGTACCTAATTACGAAATCTTAGATATTCATGAGAAATCTCTGAATTCTTTCAAAGCAGTCCTCACAGAACACCTTTGTCTATCATGATTGCTAGTATTGTTACAATGATATCTGTATTATAAATAATTCCCTTTTATTTCTCCATAAACAACCACTTTAAAAACAGCAACGACCTTTTAAAAGGTACTCATGTCAGGTTAAGATTAAGGAATCACCTCGAAGCTGGAACCATGCTAAAAGCTCCATAAAAATCATGGCTATTCTAAATTTTCAGCAAAATTAATTTGAAAGAAACGTTGAAAATTTGTGCGCTTGCGTGTCAATTTTCCAGGACCATCTGAAAACATCCCAGCACAGCGGAGATACGCCACTCATTCTTTTTGACTATCATGTCCTGTGCAAAGGAGGGAAGAAAGACAAATTGGAAATGTTAAAGAAAAACGCAGATCCGTATTTAGACAAGTTCAAAGTTTTTGTTAGAAAAGGCGCCGAAGTTATCAGGTAAATTTGGATATACCATAACTTTAGGTAATTGTTTTTTTTCCTACTGAATAATGATTAAACAATATATTTTTTAGCGAGCAATCTGGTACAGTGCGGGTTAACTGTTTAGATTGTTTGGATAGAACCAATGCCGTACAGTCATTTCTTGGCTTGGAGGTACGAAATTAAGAGTTCATAGATGCGGTTATGCACCTATAGCGAGTTGCCAGCTGTTTGTTTTAGAGCCAAGCTAGCCCAACCGCAGGACTGACTCAAAGATTCTTCATTTTATTTACCACATGTCACGCATTGCATCTGGTTTTGTGTTTTGTGTCGTGTCTGCGCGTAACTGATATTTAGGAAGTACTGGACAGGGCTGAGCAGGATATCAGAATATCGAGGTCAGGGTTATCTGCCGAAGGGTAAGGTCTGGATGATTCTGATATCCTGCGAGTTCAATAATTTTTTATTACTCATTCTCCAAGAAAAAAATCAAGTCTGCCATACTAAAAATGATAATAAAAACAATTATTTCGTCTACTTCTGCGGTCCAGTCGCCTTTGTCAGCTTCTATTCGAATAAATTAGTCAAAGAAAACCTGTTTTGCCGCTTTCGCAGCTTTGTATATTTCCGTTTCCTTTGTATCATGAGAACCTTCATTTTCTGTTATATTCTTGATTTTTTGTGGGTAGCCCGTTCGCGGGCTAACCACTATGCTACACGCAAAAAAATGATGAGCGATGATGCATGTCTGTCCGCCGAGTTTGTTTATCTACGAAAGAGACTGGGCAGAGCCGAAATTTTGTCAGCCTGATCGGTGTAAACTGGCTTCAACTTTCAGATAAATTAATCGCAGAAATGGTATTTCATTGGTATTTCATTGGTATTTCATTGATTATTCTTATGTCTACTTTGTTATAACTGTATCCAACTAGCAAACTAGCCCATTTTTGTCTTTGCGTATGGCATTAGAACGTAAAACTAAGCATCATTGATTTCCCCGCCATTATTGCGGCCTGTCATTTGACATTGAACAAAACTTGAAAATCTTTGCCAATGCTTTGGAGGCTACCCACATGTATGCATTGCATACCTATTTTTTCTACTGGGAGGAAATAGAAGCGAGCGGAATGCGAATTACCGCTGAAAACTACGTGGCACTTGTAAGATTTTTATGCATCTGTCATGCATATGAAATAAAACATGCCATGTGATGTTACGTTGTGTAACAGGTTTAAAAGGTATTTTCCTTTATAGATGTTGCCGATTCAACTCTCTCACCTCGGTCTAGGTGAGAAAACATCATTAGTTTCAAGATTTGTGGAATGTTTCAAGACGATGTGGGCTAACAACGGAAATCTTGTCAGTCGGACGTACACTGGAACCGGAGCAATGGAAGGCGGTGCTAGGGTAAGAATTGTAAAAATAGGGTTACAATAACAGGGCTGTATGCAAAAAAACACCGATAAACGACACCACGAATAAGTAAACATTGCATTCTAGAAACTAAAATAAAAGCGGTCGAAATGTTCAAAAACTTGCATCCTACAAGAAACTAAAGTAAGGTATCAAATGTATATATCGTTTTGTTCATCAAATAAACAACGACAGCTTCCTAACATTTTGTTTAAAACACGTTTATATGGAAAAAATGTGTCGCTGGATACGATAAGTTTTCGTGTTCTCAATGCGGATTGAAATTTAGGATGTATTTAAATGGAGCTTATATAACTTTGCGCTAGTTTTGTTAACTTTTAAGTTTAAACTTTTGTTTTCAAAAAATATTTTTAAGCCACACCGTTAAAAAACAAAAAAATTCAGACGAATTCCATTTTTTTCGACAGTTTAAATGCTAGGATGCAATGATTGTTTGCTTTATCCGTCCTGTATATTTCCGCGTTTGCTCAATAATTGGGTATGTTTTGTTTCAAAGTTGATATTCAGATTTTCTGCCATAATTTTTATAATTTGTTTGGCGCATGTGTGGACCTTTTTCCGCAGTGTTTTTACTTTTGCGGTCGTCCCTATTTAACTATCTTTAAACATTTGATTCTGAAATGTTTTTGTAGCAGATCATCAATAATCTGTGGTAGGAATCCCTTGTTCATCTATTTGATGTTGGCTTTGAAAATTCTTGACCCCAAGACAAATGCTCGGACTAACAAGAACTGTACGATTTTAATATACCACTTAATTTAATAAGGTTAAAACTAATGCGCTATATATGAATTTTTTGAATGAAATATACCTTATACATATTGAACGAAGAATGATTAATTATTCCAAGTGACACTATTTTAATTTAAACACATTTTTTGCAAAACATAAGGTCAAGCTAACTCTCGTTCAAGGCGAATTCAATATTGCAGGGTAATTTGGGCAAAATGAGACACTTGAACTTAATTTTTTTGTACTTATAAGCCCTATTCAATCTTAATGTCTTATTTGCAGTAAGGTTAACATCCCGAATATTGCCATTTTGGGAGCTTTGGTATACATTTTCTTCAAAATCCGCCATGAAACATTTTTGTAACAAGATTTGTTGCGCTTCTTTAATTCGGGGAATGTTAGTTCCCGTGCACTATTGCATGACTGCACTTTATCTGAATTAAGGTTTACGTAATCCAAATCATAATCTTTTCCAAATGTAAGCAGAATCCTGGAAAATCCGGGTTTATCACCACCTTACCTCAGAACGAACAACAACATAGCAACTGTAAAACCTTTTTCTTCTATCTTCCAGTTTGGCAGCAAATTACACGATGGCGCAGTGTCTGTCAGAAGAACAATCAAAAATAATTTCTTTGACGGTAGTAAACAAGAAGCTATTGACATCTTACTATTGGGAAATACGTTTGTTGGCGAATTGGGAGACCGGGCCAGAGCTCTGCTTCCTGGCTCATTTCTTCACGGTAAGCATGAAAACACGTATTATAATATAAGTATGATATAACGAGCAATTTGATTGGCTACCGCGTATGCATTGTGAGGCCATAATGCACGCTTCTGGCTTTTGAAGTTTTTGTTGCTAAGCAACATCTTAAATAACATGTAAGGAGAATTTCATTATTGATCAAATAAATAAATTTTGTTGTTGCCCTGTAATTTCTTCTTATATTATAAAAGAATTAAAAAAGCTCGTCGCGTGCCTTTATGGTGTGATAATGCACTCGGGGAAATGTTGGAAGAATACTCGAGAAGCTTGTAAAACACTCGGCTACGCCTCGTTTAGCCAGGTTTACCGAGGTAATAATCGGTATTTGATAAAGTCACTGGCAGTAGTAAAGTAAAGAAACCTTTCAAGGATTGAACCTTGAAGGCTTGAAGCAGCTTAAGAAGCAGTTGCAGATTGCATCAAGTTCCAGAATGTGAAAATATTGCTCGCCTAACAAACACACAGCCTTGGCGTCCACCGTTATCCTATATGGACTTCCACACTGCAGTGGACACGCATCTAATCTCACGTGTCCTCATAAGCCATTTTTTCCACCCAGAGATCTAGGAGTGTTCTGAACATCATCCATTCAATATATAATTCCAAACCGATAATAATCGGTATTTGATACCAATATCATACTGAGGTAATAATCGGTATTTGATAAAGTCACTGGCAGTAGCAGTATAGTTTATTCTGCTTCTATTACTCACTGATCTATATACTATAGCGAGGCTGGACCTCGCTATCGATAAGTGGCCTGCTAGCGAACTGATTTCACAAGCCAACCACTACGAACATTTGAACTAACTCAGGCACTATAACACAAACGTTTATATTCCATTAGGTTTGGGTTCAGGCTCTTACCCAGGCGCCTTTTTAAAACGAAGATTTTAGGCGGTTCATTCAGCTAATATTTAGAGATCGGTGGTGCAATGCTTCTGGTATTAATGCTTTGAAGAATTTTCAAATCAAAAAACCTTGTACTCACCTGGCTATTAAATAAATTGAGATTTGGGTTGAATGATTACTATATAGTTTTATATGATGTAAGTGCCAGAATTATAATGAATTGAAAAATAAGCATGTTGAAAAATAAGCTGTTTTTCTTTTCTTTATGGTAAAATGTATTCAACTTTATCACGTTTGTTAATTTGGTGTTCAAAGGAGTAATTTGTATTATTATTTATTTAAAAGAATTTACAGTCTGTGATTGGCTAATAACCATGTGTGAAATCGTCATATCCAACGTGTGACGTCATAACGTGTGATACGACTTTTTTTAGTGTGATAAATAGTCGTATCCCACGTTTGACGTCACACGAATGGCGAAGACATCAACACAATCCTCAAGTGAAAGGCTCGGCAACTTTGAGGAATACATGTTCGTTCTTTTAAATAAATAATAAAACATTTATTGAATTCGGTTTTCACATGATATGAAGAATTATCAAGTCTCAGTTCGTCATTATCAACCTCAGCCTTTAGCTTCGGTTGATAACGACAAACTTCGGCTTGATAATTCTTCATATCATGTTCAACCTCATTCAATAATTGCTAATTAACCAAAGTTTAGGCTAAAGAGATATATAAAGGCTATAGAGATAAAGTATAGTCCTATAATGCACTGATGGAATGCATGTAAAGATCTCATGTTTCTTCCTTTCCACAGCTTCACCAGCTATATTGCGAGAGTTGTGCGACCGACACTTAGAGTTCACAAAATGGCGAAACATTCGAGTGTGTATTGGAACTTTCAATGTAAACGGTGGTCAGCATTTCCGTAGTATTGCCTACAAACATCAATCACTGGATGACTGGTTGCTAGATTTTCATATCAGGCAAACACAAGGATCTGTTCAAAGCAATACTGACTTTAGTGTTCCTACTGATATATTTGCTATTGGTTTCGAGGAGTTGGTCGATTTAAAGGCTGGAAATATTATATCAACTAGGTAATACTTGCTATCCAATTCCTGTTTCTTTTTTATTTTATTGTTGGTGTTGAAGCATTAGCAGTGTTTTGGTATAGAATTGTAGCAGATAAACAGAATTGCTGTAGTTCTGGTTGCTGTTTGTGTTAATATTGTGGTATTTTTCGTTTCCGATATTGTTGTTGTAGTATTTGTTAGTGTTGTAGTTGTTTTTGGTGTTTATGTTTTAAAATTCTGTCTTTAAGCGCGGCACAGCGATTGGACTGGGGCGACAAATTGAAGCAAGTAATATCTCGTGATACGTCGTACGTTCTCCTGACGAGCGAACAGTTGGTCGGTGTCTGTCTATTCGTGTTTGTGAGATCAGAGTTGGTCAATGATATCAGGTCAGTATTTGTGATGTCACTGTGGTAGTTACAGTATTGATCTTGTTACAGTCGCAGCAATGGAAACGTCCTGAAAAATATCCTGCGATTCATTTGCACAAATCTTTTCGTTTGCCTACTTCCGTTTGCTCTTTATTTTCCAAAATGCTTCTATTTATGCGAATGCAAAATTTGAAAAGAAATGTCGCACGTCACCACTGTTTGAAGGTGTGTGATCGTTATTGCGGAAGCTGGGTTATAACTCGGTCCAGACCTCGGACTTTGTCTTTTGTTTATAGACCAGGCTATCGCTCAATGCGTCAAAACCGCGGCTTGACATGATACTTTTCTTGTTCGGACCTGACATTCGGTTTTAAAATTTTCTATTTTACTTCTTTTAGGCTTCGCGATAACTTTTTTCTAAACATTAATTAGTACCTTTGTTCTCTACTCTGGGAAAATGTTCTCGTATCCTTCCCCTGAAACGCTTTTTTGGCCCTTTTTTGACAGCCCTTACCACTCTGTGACGTTGTGAGTTACCTCAAAAATTCCGTGACAAATCATACCGCGATGGGTTTGAATAGAGTTGGAAAATGTTGCAACAAACATTCTTCGATGTACTTAATCGGGCCTTGTTCAACATAAAAATGACATTTAGCTACTTTGCAACTTTGTCATCAACGGATTCTCGCCTCTCGTTGTGTGAAGCCACTGCCGACACCCCCGCACTCCCTGTTTCCACCCGTCCATTCCCCCGCCCCTCAGGGCGTCACGTATTTGTGACATCACAGTTCTATGAACTGTGGTGGCATCTCTACTATTAAACTATATTAATCTATCTGTTATTAATAGAATAATAGCGAGGCTTTATTTTCACCCATCTTTTCTAGAGATGTCGCAGTTGATAGCGTTAAAACAGGTCTTGGAGGCAGTGCTGGAAACAAAGGAGGCGTTGCCATAAGGTTTCTACTTCATTCAACTTCGCTGTGTTTCGTCTGTTCGCACTTTGCTGCTGGACAGTCCAATGTAGTGGATCGTAATAGCGACTATCATGACATTGTAAACAAGATTGAATTTCCTATGGTAAGCTTGAATTTTCGGACAAGCAAGTAAACAGAAATCGGTGTAAAATATATTATTGCCATTTTGTTGGTTTGTTTTTTTTTTGTTTGTTTGTTTTTATGTAACGCTAGTTTCTGTCCATATTTGCCTATAGCAAAATTTCGAAGTCCGATTTGAAAAAATAAAGTGGGCTTAAGTTACTGCGAAATATTGGGATTCTTGAAGTTAACTAGAATTAAACTGTTCCAGGGCCTAATTTTACGAAGCACGATTGTCTTTGGATTGTGAACTTTCGTTGGAATGTTAAATTCTTCAGAATCAAAGAATTCATCGACTATTATCTTGAGTTTCTCCTCTATAAATACTCCGCTTTTCTCTTTAGGGTAGAACAGTTATTCCTCACGACTATGTGTTTTGGTGTGGTGATTTTAACTACCGTATCGACCTTCCTATGGACGATGTTAAGGAAGGAATCATGCAAGAAAATTATGGGCTGCTTCAAGTGGAAGACCAGTTGACCAAGAGTAGAAGCTCCCATAAGGTTTGAGCATAATGTTGATGGAGTTTAAGCCCGTTTCAGACGTCGAACCTATCATGTGCCGAATTGAATGCGAATTAGGTGAAACGAATACTATAGCTAATTAATATCAGGTTCGCCGCATAAATAGTACGACGTTTAAAACATGTCTTTAAAGCATGCAAAAATTAACGTAATTGCATTATTTTACAACTTTTTCAGAAGTTGGGTTGTGTATATTCAACTAACAAATTATTCTTGTCTAGTGCTTTCGTGGTTTCACTGAAGGGAAACTAACATTTGCACCGACGTACAAATTCGATCCATTTTCCGATGACTACGATACCAGTGAGAAAATGCGTATTCCAGCTTGGACTGACCGCGTGCTGTGGCGGCGTCGAAAGCCTAGGTCGAAGTTTACAGAAACTTCCGAGGAAAACGCTGTTGATGGGAGTGAGCATGGTACATTGGTGGACATCGACAGTGAATCTGAGGATGACGAAGAAGAGCCTGAGGAAACGCCACATCAAAGAGGTATGTATATACATCTGGTGTAGCAGCAAGTATTTAATTACTATTAAGCGCTTTAGACTAATTTCTTACCTTGGCGATAAATAAGAACACAAACTGCCAAGTTTGGTTGCGAATTGTTGTAATTTTATATACTTTTGTATCACGTATACTTTTGTATCACATCCGGAAGTGTGTAACTGAATTAGTTACACATTTTCGCACGTAATACAAAAGTATACCAAATTTGCCAACTTCGTATGCTATACTTTCCGAATTTTACATAATTTAGCAGCAAAACTCTGCATCTGCTCTAATTTAAATACGAGTCCTATTTGGCTTCAACTCTTCCCCATTTCTTTTGGGTGGGGTCATCAACCAACACCTCAAACTGTGGGAAGACCGGTATCCAGAGTTCGTTGAAGAAGTACGCAAGGGTATGTATGTGGATGACAGGCTGTCGGGTGGCGCTACTGTCGAAGAAGCACAAACGAAGAAGTTGAAGGCAAAGGAAATCTTCGAAGACTCAACGTTCCATCTCCACAAGTGGCATAGCAACGAGAAGAAGTTAGAGAAGAACGATGAAGTAAATGTCGATGATGACGAAGTCTCGTACGCCAAAGAACAGTTAGGAACCACATCATCTGAAATTAAGCTGCTTGGCCTCACGTGGGATAAAGAGAATGATACATTGATACAACGGAACAAACCAAGAGAGGAGTCCTATCAACCTTAGCAAAAGTATATGACCCGCTCGGGTTACCGATACCACGACTCCGACGCCTGGAGAAGAAAGTACGAGTGAAGTGTTGGGGATGCAAGAGATTCCGAACTAGAGCATTTCAATCACCACCACCCGGTAACTAACCAAGTCATAGGAGTTGATTTCGCAGGTCCGATATTGTACCGATCCAAGTCCAAAGCAGAAAAGAAATCTTATTTTGCATTGTATGGCTGCAGCTTAACCCGAGGAGTGTTCCTAGACCTGCTACCGTCGTTGGAGTTAGTATAGAGTTCATTGTCAGGCTTAAACGATTTATAGCCCCTCGTGGGAGACCCGAGCTGATATGCTCCCATAACGGCAGTACCTTTAAAGCGGCGGCGAAGTAGAAGCCCAAGAAAGCGAGAAGTTCAAAGATTCTCTGCGTCAACAGTCAATAAAATGGAAGTTTAATTTAAGTAGAGCGCGCCTTGGTGGGGCGGTGAATTTGAACGCCTCATTGGGCTCTTCAAGAACGCCTTTTATATGACCGTCGGCAACGCAACCCTTAGTTGGCCGGAACTCGAAAAACTCCTATGCTGCAGTATTACGAATCCAGAAGCGTGAATTTGCTTTTAAACACGGTGGTTGTGTCCACCGGGTGTTGGGTCTGACAGAATTCTAACGGCTTAATTGTACTCTCAGGAGTTGTGCTCACTGGATACGAATCCTAAAATCTCAAATCTTTGTGATGTAAGAGTATGAATTTAAATCTCAAATAGCCATCTTTTAGAATTTTATTTAAAGTCAAATCAGCGAAGAAATCAGCGAAAAAATTTCGGCGATGAAAAGCGTACTTAACATGCAATGGCCGTTCGTCGATTTGAGCCGCTTTGTGTACACGTGTTTCACGGTGTTGTTTCCGTAGCATATTACAGATAGAAGAGATATTTTTCGCTTAGAGTATTCGAATAATTGTTAGCATTGATGATATAACATTTACAGTTCAATAAACCTATGTGGAAAAACGAAAATTTGCAGAAACCGGGTTAGTTGCCTTCGCGAAGGGATTAAATTTATGCCACGGGTGCGTGCATGAAATCAGACGGCTGGACTTTACAGAAGTTGTCTGTCGTGGTTTCGCAAGGTAGAAGAAGGTTAGAAGTATAAGGTTATTTTCATAAGCTTTTTCTCGAATAGCCATCTTTTAGTTTTTTAAAAACTCGTCGTAAAGCTAGTAAATATCGAACTTTTATAAAGCCTGGCGGTCGCCCGTGCCGCTGACCAGTCAACTATGCGCAAAAAATAGCCAACTTTACGGAGCTATTGCGAGCAAACTAAATGAAATAAGACTCTCATTTACGGCCATGTTCTTAACAATATAACAAAGAGGAATGGCCTTAGTTTTTAAATTTTTCGATTTTCATCAAAAGCGAAGCGGGCACATCGGTTTGTATGAAAACTAGCCACTCCAGCGTTTCCCGAACCCAGAGCCAGGAACCCGGAGCTGAATATCCTGTCATGAACAGGTTCAATCTACATATGATTAATTATCGCGGGCTCAACGAGCGTGAGCGTTGAGCTGACATGACATGTGAGCCATCGAGTACACTTTACCCTATACAGGGTGTCCCAAAAAAAACGAAAACTATTCAAATCACCCATAACAATGCCATTGTTAGAGTTTGAATGCCTAAGGCTCTGTTGGACCCACAAGTGTATACATCGGGGTTGCCATAAGCATTTTTATGCATGCATATGATGCAGTCAAATTTGCTTGTTCGCAAAAATGATATTTATTAACAATATTTACAATTTACAAATATGGATAACATTTTTTAAATGTGCATCTCAAGGACCATGACCTTCGACATGTTCCCTTTCTCTAGCAACACAAAGCATTTAGCATTTTATACGGTTTCATTAAATCCCCACGGGCTGAAATTAGTGAACACGGCATTCAAATTTTAACAATGAGTGATTTGAATAGTTTTCGTTTTTTTTGGGACACCCTGTATATCGTTTCCATTTAGTCGTATAAATATCGTAAACAAGTCACAGTCATAAATTAAACATGCATATGAAAAAAAATACGAAATCGTAACGCTGAACGCAAGGACTTGCAAACGAAGCGACAACTGTAAAGCTACGATTGCACTGTGCCGGACAAATTGAAACTGGCCGAAATCTGTCCTTTTGCGTCTATTTACACAGTTTCTTTTCCCGTTTTTACTTGACAATTCCTCTTATTAAGCCGGTTTTCCTCTAGCGATATTTTTCGCGCGAAGCGACATTTTACTTTTGTCCCAGAGCTCTCAACTGCAACCATCTAGAACAAATTGCTCAAATACAAAGGAATAAAGCCGCTTCGCGCGAAAATTATCGCTAGTGGAAAACCGGCTTTAGGGAGACTCCAATTTATCCTGTTCCGCCGTTCGTGTGCAAACGGAAGACATAAAACGACGAATTTCAATTAAGCTGGTGCCGTATAAACGCGGTCTAAGAGTTTGAACACCGCGATGAGATTCTACCTGCTCTAATAAAACCTGTGAACGGAGGCAAACCATAATAATGATTTTTTCATGACCGGCAGAATTTCGTACTGCGATCGGTGATTAAATCCCACCCACGTATGAGGACAGCTATAAACATTATGGATGTTTTTTATATACACATGAATGCCTAATTTTAAATGCAAATAGTGCTTGGCAATTGATATTGTAGTGGAAATCCTAGGAAACTGGGGTGATTGATAATCGAAATCTGCACCGTTTGGACGATGGACGTGTCTTCTGTTTATAATCAAGGTTTAAACTTTTTAATGACTTATTTATTGGCGACAGAAAATACTTCTCTTTGTTAACAATTGCTATAATTAAAACAGGCCTCTGTAAGAACGGTTTTTCAAAACATTTTAGGTAAGAGTTCATATTTATTTACCACATTACCATCAGTTGTCTGGCCAAAATAACGCTGTATGTTCATCAAACAATTTAGATAACTTTTTGTTTTCATAGAAATAAGTCAACGATATCTTAATATAAATTCTTGTTACTTTATTGGAATATATATAGTCCCAATCTTATTCCAAATTTAAACTCTTACATAAAACAAAATGTCTTTCTAAATCATGACTGTATATATTCGGCACAATTCTTTGTTTCTTGCCATAATTATATAGAAAGTATGAAATAACTGAAATAATGTAATATACCAAGAAACAAAGCGAAATTGGTTAAATTTGTATTTTAATTATAGTAGATGTAGTTTCATACGTAGCTACTTGATATTCTGTGCATGTGTAGTATCGCTGTCTGCAGCATGTTTTACCCGCTATTAATTACAAGTTATATGTAATTATTAAATGTTTGGCAAGTTAAAGGCTCTTTTAGTTATTAATACTATAATTTTCGAGCAAAATGTCTTTGAATTCGCCATCTTCCAGTCGATATCGCGCTATTTAAGAACTTATATATTATGCATTGTCATTTTTGGCGGCCATTGAACATACATAGGCCTCCAGACCTAAATATATATCGTTAGTGATATGTTTCAATGCTGTACAAAAGCATCAAAAACTGATGGCACTACCCTCATTCCCTCGAGAGTTCACTCGTTTCGAAACGGTATGTAGCCTCTGCATATATTTCCTTCACTTTAGCGCTTGGTTTGTTTTTTGCAGGGAGAAAAAAGTCATTTTACATTCGTGATGATAATGTGAGCTGGTCTGTTGGAAAGTTGTTGTATTATCATTCCGCTCAACTGAAAACATCAGATCACAGGTACGATGAAATAACTACTTTTAACTTTTTTTAGATGCCATCAAATGTGGTTTGGCAACTGCCTAGAATATTACTGCAAGACAAACGTTTCAAGGTTACTACCAAATTAGGGCCTTCATTTTTAGACCCCGTTTACACTAGAACGAAAGTTTCCGGATTTGTAAAATTTTCCGGATTCATTGTTACACACATGTATCGGATTCGTCAGGTGTTTACACTACACTTTAGTTGTCTCTGTATGCGGATTTGTCGGTTTACACTCACATTATACTTGTTCTTGGAGAATTATTTGGTCGTAATATTGAATTTCTTCGGATTCGTCGTACAAAGCGTTTACACAAGAAAATTTTCCGGATTCAAATGTTTCTGGATACGAAGTTTCCACAAACTTTTACGGATTCAAAGTTTCCGGATACGGCTTAAAACCGAGTACATTTTCTATCGGATTCGTTGCTGCGTGTGTAAACAGCAACATGAATCCGGTACTAAAACATTCCGCTTTCGTGATGAATCCGGAAACTTTCGCTCTACACGCCTAAAAACGATCAGGTTGATGCAACATTGATATGAACAGCATCGAACAATGTTGTGCTGCCCACATTGTTCAGAGTTGTTATCAACTTGGAACAATATTGTTGGAACTGAATCGGGTGTAACAATATTGTTCCAAGTTGATAACAACTCTGCACAATATGGGCAGCACAACATTGTTCCATGTTGATGCAACAACCTGATGAGTTTTTAGCCGTGTAGTGTAAACGGGGTCTAAGAAGAGGTCGCATAAACAAAAATGTTTTGTGTATTTGAAACAAGGAATCGAAACAATGCCCTTGTTGAGCGAGTACACTTTTTAATGTCCCTTTTACACTACACACTAAAATGAGTATCCATGCTCGGCTTTCACTCAAGCCCCGTTTACACTATACACTCAATAATTAAAGACCCACTTTTGCCCTACATACTACCAACATTAGAAAAAGTGAAGCAAACGAAACAACAACAGTAAGGCTATATATGTTTACACAGCCACATGCAGTGCCGGAGGAATTTGGGATTTGGCGAAAATCGTCCTCTTCCGCCTATTCCTTAAGCTTTTACACCGTCGATAATTCGTCCTGTTGGGAGGTCTCATGCATGGTTCTGTGGCTCTCGGAAGACTGAAAAGAGGGATTTCAAGCCGGCTCAAAATTTCCGATACCGCTTGTATTTTTAAGCGGCAAACCGTAATGACCATATATATACGACCGGCAGAGTTTCGTACATGCAGCCACTTATTATGTATCGCGCGTAATAGATGGATGTTTATCAGTACTATGTTATTAGAAATATATACATGCATGCAGCATACCCTCGCCATTGTGAACGAAGCAAAATATTTCCTGAATTAGCCAGACCTATATATATAACCCTCTTATATTATGAAATGGCTTGAATAAGCTCATATAGCCTATGTTTCAATTTCTTCGGAAAAAACACAATCGTATAAAGGAGAAGTAAAAACACCAGTTTTGTTGTGTGTTTTTTAAAAAAAGTAGTTAGCAAAATGACCGTTAAAATGCTGACGTTCTCATTGAAATACAAACTTTTTGTCTAAGCCAATCAGCAAGTTGTAGATTACCGTGCGAGCACCTTGACTGTAGGAGTCCAAGGTTCATGACATATGGGCAACTTTGGATTTGGATATCATTAGCTTAAGTAATTGAAACAGCAAGTAAAACAGTGTTAATTTTTGAGAATTTAACGATGAAGGTTTATTATAAATTTTATTATGAATATAAAAAATATAAAATAATCGTAGCATTCGCTATCCTCGTATATGGCTGGTAGCCATGCATATATGCATATAAAACTCGAGCTCATGGGCATAGCATAAATATAAACTGCAGTCGAATTGTAACGTATCTAAAGCCCGCCGTACACGTGGGCTATTAGCTGAGCTAAAGACCTCGCGAGGCTGTTAGCTCAGCAAGTTTCTCTCGTGCATGTACGGATGGTTTTCATGAGGAATTTGCCCTCGAGAGGCAAGTTCCTCTCGTGTGCGGATGGTTTTCGCGTTAAGCTAACTGCCTCGCAAGGTCGTTAGCTTAAAATAATATATGTAATTAAGTTCTACTGGTGCAAATAATTTCAATTTGGTCTGTGTTTTTCCTCCTAAAATATTATAAAGATCGTGTTTGACTATTTAGACCAGTCGTTGCCCTAATCGAGATTGAGATCCAGGCCTTGGATAAAGAAAAAGAGGCCGTTGTTCACGATGATGTCATGAAATCCATGGGCCCTGCTGATCCGACAGTTATAATACACAGTTTAAATGATGATGGTGAGATAAATACGGAAGAACTGTTGTCTGCATTAGAGAAGATTGGAAGCACGGTGTTGGTTAGGTAAGACGATCTAAGATTTACTGGTGCATGATTGTCGTTGTGAGTGAACAATGTTCTGCTGTGGCCGAAGTGAAATTTAACGATGACGTCATGATCATGATAGTATTGGTTGATCATCGATATTAGTAATCCAAGATGACGCATCTATAGTGAAGCCGAAACTGATGATATAATAACGAGTTAACGTCTTTTAGAGTAATTGATGACGAGCTCTTTATCACTTTTGACGATGGCAGATCAGCTTTGAAAGCATTGGAACTCGATAATACAGAGGTATGTTGGTGTAAAGTGTAAATATTTTCAATATATATGTCATAAAGTCGTGACGTTTTGCGTCGGGGAAAGGTAAAAATATAACGTTTTCTTGATAAAAGTAAATTCCCATAGATGTTATTTTATACGTGTGTATGAAAAACACGTAGTGAATTAAAGCAGTCTTAACCATAGGTAACCCAACACTCGTGTTCCGCGCGCGCACACGCTACTCAGTGATCAGCATATATTAATTTATCCTAAGGTTGGCAACTTTATCCATAGGTAGCCCAACAGTCGTGTTCCGCGCGCGTACACGCTACTCAGTGATTAGCATATATTAATTTATCCTAAGGTTGGCAACTTTATCACCAATTATCAATAATATATCACATACATACATGTCAAACTTCGATAAAAACTGAAAAACTACCACAAAATACTGCAAAATTTATAAATATAAATGAACTTGGATATATTTTCTAAATTCCGACATAGTTTTTAGCTTCAAAATGTATTGGGAAATACGGAAACTTGTTCATTTAAAATAAATTTATCCTACATTACGTCACCTTCGGAGATATCCGGAGTCAATCCTATTGGCTACTCTCTAATGGAGCAATCTTCGGAAATTTTCCGACTTTTCAGCAGCCAATAGGATAAATAGGATTGACTCGGGATTTCTCCGAAGGTGACGTAATGTAGGGTAAATTGGATCCCGCCTATCGACAAGAAAATTTCGACAATGTATTTTCAAAAACTTTATTTTAAATGAACTAATTTCCGTATTTCCCAATACATTTTGAAGCTAAAAACTATGTCGGAATTTAGAAAATATATCCAAGTTCATTTATATTTATTAATTTTGCAGTATTTTGTGGTAGTTTTTCAGTTTTTATCGAAGTTTGACATGTGTGTATGTGATATATTATTGATCATTGGTGATAAAGTTGCCAACCTTAAGGATAAATTAATATATGCTAATAACTGAGTAGCGTGTACGCGCGCGGAACACGAATGTTGGGCTACCTATGCCTTAACCTATTGTACGGTCTTAGCGCCACAGAGTTCGCCAAAATGTTTGTAGCCAAACAAACGTAAGCAAGCACAAAAGATTGATTAATGCTTGCTAAAGTTCATCGACCATCACTACGATGTTATTTTTGAATACTGCTTTAATTAACATGTTCGTCAACGGGGACGCCATCATTCCATGTTCAACGCAAACCATTTTAGGTGATCAAGGGGAATATAACCTTTTGAAGAGGTTGTATATGCGAAATTTGAGCAAAATGTTTTATTGGTGAAAATAAAATTAATAAAAACCTTCAAAACACAAAAAGCTTCTAAAATACCCAAAATTATTCAAAGGGTCAAAACTGGGTTGGGCTGAAAAAAAGTAAATAATGCATGATGTGGCTATGATTTATCTTCTTATAGTCAGTCATCAGGAAAGTGTTTCTTGCAAAAAAAAATTTCGATTTTTCAGATTGACGGTGTACAGATTGCTGTGAAATTGAAATCGGGGAGTCCGCTGTCTAAGACTGACTTAACTGTTGGTGATTTCGTGCCAATGACACCTAGTGGGCTGAAAAGAGATCGTTCGCTATCTGAACTGCTTGACGACTCCGCGGGCCATACGACGCCATCGACCGTATTACAACCTATCAAAATTTACTCGCAAGACTCCGACGACGATGACGTCATAGTTGACGACATAGCTAGCGACATAAACGATGACATCATTGATAATGATATCGAACTTGAGGGTTCTAGTAAATTGAACATTCCCCCTGCCCGACCTAGTCGACCTGGCCCCCCTCCAAAACCCAAGCGAAGCCCCCACATTCCACATGACGAAATTCAATCGGAAGGCAAACATATCCCTGGAAAAGCAAAACCCGAAAGGCCGAAGCCGTTTAGTAAAACTGCGAGTCCAACTGGTTCTCCTTCAAGCAAGCGCAAAATTCCACCTAGCAGGCCAGGTAGACCAGTTAGCCTCCTTGTTGGAAAATCTAATCACCCGCCTACCGAAGAGGCTGGCCCTATCGCACTGTCAAGGCGCCGAACTCCTGGAGAAAAGACTGCAAGCGCTGTGAATAAACCTGCACCCCCTCAAAGGCCTTCTGCAGTTGAGAAAACCACTCTTAACTGCAAATCAGAACCTTTACCTTCAGAAGGACAAGTTGAGAAGAGCACCTTTCACGAGTCGAGACCGGTTCCACCTGCAAGACCTGTTCAAAGCCTAGAGAAGCAATCGAGTAATGCTGTCACGGAAAAACCAACTACACCTCCACGAGGAACCAGTTTTAGCGTTGAGAAAAACGCTTTCGATCATGAATCAAGGCCTGTTCTCCCTGCCAGACCTCGGAGCGATGCGCAACAGCCTATGGACGGTGTGGAAAAACCACCAGTAATTAGGCCATCTAAACCCCCACCGAGACCAGCGACTCTTAACGTAGAGAGAGCCGCGCTTGATAAGCCCACGACTTTTGCAAGACCTACCGTTGCTGCTGAAAAACATGCAGAAAATGTATCACCAGCGCGATCAATCACACCTCCTCAAAGACCAGTTACCACGCCCCAAAGGCCTTTCCCGCCCTCAGCTAGCAAGCATGCAATTTCTAAAGAGAAAGAGGTTTCTCCTCGTGTCCAAGGCGTGAAAGAAGGTGCCCAAATTAAGGAATCTGAAGGACTCTCATTTCGAAAACGGTTGGAAAGCTTCAAACTTCCTTCTAGAAAACAACAACGTGAGGAGGTATTGTGTATAAATTGGATCGTTTGCCTAGCTAAGAAGAAGGGAAGGGTGGTAATTGCCTCAGGACTAAAATTATTTTCTCTTTTAAACATTACAATGGTTTAAAACACGTCAGACTAAAATGCTTTGGAACTTGCAATATAATGGACGGGAAATGTAATAGAGGGTGCACCGATTATATCTTTCTGTCTATGACAAATAGGGCCCTTGTAGTCCGCTGTCAATAGTATATGGGCTGGCGTAATTCATAAAGCCGTGCCAAATTTATGAAGTAAATAATAGTA